GTGCGAGGATCACAAAATTGCGCTGAGAGGCACCTTGGATTCGTGGCGTGAAAAAAGCTGCACCCTTTTTCAAGGTTATTCAACACTGCGTCTTGTTTGCTTTTTTAAAACATTCCTCTGAAGGCAGAAAATGATGCTGGATGTTTGGTGCTGCTGCTGCTGCTGGCACCGGGAGGCCAAAGGTAACACTGCCATCTAGAGGAAAGGAGGCAGGGAAGCAGGCGAGGAAACAGAGACACTTCAGGACAAAAAGAGGAGGCTGTAGCAACACATCATCACCTGCAGTTCTGTGGAAACAGCTGCCAGTGCTGCTATAATTGTGTCCCAGAGAAGATAGATTTACACAGTACTGCCATTTTTTATCTTTATGATGGTTCACATGAAAAAAAAAATCAGCATAAAGTCCAGAGTGTTAAGTTTTAATTGCCTACCTGTGCTGCAGAAACAATCACAACGATAATAATGGTGTTTGTGTCCTGGACTTCTGCCTGCACACAGCTATATATGCTCCTTTCTATTGAGTTGTAATTAGAGCTTGGACCGTGTTTTCCTTTCAGATGGCTCTTAATTCTGGGATTTGTTACTCACAAAAGCCGCTCTCATCTCCTCCTCTCTGCGGATTTTCGAGCAGTAGGCGTCTCTTATTCAGCTCGAGAGGTTGCTGAAAATAAATCATCACCCTCCCACCAGTATGCGAGAAAGTCCAGATGGTTGAATTTTCACTGACGTCCTCCCGCTGAATTTCCCCATTGTCTTCCACGCTAAAATTAGAAGGTAATACTTGGTGAAAACGCTGCGTCTGCTCTGAGGGTGCTGGTTAATTATCAGGAACTGGATTTATGTTCCACCCACAAATGAACCATCAGCGTTGAATGTGTGAGAGTGTAAAAAAAAAAATCCAAACCTGAAGCTTGAATCCCCTTGAGGTTTTGCTGATGGGAACAAATGACAGGTTTCACTGTCAAACAGTCTTTCCTGCTTGTTCCTGCGGGAAGAACAAAAGAGAAAATGCCCTTAAGGTAATTTAGCAGCTGAAAGGAGGAGATGACAATTTCCCCACACAGATTCTGCGGTTATTAAGACTAAAAATTCTGCTTACATGCGGATTTCAAATCTTTTACAGTAAACTTCACTTTGCAGGAGTTCAACATGGGATCCCAATTACATCTCAAGTCCTGAAGCACAGCAACAAAAGTCCTTATCTGGTCTGCAGCTTGAATGTGGCTGAAATCTGACCAGTAAGATCACAAATAAGGTCACTTATTTATGGCGAGGAAGCTACAAAATTATGCAACAATCTCAGAATTTGCTGTATGACTATCCTGGACTGTCTGAAAGAGTCAAACTGCATAATGATGCAATGTCTGCCGCCCCACAGAGGTTCTTGTCCTCCTACAACCAATCTGTGCAGACAGGAGAGGCAGGTACCACCTGCATGACCAAAGTTTGAATAAAAAAGCGTTAATTTTAAAGACTTTATTGTTACTAAGCTCAGAAATAGTTCAGGTTACTGTACGTGGCCCAGAACACCCTAACCCTAATAGATTCTCTAATGGTTCAGGTGGACTTACCCTGGCATCTAGCACCACCTTCAGGAATCCTGGAGTTGTGTTTCGATCCTTCAGCTCCTACATGAGAGAAACAGCAGTAACAGCTGCTCTTTGTCTCTGTCTCTGAAGTTTTACAGTATTGGAATGAAGACAGCAGGTCCAAAAGGCTGCAGCTCAGAACAAGATCTAGGAAAGTTAGTATTCTTGCTCTGGCTCAGACCGCCAGGGGAGAGCTTTTCTTGGGTGCTTGGTTGCTGCTGTGGACCTGTTTGATTCAGACAACCAAAATCAGTCTTATACTAGTGTGGGTATCACAGTTAGCACATTTGCAAAGCAGGAAGATTCCTAATTCTAATCCTGGAGCCTCTCTGAGAGGAGTTTGCATGTTTTCCCTGTGCGTACATGCATAAGGAGTTATGTCCATCCCACATCTGGAGATTTTTTAAGCACTTCATTCTACTATAATCTGACAATTTCCACTGAGATGTTATTTACTTTCACCTGCCCACAGCTCCATATTCACCATAATGTTGCAGCAGCCAACTCACCTTAACCCGAACTCTTGGCTGTTTGTCAAGAGGAAGATGACAACCATCAATTTGAATTTCAACCTGTTTCATAAACATGAAAGAAAAATCGCTGTAGGAGCTTTAATGTAATACGCCACTCCAAGCTGAATTAAAAAGGGGTGTGTGTTATGCTTTTCCACATTTACAACAACAACAACAAAAAAAAGTAAAGTTACAAAGTTTGGTAGCCATTTTTCATATTTTGGATCACTACATCAAGTCAATCATAGTTCTGTCTCTAACTAGTGTATCTGCATATATTTTAAGACGTTGTGCATCCCTGCAAACAAACAGAATGAGTGTAAACATAACTGTCTTGATAATATAGCATGCCAAAAAAAGTGGTTTCCTATGGTCAACTTACCCTGTGTATGGGGTAAGTTGATCCGTATCCCGACTACCCCCCCACTTTCCACTCCAGCCCTCCCTCACCTTCTCTCTCCCAAAATAACAGTCACCTCTTCACTTTCATGTATCTATTATATGCTATTTAACTGGTCGTTCCAAAGTCGAGGCTCAAAACTAAAGGTGATAGATCTTTCGACTTTGGAACGACCTGCCAGAGGAGATATGGCGTGCAGAGACAGTAGCTTCTTTTAAGACAAATTTAAAAACGTACTTTTACAGACTTGCTTGTTTGTTATGCTGTCTTTTCCCTCTTCTTTTATCTTTTATCTCTTTAACCTCAATCTTATTTAGACTTATTTTCCTTTTAGCCTTTGTTTTACTTTTCTTACTTACTTTTGTTTTCTTATTTAACCTTTTAGGCCTTTTATTAATTTTATTTTATTTATTTTTTCTGCTCATCATTATTATTTAATTATTATTTTATCACTATAATCATTTTTTTGTATTTAATATCCTGTTTCCTGTTTCCTACCCCTTTTTTTTAATTACATTTCTTATTCTTAGCTATTTTATGTTTTTATTTTGGTCCTCTTGGTCTCATTTTATGTTGTAGGGTTCTTGTATTGTCTGGGTTTCTTATGACAAATGAAATTGGCCTTCAAATTGGAAGCCTTGTTTTTAACTGAGCTTTTGTTTTTTTATTTGTTTTTATTTCTATGTGCTGATGCATTACGACTGTTTGTCAAAGCACCACGTAAACCTCTGTTTTAAAAGTGCTATAAAAATAAAGTTAATATTATTTTTATTGCTTATAACTGCTAAAAAACTGTTTTGTAAAAAGCCATTTTAACATGAGAATGCCTAAAAGCAGTGGCCCACTGTCCTGCATGTTTTGGATGTTTCCGTGCTCCAACACACCTGATTCAAATGAACATCTCGTTATCAAGCTCTGTAATGGCTTAATAACGAGCTGATCATTTGAATCAGGTGTGTTGGAGCAGGGAAACATCCAAATCATGCAGAACAGTGGGCTTCAAGGACTGGACTTGAGAACCACTGGCTTAAAGTGATTCAGAACATTCACAGCGGTATTTTTGAAAAGAAACAGAAAAACATTTCAACAATCTGAGCTGAAACTCTGATCCTCTCATCAGACTTCTTTACTTTCTCAGTTGAACCACTGACTCAACTTACCCCAGAACCACTATTATGACTTTATTAGTCCTCTAAGCTGAAATGGTGGACTTTCATGCTAGGTTTTTGACCTCATGTTGTAGCTCATAGATACCACAATTGGTGTATAAAACAAATTTAAAACTGCTCAAATCTTGGACAGATGCGAGATTATAGTTTATGCGCAATAATAAAAAAAATATATAAGATTTATAGCTTTTCCTTACTGGGTCATATGCGCTTCCAGGGGGCAAGCAGTGCCCCCGGCCAGCTTCCAGGACGCCTCCAGAGAGGTGACCAATCAGAGGAGAGTAGACTTGTTGACGGGGAGGTGCTTAAAGAGACTGCTGCTAAAGAGAAGCGTTTCAGACAAGTGATGGGCACGGCAGATCTTTTAGATGTACTGAATCACTAGAATCAGTTCACTGAAAAGAGTCGTTCACCAAATCACCGAATCATTTAGCGGGAGAAGCCTGCGATCTCCTGGACTGATAGCTGAACATTTCAGGATTCACTTCAATTCATAGCTTCTGGGACCAGGAGACGAGAGTGTTTGGCTGTGTTGCTTTGACAAACAGGTTTGTAAAAATAAACTTGTTTATCAGTCATGATGTTTTAAGTGTCCTGTCCAATGGTATGCTATTTATCAGGTCTGCTCGCTAAATTGGGCTCACTGAGTGATTCGTTCACTGAACATTTACAAGAGTTCACACTGAACATGCACCGTTCCCTCGCAAACCGCTGCAATGATAGGATGCTGACAGTTTAATGCACTACTTGTTACAGGCTGTGTCCTATTGTATGCAAGTTGTTGTGGTGGCAATTTAGCAGTGAAAATAAAAGGTCGTTTTGTCTGACAAAAATGATTCCAGAGAGTGTAGTTCAATACGTGATTCGTTCACCAAGTGATTCAGGTGTCAGTGCATGTGGTCCCTCGTTCGCCGGCTGCTGGCCTGGCAATGCTGTTTCTCATTTCAGCTCAACTGAAGTGAGAAACGAACAAATCACTCAAGGAAGTGATTCGGTTCTTTTGAACGAATCGTTTGCGAACGACACAACTCTATTTCAGACTGAGGCTGAAATAATATTTAAAAGACACCACTGTGAGAAATATGAGGCTGTTTTAAATCTAAAAATCACGTAAAACTTCAGTCTTGAAGAAGCATAACACTCCACTGAAATGACCATTTGTAGCTTGTTGTGTGTATTCAGTATCATTGACCAAAAAATGACTTTTCCTGTCTTTTAATTAATGGTAACTCCTCCAATTGAAAAAAATAAATCCTTCTAATGTGACAGGTATTCAACAAGTAAATCAGCATTTCTTACATCCCGTCATAAAATGATGGGAAAAAGATCGCTTCACTTTTACACCTTTATTTGGGCTCCCAATACACAAATCGAGAATATGTTCATCAATACAGTCTGCTTTAGATCTCGTGATACACTGAATGAAGTAACGTCTGGACTGATGCAATAAACCAACAGTTTTAAATCTGAACTACAGTCCTATATACATAATATTATTTCAGAGATCTGTATTGTCTGATAGTAATAACATTAATTATACTGAATAGCGATTGACGAGGTACAATCACAAGGCCTTTTTTGTCATTTTAGTCGGTATATCTTGAATGCACTTTCACAGCAGATGTAACGTAAACTTCATTTGTAGCTCTAGAGTGAGTCTGCACATTAAGTTCAGGTGTGGCCTTGGAAGTCCCGATAAACAGCAAATAGACAGCAAATGGAGCCGACCTCACATTTGTCTCGTTTTTAGAGCTACCGATGCACTCTGAAAAAATAAGCAGACCGTGTTTTTTTACCCCCCCCAAAACGACAGACACAAGTTCTGCCCTCTTCGTCAGCAAATGGACGAGGTGATACATCTCCACGTATACAGGTAATAACCCAAACAGAGGAAGATTCGTTCTTTTATCAAAAAAGTTCAAGACCTGAGATTTAGAGTGGAACGAAATGTCCTAACGTAACGTAACAAAAAAAAAAAAAAGGAAAAAAAAGAAAAAAATAAAGGAAAAGAAAAGTTTGTAAACTGTCACAATGGCTGCGAGGACTAGCTACGTCTTCCCTTTAGTGACTGAAAACATGCATGTTAAAATCAGGACAGCTTGTGTTAAAAGAATGTTTAAAATCTCATTTTTTTCAGCCACATTATTTAAAACTTCTCATAGGTTGGGTTTTTTTCTTCTTTTTTTGTTGTTGCAAGCTAGTTGTACACAGCTCTGTGCATATAATTGTACATTTCCGACGAGAATCATCCATGATCAGTGTGTAGACACGACTGAGGGCGATGCAGAACTCATAAGTTAAGACAAATAAATTCATTTTTTAAAATTCTATTAAACATGGTAATACCTTAATCTAGACAACGCAGGACTCTCAGAGGGTTACAAGTTCATTCCTTGGGCACTTAGTAAAGAGTCCAGCATGTCAAAAGTGTCTTTGTAGTCGGCGTGTTGGCCGTTCGTGGTCAGCATGCCGTTGGTTCCGTCGTGACCGTGGTGCTCCATCATCCTCGGCCCGCTCTCTGATGCGTAGTGAGATGAGCTCAGGCCTCCTTTGGAGCTTCTGCTGCTCTTGGACGAGTGGTGGTTGTGGTTGTGGTTCCCGGCGTCAGAGTGAGGCCTTTTCCGAGAGGACCCAGACGAGCCCGTGTCGTTGCAGTGGCCGCCGGGAGCTCGTATGGACAAGGAGGTGTTGTCTATTGTCCCTCGGCCGTTTCCGCTAATTGAATAAGCGTGCGAGTGGCCGTGTTTCGAGTGGCGGTGGCTGCTGTGCTCTTTGTGTTTGTCCTTTCCGCTCACGCCTTGCTCCGAGCCCCCGTGACGCTCTGATGAGACTTTGATTCTCATTTTGAGCTCCTCGCTAGTGGCGGAGCCATTTTCAGTGAAAGCAGGGGGCAGCCGACTCTTTTTGGAGCTGGACTTTTCCCTCCTGCCGTCGCCCGACTGACCCGCCTGCTGCTGCGAGCGCTTCTTGTGATGGTGCGAGGAGAGCGCGGGAGGCGGCGCGTACATGTCCCCGCTCTGCTCCTCTTTAATACCGTTCTGCAAAGCCAGCTCCGCCGCCGCGTGTTTCTCTCTGTACTTTTCAAGAGTCAAAACTTTCTGCGGCCGCGAAAACGCGGCGGCGGTGTTTGTCCCGAGCTGCTGGTGTTTGCTGCTCGACCCGCCCGCGGCTTTGTGTTCGTGTTTGACTAAAGTGAAGTCCGAGGGGTGGGGTTCAGAGAACTGGTCGTAGCCGCAGGACTTAGAGTGGTCGCTCAGCGGCTGGTAGGAGGCGTAGGAGGCTGTGATGGAGTTCAGGGAAGGCATGTCTGAAGAGTCGGATCCAGAGGTGGAGGGGAAGAAAGAGTTGGTAACACCAGGAAGGCTGTCGAGGGACGTCCCCTGGAAGGCACTATCCACCGATGGGCCTTCTGTCTTTGGCTTCTTAGCAGCTTGAATGGCCTAAAAAAAACAACCAGCTGAGAGTGAGAAACACTGATTTCATCTCATACGATTCAATCAGTACAAAGTTTTAACGACGTACCCTCCAGTTTCTTATCCTCTTGAGCCTGCTGGGCGTCTTCTCCAGGATCTGAAGGAACTCGTGGGTGAGCTCTGAAAACAAAGCAGATGATTTTTGAGTGATTCAACCTGTTAGACTCATTGGGAACAAGTGATTATCATGCTCTATGCAGATAAAGCTCATGATGATTAACTGCAATTAATGGACCACCAGGACTCGACACTGACGCCCACCAACCTGGTAGATCGTGGCGGATATTTAGCAGTGGTGGGCGACACAGGCACTCGCCACTTGGGCAAGCTCATTCTCAGGTATGTACATATTAGGGCCCGATAGATGGCCAAAACTCGCCAATTGTCGCCAATATTTTCAGAAACAAAATGCGGAGAATAAGATTCGGTTTCACTTCGAAAATGTTCTGCCATTTGAAAAGATCCCTCAAAATATCCAGTAGATGGCGCAGCGACCTCATGACAATCTTCATCCACTGACTACCTCACAGCACAGCAGAGTGACGGATCTGAAGCAGGCAGCTCAGGGTCGCACGGAGGAGAGTGGTCCGCCTCAACGGTAAATAAAAAAAAACAGTTGAAAACGCTTTTCTGGTCCGAGTTTGAGTCATGATAAATACTTTGAATATATCTGAGATTAATATTACTGCGAAGTGTTTGAAAGGCTGTTAAAAAAAAAGTAAATATATAGATAATCTACTAAAATTAAAATCGGCCGATTAATCGGTAATCTGACTTTTTCCCCCTAATAATCAGTATCGGCCCAAAAAATCCATATCGGTCGGGCCCTAGCACTTATATTTTCATTCGTACTAAAAGATGTCTGTTTCTCTTTCCTTGGGTTTAACTAATCATCAGTTTTTCAAAAAAAATGTTGTGCCGCCACGTCTTTGCTGCAGCGTGTTGAGTGAAATCTGGCGACAGGCTTTCGCTACTTTTCATCCTCCTGTGTTAGGGTCTGCACCGACCTGTTTTTGTTTTTAAATGCTCAAAAGAACCACAGAAATGAGCTTTTTTTGCATCAAGACTTTTTGATTTTGTTTAGGAACCTCTATTACAACAAAATAAAAATTAAATTGACCAAATAATAAAATGCTCTTATTAAAATTATGGCACTTGTTGTGGTTCGATAAACATCTAATAATTGTATAAAAAAAATAAAATCGTATGTGCACTGTCAGGCAGATCCTTTTTCAATCATGTGAAATTTAGGAAGTTCTCATTTTGTCTGGTTTATCCCTGCACAACATTTCCACAACAAAAAATATTATATGCAATATTTTCATGGATAATGAAGCAGAACAAGGTAACCTGGAAATAAAAACCAAATTAAATTATAGAGACCCATTAACATAGTGGGTGCGTAGTAAAAGCTAACACAGAAGGAAGGTTAAATAAAATGTTAAAATGATTTCATGACAAAAAATGTTTAAAAATTCAAGATATTAAGTGTTTGATGTTCAAACTTTCACCTTAAAAATCAGGCACTGAACAGATTAGAGGATGTACGGCAAGAAAAAGTTCAAGATGTTTTTTTTCAAAGTCAAATCTCAAGATCCTAGAAGCCAGACACGCAGCAAAACCACAAACCACACCGGCTGGAGTGCGAAATGGTTCATGTCAAGCCCTCTTGGCGACACGCAGTATGACGCCGTTAACATTCACCAGCCTAACCCGATGAAATAACCAGCTATATGGCTGCAAATCCTCCCTCTTCAAAAGCTGAAACTTGAGGATTCTCAAACAGGAAACAATTAATTGGCTTGTTCGAGCTCAGCGTCATTCACGCTCAACCTTACTGGTCCCCCATGAGGCTGAGAGGAGGCGGCCTCTGGCCTTAAAAGCTCATGCTGTAAGAAAAGCTCCCTGTTCTGTTCGCACAAATGTAATCCCTCTTTCATGAGGCGCTTTAGCTCTTCATTTATAGCCGTGTAAGCCCGAGAGTAAATCAGAGACAATGTGATTCTTTCCTAAGTCACAGGACAGACTGAACTTTTTATATGAACCTTTTTAAAAACAGGGAAATCTGTGCTTCATCTAAACAAGAGTAGAGTTTTACTAACTTAAATAAAAATACATAAAGCACAGCCGTAGAGGCGCTTACCATCCAGCAGCTGTAACGTTACAGTGTGGTCCACGTACTCCCACCAGTGTTTGCCATCTGTGGACACGGGGATCTCCCAGTTGGACCACTTACAGGCCAGATGGATGCAGACACACGCGACCACTGTGGGCCTGTACTGCAGGCAGAAGGTGGTGAGGTGCAAACTGCAGGAGAAGACAAGAAACAAAAGAGAGAGGGAGACTTGTTAGCTGCAGGGCTTCTCCACTTGAATTCATCTTAAATGAGCACGGACAGAGATCAATATTACCACATCACATCCACGCAGCCTTACCTGCGAGAGCTGGAACATCTAAGACAACCTTAAATGTTAGGACATGTTCCTATATCCTATTCAAATGTCACTATATATTCGTATAATGTGGTTTGCTCTGTGAGAGAAAAGGGGGAAATTTCAAAACACTAAAAAAAAAAAAAAAACAGTGTTTCTCAATCTTCTCATGGTGAACTGGCATCTTTATAGAAATTGTTGTCATAAACAAAAAGTTGAGTCAACTTTGAGAACTTTTTATCCGAGAGTGTTTGGAGTGATGAGCACATTTTACCTCAATCATCACTGAAATTTCGCAGCACTTCAGACTGAGAAACACTGGTGTTTACTGCCAAAACAAACATCGAGGTGTCACGTTTGTCTCGGGTTAATATCTCTGCACTCTAAATCCCAAACTAGGCTGCAAACTGACTCCTCAAACACCAGGAAATGCATTTTGAAACCCAAAGTAAATACGTCAGTCAGGTCTTGTGGTCAAATCCTAATAAGACGAACATGTAGATGGTAAAAATTAAGGAAAAACCTACAAACCCGAGTGAAGCGCACTTATTTTATTTTCTCTTTTTAACTGGATGCTAATGACATGTCGCATCAGATCGCTTTTAAAATCCTGGAAACTGTGAACACAAGCCGGAAATGCTCAGACCAGAAACCTCTTTTTGGAAATCATGGACTCTGTATGAAGAAAAACAACTTCCAGCTTCTCATTCGCACACAGTTTCAAATTCATCCTGCTGTAAACTCCTGACAAAAACCACTACGGTTCATCATTTGTGGTGGACGGTATGACGGTATGTACTGTGTGACAGTAAAAAAGTGTCTACCAGTAGAAATTTTGCTATACTGTTATACCAGAGAGAGAGAACAGATGTCTGCTGCATCTCTGAGTCAGTGTGTACCGTATATTTCGCAATATAGGGGACACTTAAAATCCTTCAATTTTTTAAAACATCCTCAGTGCGCCTTGTGTAGGAATTCTGGTTGTGCTTACTGACCTCGAACCGATTTTATGTGGTACACAGCGCTCAAAAATCTGTCAAATTGTTTTATTACAACTTCAATAAGCTACAAAGCCGCACAGCCTGATGGCCTGTTGGAGCACTTTGTTTGGCATTATGCGCCTTATAACCCGGTGCGCCCTATGTATGAAAACAGACGCAAATAGACGCGTTTATTGATGGTGCGCCTTATAATCAGGTGCGCCTCATAGTGCGGAAAATACTGAAGTTGTCTTCGCTCACTAACAGGAGAGCCGGAGCGCATTCGTTTGGGTGCGTTTCCGTATATTCACCAGCGTGTCGTGCAGTTTGTTTGCTCCGTTTCATTGGTCGGGTTTGGGTGCGCTCCCTATAATCACCAGCGTGTCCAGCAGACTTTGGCATAGTTTAGACCAGTGGTTCTCAAGTCCAGTCCTCGAGGCCCACTGTCCTGCATGTTTTGGATGTTTCCCTGCTCCAACACACCTGATTCAAATGATCAGCTCGTTATCAAGCTCTGTAATAACGAGCTGATGATTTGAATCAGGTGTGTTGGAGCAGGGAAACATCCAAAACATGCAGGACAGTGGGCCTCAAGGACTGGACTTTAGAACCAGTGGTTTAGACGAAGAAGAAACAGCTTCACTGGTGGTGGTAATGGGGGACGTGGAGATTAGTAGCAGTACAGAGCAAATCAGGGCAGCCCGACCCTCCCAACAAAGGAAGAGGAGGAGAAACTCATTTTGAAAAAGGGCACGAGTCACGATTAGGGCTGCAGCTATCGATTATTTTAGTAATCGAGTACTCTATCGATTAATCTGTCGATTAATCGAGTAATCGGATAAGAAATGTTTTGCTCTCACTGTAATACTTTGCATTGAATCACGTTTGCCTCATTAAAAACCATCAGTAACACACAAAACTGAAATAGGCCAGGTCTTTCAAATGAATATTTTTACTGCATAAATCAGGAACCAAAAGTTTTACATTTTACCATGTAGTTCACATGAAACTACTGAAGGCAAGGTCTGCAGATGGTCTTTTAATTGCTATGGTAATGATCTTCGCAGTTTTCACTAAACCAGTCACAACTATTTCCAGGCTTTGGATCTAATTTTACTTGTTTAATTAATAGGCTGAAATAATATAATTCTTGGATACTAACATAATTTGACAAGCAAATGTACATTTATTCAATATATAAAAGTGTTACATTTTTATTTACATGTTGTTGTGTGTTGGTCATTTTGCAGCCCTCTGCTGCTCATCACACGCCTAGCAGGTGGTGTATAGCATTATCACCATGGATACACGGATGTTTGTGTGATTTTTTTCATCCACTGCCGCCCGGTTTGTGTCGTGTATGTGTTGATTATGAAAACACTTCGCAATAATTTGGAAACGTGAAGGGGGAGCTGCTGCTGCCCGGTGTTTACGGTAAATAGACGCAAACACCGACCAAGTGGACGCTTCGGTCTCCGAAAACGCCGAGACAAATTTACAAACAGCCACTATTTCAAACAACTGGGCTCATAATCGTGATGTAAACACTTACTTTCTCGCTAGAAAAAATATTATTATTGAATGAATTTATATAATTTGTCCGGTATGCAGTCGTTCTATGTAGCTTGTGGTAGGACTATTTAAATTTTCCCGGCGCTGCGTCCGGCCGGCACGAAATGCATTCTGGGGTATTTAGTATGTATGTGTGTAAACGCTCGTCCGTGTCAAACACCGTGCGCTGCACATGGTTCCGGATTTAAACGATTCCTCGAGGCATATAATTTGCCTCGAGGAATTTTATTAATCGAGTTACTCGAGTTACTCGAGTAATCGTTTCAGCCCTAGTCACGATATAGGTTATCTGGGGATTCTTTGGATTTAGAAAATCCGACAATGATCAATAAACAATACAATACTATGAAAAGAGTGTTGCGTGACTGTCATTGCCAGGAACCTCTTCCACCACCTAAAGATGAAAGACGCCAACATCTATCATGAGAGCCAGAAGACGCATGGCGCACCCGCTGCACCGAAAACAAAAGTTGCAGCAGCTCCTCTCATACAAAAGAGCTTAGCAGAGTTTTTTGCCAAAGGCATTTGTATATAAATCCAAGTTTAAAAATAAAAGGAAAATGCGGCAGTATGGTTATTTTTAAGCCATTAATTGAATTCATAGGGGGAAAAAACATATTGTGATATATACTGTTGCCTTGATATGAAAATACTCATACTGAGATAGAGGATTTTGTTCATACCGCCTTACACGGCTCATTGTTGTCAACTTTAAACCCGGCCGAGTTAATCACAAACAGCTTTCTCTTTTCTGAAAAAATCACGCGGTCTACCATCATCTATCTCCCGGACTACAAAACAAACATCAGCTCCTCGATTACACCACAGCGAGATAAAGGGTCAGAGTGATCCACATCGTGTAACAACAGCTTTATCATCTACAGAAGCACAGAGCAGGAGTTCAGTTTGCAGTGTAGTTTGGTGTTTGATTGGTTGTTAGCTCTTTTGGGGGGTGAAAAAATTGTGCAAAATAATCAAAGTTAAAAAAAGAACTGTAAACTATACTTACCAAAGCACTCTATAAGTTTAAGACTCTTTAGTGGGAATCTATATTCAGGCTACCGTTTGAGCTTTTTTTGTTTGTTTGTTTTAGACATATGCACTCCGTACCAAACAACCTTGAGAGGTAAACAGCATCACTACACTCCATACTGTGCATTCAACCCCTTTGTGCCAACACAGGGCCCTTGTACAATACACCGCACAAAGCAGCCGGACTGGTACTTCCCCACTCTGGGGGTTCCCAGGATCCGGGAGCAAACAGGGCGTTGGACACAGGAAGGGGGGCCCTGCAGGACAGGAAGCTATAGTGTGCCATTACAGTGCAATAATGGGAACAGGATATTAACCTGTTGGTAGCCATGAAATAGGAAGTCTGAGCCAAATCCTTGCTTGCTGTAAAAAAAAAAAACAACAACAACAAAAATAGATTAGGACCAAAGTGAGACATGACTGTGAGTTCAATCATTGTAGTGCGAGAGAGAGAGGGTTTTACCTCGCACTAGCTGGGAACATTTCACAACATCTGTGTGTGGATGATCAACTGTTATTTCAAAACCTGCAACAAGACGAAGAAGACGGGTTATAAGATCGCTGTTTCTTCATGTTGTGTCACAGCAGAGCAGAACATGAGACGGCCCAAGCTGGAGAGAGGAGAGAGGACTCACCCAGCGTCTGCAGCACTATTGTTTCCAGGGCTACAAGCTCTTGTGCCTGCTGCTGGAATGCCTAAAAAATATGAATGGACAACTTGAAAGCTACTTCCACAAGACAAGACAGGAATAAACCATTTCCTTCTTATAATACTTGAAATAAAAAGCATGTTAGAAGAGGGTGATCAATGTTTTAAGAGTTTCCTCGTCCTCTGTAAAAGAAGAGCGTTTACCATCCTGTATTGTACGACTAAATGTTTATATTAAAAGAGTTTATCTTAAAAGCTTGAAAGAAAGTAACAAGGAGACAGAGGAACTTTTAGACCATCCACAGCTTACATGAGAAAAGTATCCAGGTAACACCGTTCAACAGAGTTCAAAAACATGCAGCCCCCTCCTGAGAGAACAAGCTCATTTTATCAGGATTACGTGAAGTGAGGTAGACGGTACAGTGTGACCAAAATACAGAGAAAACTAAAGTGAGACTTGTCCTTTCACAGTTTTTATCATTTATCTGGATTTAAATGCTTAAGGGATATTCTGGCATAGTCAAACACACTAACATCAATCTAGACACCCCCTCGAGATGAATGTTGACGACTGCTTGCTTCTCTAGTTATACCAACTTTAGTAACGACTGCACGATAGCAATACACAGCGGTCTGAGGAGCCATAAACAAACCTCAACCAAAATCAATCAATCAAGTTTCTTTATATAGCACTGTTCATACAAATAAAATTGCAGCTCAAAGTGCTTCACATCAGGACAAGAAAAAAATAAAAGTTATTGAAATAGCCTAAAACAGACAATGAAATATGAACTTGAATTTATTAATAAAAGAAGGTAAAAAGTGATACTAAAAAATTAATAAATTACAATAGTAATAAAAATAATGAAGCTTTGCATAATGAAGCCAGGCTGAATAGATGAGTTTTTAGGTTACGTTTAAAAATTTCTATATTAGCAGCTTGTCTCAGACCCTCTGGAAGTTTGTTCCACAGTTTTAGAGCATAGCAGCTGAAAGAAGCATCACCAAATTTTTTTGATCTGCTCTGCGAAACGACGAAAAGAGAAGATTGAGAGGATCTGAGAGGCCGCCCCAGTTCATAAATTAAAATCATCTTTCAAAGGTATTCTGGTGCCAGGCCATGAAGAGCTTTACAAACGAGTAAAAGAATTTTAAATTCAATGTGAAAACTAACAGGCACAGCCAGTGTAAGGCTTTAAAATGGGTGTAATATGAGCTCTCCCCCTGGTCCTGGTCAAAACTCTAGCAGCAGCAGAGTTTTGGATCAGTTGTAGCTGGTTTATTGTGCTTTTAGGTAGACCAGAGAGGAGAGCATTACAGTAGTCAAGCCTGCTTGACTGCAAAAAGCCTCTCTATAGCCACAAATAATGCTCAGAACAGCGACTAACTTCATCAACAGTACATATAGGGTCCCAGCCATAGTACTAGCCACCAAACATCTTTTTAACTTTGCCTAACACGACTCACCTTCTCTCTTCCAGCAGCCGCTTGTTTGTAGCGAGACCTCGGGCCAGTCCATTATGGACTTCAGCAGGGTGACGATGGAACTGACAAAGAAATGATCATAAATGTTCTTCCTTGAGCTGCGTCACCCCGCTGTAGTCCATAATGGACTGGCCTGAGGTCTCGCTACAAACAAGCGGCTGCAGGAAGAGAGTAGGTGAGCTGTGTTTAGTCTCTTTGCTAAAGAAATTAGACAAAGCTAAAAAGATGTTTGGTGGCTTGGACCCTATATGTACTGTTGATGAAGTTAGGTGCTGTTCTGTGGCTATAGAGTGGCGTTTTGGTTGAGGTTTGTTTACGGCTCCTCAGACCGCTGTGTATTGCTATCGTGTGGTCGTTACTAAAGTTGGTATAACTAGAGAAGCAAGCGGTCGGCAACATTCATCTCTCAAGGGGGTGTCTAACTCAGTATTACGGTGTGTTTGCCCCTTATGCCGGAATATCCCTTTAAATCCAACCCTGTAACTCAGTGTTACAGTGCGTTTGACCCTACATTAATTTTACACCGGAATATCCCTTTAAACCAGTAAAATCCAGGTGTAGCACCTCCACAGAGGAGTAAGATTTAATTCTGGTTATCAGAGAGTCATCTGTGAGCATGTCTGAATTTACTATAATCCCAGAAGTTCTGCAACATCACTGATTGTTTGATTCTCCTGAGCACTGAGACCCCAGACTTCACTCTTAGTCATGGTATGGGAGTCCATTTCCCCTCAGAGCTGTGTCACTGAACACTCCAGGTTTCTGGTGATCCTTGGAGAACACAAACTTGGTTGCGAATAAATCCTCTTCTCAGAGTACGTTAATTCTCAAACATTATAGGCTGTAATTTTCCAGTATGATTTCGTAGGTCGCCGGATTTGTCATTTTCAGCTATATTAGTCAGTATGAAGTCACTAACAACTGTGTCGCTGACTTTTCCTGTAAAAAGTCAGCGAAATAGTTACTGAAAGTCACCCCCAGCTCAGCCTGAGAACGTGACTCACTCCAGGATCAACATTGTGGTCTGTGAACATGTTTCTGACGAGCGTTAGTTCGCCGTGAGGTGAGGACAAGCTTACTTACGTTGCTCTTTGTATCTAGGGCAGGATCTTGTGGGTTTATGCAGGCATGGGCTATTTTAATGACATGCTCCAGCTTCCTGGGCTGCTCCTCAACTTTAGCTGCCAGGAACAATGTAGTTTGGGAAATTATCTGCAAAGAGGAAACACATGTCTCTTAATCTCATAGCTAAAGCCACAAACAAATACAATTATGCTCAATTTGAGGGTGGTACTTACGTTTCTATGGAATTTCGTGAAGGAGTGAATCATATAAAACCTATGCATATATACTATAGCGGTGTTAATAATGAGTTGAGAGCTGGTGGCACAGTTAAGGAATCACATCTTGAACAGATATAGACTTTACAAGCACGTACACGTTGAGGTTTATCACAGATTTTGGCAGAAGCTAACAAAAGAAGCTGCAGTTTACACAGACTAAACAATAGCTAGGCTAGCGGGTAGGCCGCAAACTCCACATTAGCTGCGTAATAACGCGAGTTAAGCTATATTAGGATGTCTACATTATAAGAAGAGATTCAGAGAGTGTTAATAAACTACATTAGATGTTACAGATGTTTTTAAATATAAGATATAAAGAGCTATTTCATCCCGGCGTTAGTGAGCTCACGTTAGCCCCTGTTAGCCCGAGCTAACCCCTCCGTAGGCCGGTAGCCTCCTCGTTTCATAAGGATACACATTGAGTCTCTGGCCTATGTCTTGGATTAAGTTGGCCGCCTGCTGCCGGTACGAGAGCTCCCTGTCAGCCTCGATCCCGCAGCGGCGAGACGGCGTGTTTTCGAGCTGCTCCCGGGAGAAGAGCCATTTCGTTGAGGGTCCCCGGTACACCGCCATCACGCTCCCGCAGCCAAGCCCGGCGGTGTTGGCATCGGGAGGGAGCGGGGCTATGGGGGCACCGGAAGGACGAAATCAGCAGCTAAGGCTAAAGGAAACCGGGGGTGGGTGTTCAGAACAGCGCCGCCTGTGCTCGGAGGTGAAAACAGCCGACCACTCTAAACACCATACTAGGGGAGTATGAGTGAATTCCGTTAAAAAAGATTAATTTCAGTTTAATTACTACTTTTAATAATTAGTTTTAGTAAAATTTATGCAAAAACACGTTTCCCTCAAACTTACTATCGTATTATAACCAACAGCATTTAGAGATATTGCAGCTAGGGCTGTGCGATATGGGAAAAAGTTTATTACGATATATATATACACAGGGTTTCCCCTACATGCAATTGATCATGAAATCAGTTTTTATCTCACATAGTTCTACCTCGGAGTCACACGTATCAGCAGTGTTTCCCCCTGCTGATACACCGCTGAATGATTCTACTCGCACTATGTGAGCACAATAACACACAGCATTATTTTCGACTTGTTATGAGTCATCGACCCTCTTCCACTAACTTGAAGTGTAACGTTTAAAGCTTATACACAGTCTATATAGCGAGTATCGTGGGTAACGTAACATGAATGTAACAGCGTAGCTATTGGAGTGGCAAGAGAGTGGGGATAACAATGACCCCCTACAATGTCTCCTAGGGGGCAGGGAGCACCGAGAGGGACAGGAAGAGACTGAATAGACTGGTCAGGAGGGCCAGGTCTGTCCTGGACTGTTCTTTGGACTCCCTGGAGGAGGTGGGTGAGAGGAGGATGTTAACAAAGCTTGTATCCATCATGGACAATGCCTCTCACCCACTGCACCAGACTGTGGGGGCTTTAAGCAGCTCCTTCAGCAGCAGACTGAGACTCCCACCTTGCAAGATGGAGCACTACTGCAGGTCATTCCTCCCCTCTGCAATATGACTTTACAACGGACTGTAATAAAACTGGACTCACACCACCACTTTTTTTCTGGCATTTAAATTGTGTATATTGTATATAGTTTTATTTTCTTCTCCTTTTTTCCTTTTCTAAATTTTTTCTTAATCAGAACATTTATTTAAGCTCTTAATATTACGATCTTTATTTTTATAGCTGCATTTTTGCACTTTGTCTGTGATGCTGCTGTGACAAAAAATTTCCCCCATGGGGGATCAATAAAGGAATATTCTATTCTATTCTATTCTAAATAAAGACTGATTGATTGATTGGTGCCACTTGAGCACTGCAGTTCTCCTTTTCTACCACTAGGTGGAAGCAAAGACAAACATCAAAACTATAGAGTTGCTCTGCAGTGAGGCGTCCCTGACACCCAAAGCTTATTTCTTGATTAAGATAAATCATTGTTAGTTGTAGGTTTTGCGACACAAACCTGTGATTTTTGTATTAATACAGCCCCAGTTAGATAACAAGATATTCAATTTAATCACGGGTGCAATAATGTGTCAACAAAGTATAAAACAGTGTAATAATAAGGATGCAAATGTGCATACATCCACAAACCACTATGAATGACAGAGTCAGGCTATCTCATACAAACTCTTTACACTCGTGAACTCCTCCAGGATCCCTCATTAGAGTCCAGGTGACGGGATTACACAACGCCGCGAAGTGGGACCTGTTGTGTGGTTTCTCGTTTGCTTGCTCAGACTCATGTATCAGGTTTGTCTGCATGTAGACCTACACTGCTGTTACCGGTCCCTCCCTCCAGAATAAATACCTCACTCGTGTTTCAATTTTATTAAAACAATTCAACCTGAAAACGTTTAACAAGTGGTTACAGACATTTAAGACTATATTTAACCATTACCAGCAGACCGAAACCACACTTTATGGTGAATTAGTGGATGTGATAGGATTTCTGTTGAATTTGGCAGATGGTAACTCCATGTAAGACGATGTTTTATTGCTTTGAGAGGAGATTAACGCAGTCTTCTGAATAACTGCTTGGATTTGGCATTTTTAAAGATGTGCCACTGCGTAAAAAAAGGTTATTTCCTCATGCAACAGCGCAGTTTTGGATGAATCTATAGGCTATTTCAGTCAAATTTAAGTTGTACTCTATTATAATATAAAGATAAGACAGTCAATCTCGATTGGGCGTTTGTTTTGAAGTCCACATCCCCTTATTTCCGGCACGAATCCACCTGACTGTGTCTGCGATTTGGCGCATCTGGACCTGCAGCCCTGCACGGAGAGGAGCCCTCCTCCCTCCCCCTCGTGTGTGTGGGTCCCTCCCCAGTTGAAAGACCGCACTTCTCGGCCAGGTGTGACATTTTTGGAGTTCCTCACTTGAACCGCAACCCGCCGCGAAAATGACGGACTCCATACCGCCAGACCCCACCGCTGTCCCGGACCCGGTAACAGGAGTGGACCCCAAGGTGGCGAACGGGCAGTGCGATCAGGACCACCACCACCAGCAGCAGCAGCAGCCCAATACAGAGAGTGAGGGAGAGGGTTTGAAGATGGACCAGGAGATGAAGATAACAGACAGCCTGGAGGACGGAGGTAGGCGCAGGGGAATATGGGGAAAGTTGAGGGTGCTGCGTCGCCAAGGCGCGCACTGTGCGTAATACCATGGAGACTACTGCTTAATATTGTTATCCTGAGTCTGTGGCTCCGTTTATATTCATTCACCTCTAAAAACGTTGTCATTTTAATGTTTCACGTTGCACAGCGTTTAAGAATGCTAAGGTCAATATTATAAACAACGCCATTAGGACATGAAGTCCTGAATATATCAGCATACAGCTTCAATCTCTGCTGTGATTATTGTGAATAAATGAACCTCCTGCCTGTGAGGAAGAAAAAACCTCCTGTCAGCCAGTCAAACAAGAGTTTCCCTCTCACTGTCAAGTATGTTAAAACTTATTTTTTCGCTCCTGTACTTTTATGTTATCTCTCAGCCTCAGATGTAGGCACAGTGATGTGATTTGGGCTTTATTTCTGCAGCAAGGTTGTTTGATTCATCAGAGTCATGAAATACATCAATTTTTCAAAGACTTTTCCTTTCCTGGAAAGTTTCAGAGCTGTGAAATCTTAGTTTTGTGTGTTTCAGACTTGAAACCGGTTTCACAGACTAAACAAGGCAGCAGCAGACAGAAACAGTGTTGCTCTGATGTGATAACTCAAGAACACTCAGCCTCTGCGAGTTCACTTCCAAAAGGCTTAAAAAAAAATCAGAAAGTTTCTCTACCAAAGATGCTTTAATTTCGAGTGCCTCATAAATATTTCAAAAGCTTTTTTTCATATCTTTCCCTCCTTTCGCAAAAAAGGAAATGAGCTTCTGTCCAAATGAAAACCACAGAATGAGATGAGATCAGAAGTGAGTAATGAAGTGGCTTTTCAAGACTTAGATTTTGTGTTAAGTAAAAGATTAAAACCACCCCTTCACCCATGTAACCACTCGAGGTGTAGGACAGTTTTTTGGACCCGTCACCCATCAGATGTGAGCTGTTTATCAGAGCCAATTCGTGCCAATCTGTAAAAATGCAAACTTCATACTGTAATCTATAACAACTCAGCCATATCACCAGAGCTGAGCTGTAAGGTGAGACTCTCGATTTACCAGTCGATCAACGTGCCGATCCTCACCTATGGCCATGAACTTTGGGTGATGACTGAAAAAACAAGATTGTGGATACAAGCGACCAAAATGGGTTTCCTTCGCAGGACACTCGGGAGGTGCTCACTCAGAGTAGAACCGCTGCTCTTCCACGTCGAGAGGAGTCAGCTGAGGTGGCTCGGGCATCTGGTTAGGATGCCTTCTGGATGCCTCCCGTTAAAGGTGTTCTAGACATGTCCCACCGGGTGGAGACCTCGTGGCCGGCCTAGGACCAGGTGGAGGGATTATATCTCTCGCCTGGCCTGGGTGCGCCTGGGAATCCCCCCAGTAGGAGCTGGTGGAAGTGGCTGAGGTGAGGGCCGTCTGAGCTTCCCTCCTGAAGCTGCTGCCCCCGCGACCCGGACCCGGATGAAGCGGAAGAAAACGACGACGACATATCACCAGTTAGATGAATGTTCATGCACTCTTTCTCCACTCATCTAAACAACCAAAAATATTCACACCCCAGTTAACGGTGATCAATATGCGAAACATCGTTATCTAGAGATGTCTTTACTTGTTCAGCCACAAAAACAGTTAATTATGTGCATGTATCGGTTCATTCTGGCAGTATGAATCCGTTCTGAGGACTTCCTGCCCTTCCACAAGCGTATGTGGAACGCCATAGCTTATGGAAGGGAGATTACAATTCCCCTAACTCCATGGATGTATATACAAAAGAAAGGCAAGTGAGGCCAGGTACATAAAGGGTGGACAAATAAAGACTGGAGATCTAGGGATGTCTTTCCTTGTTTAGCCACAAAACAGTTAATTATGCGCATGCATTAGTTAATTTTGACAGTATGGGTCCATTCTGAGAACTTCCTGCCCTTCCACAAGCGAACGTGGAACGCCAAAGCCTGCTGCGGGGAGATTACAATTCCCCTAACTCCATGGATGTATGTACGAGGGTAAAAGGCAAGTGAGGCCAGGTGCATAAAGGGTGGACAAATATAGACGGGAGATCTTTGAGTTTCTTTTGTTAAAAGACCCCATATGATCCTCTCTATTCTTCCTCTGACTCACTTCACTGTGTCCCGTGTCGCCTGCAGGTCTTTTGGAAAGCAGCATGCGCCTGAAACCTCACGAAGCACAAAGTTACCGCAAGAAAGCTCTATGGGTGTCCTGGTTTTCCATCGCCATCACCATGGTCCTGGCCATCGTTGCTTTCAGTGAGTACCCCTCCTTCTTTCTTTTTTTATTTTTTATGGATGGATTCTCTGACTCACAGGGAGCGATGTTTTGTTTATCTGTGGTTTGTGTTTGAGAGATACTGCCGCTTGCTGTTTGGCCTTCAAGTTGGAGGACAGGTTTGTTAATTACCGTGGCACCCAACAGCTTGATTAAACCACAGCTCCTGACAACACGAAGGACAAGCACTTGATGTCAGCTCGCTGTTTTGACAGCGCAGTCGAGAAAGCAACATGGAAGATTTTGAGCTGTCAAGTTCGGGTTATCAAACCTCGAATCTTTCATCTGTCACCGACGTTTTCTCTTTTTAAGAGGTGAGACAAGTTTGAGGACCTGTCACTGCTGGAAGTTAAAGGCGTCTGTCTGTGGTTCTGATTTAAAATAAAAGTTAAAAATTGCAAATCATTTCACCTTGGATGAAAAAGGCAGATTTTTTTTTAAGTCTTAGTGTTAACTGATGCTTCTCCTCCCTCTGCGGTGAATGCAGATTAACGCTTGACAGATGCATAAGTAAAGAGAACGAGCTTTGCTGCAGTGGAGCTGATCACTTTCAAGTGTGGTTTGCAGATGAGCAGAGATATGAGGGTTTCCTGTTACAATGAAGACATCTCCCGTCTCTACCAGCTTGTTTTTGTTCGTCTGAACTCCATTTCTAAGATTTTTTCTTTTGGAGTAATTATTTGTTTGCATAAAATGTGTAAACAGGTCGTTTCTTTTTCCCTCTTTCCTCTGAGTATCTTTTTATGCTAATATTTTCATTAGCCATTTTGATCACATCTCTGTAGGTCTGCAGCGGCCCTCCCTCTTTGCCCGTCACATCTCGCCTACTCCTCTCATAAATGAAACATGGCCTCGCATGCAAATCGAATGCTAAACGAGCACGGGAGGAGATGAATGGAAGTAGCTGGTGGGTTTTCAGTAAACGCAGACCCAGACAGTTAGAATTGAAACTGTTGCTGCTCTGCACAAGTTGACCCTCTGCACCCTGTCAGAAGGGAAACATTTTGTTCTACAAATCAGAGCCTCTTCCTGAGCTCAGCCTGTGCTTTTCAAACATGTTGCCCACTTCCTGGTCTGATAAGGAAACCCTGTTGGAGAAGCAGACAGGACAGGCCTGTCATACAGTTTCCTTCATAGCCGTCTGTGTATGTTAAGTCACTAAAGCTATACAGTACATTCCACCCTGAGACACGTGAATGTACAGAACAGCGAACAATCCAGTCGCTCGCACTTTTCTGCTTAAAAAGCAAAAAGGAGGATAATGTCTGGATGCACTTTACAACCAAAACAGTCAGGATGCTGCGTAAAATGTGAATAAAACAGATTTTGATGGTTTTTGGAGCAGTGACTTCCACAACAGAGTCATGTCTGTTTATGATGCAGGGCACAAAGATCATGGCCATCCTGTGCTGATTTTAAACCTCAACCCTTTTTAACACAAATAACGCTTAATTCCCTAAATCTTTTGACGACTTTATAGCCTTTTTACATAATAAGTCACCTCATTATTTGATCCCCCTCATGCCTGATGTAGGGGTTAAAATTACAATGAAGAATTCATCAACTCTGAGACACGTGAATGTACAGAACAGCGAACAATCCAGTCGCTCGCACTTTTCTGATTAAAAAGCAAAAAGGAGGATAATGTCTGGATGCACTTTACATCCAAAACAGTCAGGATGCTGCGTAAAACGTGAATAAAACAGATTTTGATGGTTTTTGGAGGTGATTTAGGAATCATAAGCAGTGACTTCCACTACAGTCATGTCTGTTTATGAAGCAGGGCACAAAGATCATGGCCATCCTGTGTTGATTTTAAACCTCAACCCTTTTTAACATAGATAACGCCTAATTCCCTAAATTTTTTGACAACTTTAAAGCCTTTTTTGCACGTCACCTCATTATATGATACTTTTTTCATGCTGTATCAGTTTGCTTAAAGCTCCAGTGAATAGCTTTTAGATTCTGTTAATTTTGGCGCCCCCTGTGGACAAAGCAGGCATTACTCAATAAAAAGAAATCCCACTTGGTCCTTCATGCCTGTTTTAGGGGTCAAAAATTACAACAAAGAAGTCATCAACCTTGTTGCTTATCATCTTCTTGGCTATTGAATGTACTAAAAAGGTATCCATATAAAATTCAATGTATTTCACAGAGGAGCTTTAAACTGCACTTCTCTACTTTTCTTTGGCAATGATGGATCATTTGCAAACAGTCAATGGCAGTAGCTGCGTGTTTGCTCATCAAACACTCAGGAACCTCATCAAACATCATGCAAAACTCACACCAATCGTATAAATATATATAAAGTACAACATGTACAAATGTAAAGCATGTCCGCAGTACATATTTTTTGTCTTGACTGTGTGAGTGTCCTGTTATCGACCAGCTGTGAGGACTCCACTCTGTCCTCTTGTATGTGTGCCAGCTCTGTGTTGTAACAGTCCAGTGACATGTCTGTTTTTATAATGGGCTTCAGCGTCATAAAGTAAGCCACACCAGGTGAAACATATTAAAGCAATAAGCTAATGTGTCTAACTATCAGCAAATTAATTTCAATCGCTCAAATTATATCGGCTAAAACTTTAATTTGTATCTTATCACTCCTCGCAGGTTGATTAAATGTGGAGTCATTTCAGGAGTGATGAGATAATAGTGTGAACTCCCAAACCAGAGCCTGCAGGTGGATGCAGGATGCAGGATGCAGAGGCCGTGACTGGAAATGTTGCAGCATTAAGAGGGTGTGATTGTGCGAGTAAAGTTGCCAGAGTGGACTAACTCTCAAGGGTTGCTCCGTTGTTTTAGGAAGTGCATCATGTGAAGCTTTTCCTGCCCGGTGAGAGGCCTGCAGGGTGCCAGTCTAATCATTATCACCTGCTGCTGTTCCCTGTCAGCGCTATATGTTGACAGAGCGATAGCTGCTGGGCAACATACCCTGTAAAACATTAGTGTGACTCGAACATGCGTAAGACTCCTGCAGCATGTCAGAGACTGGTGTGAAAATCTGCTGTGACGGCAGGTGCAGATTATGTTTACAGGCCTAGTAGGGATGTAAAATCTGAGTACATGCTCTTTCTTCGAGTTTTCATGGTAGGCTAAACGAGTCTTCTTGCTAGAGCTGCGTGTTAATTTATGGATATGAAATTATGATGAATGAGATGTTTTCATTCTTTTTGTATGATGAGGCTCCTCTTACCTCTTTTTGTTGATTTTGTCCTAGACATGTTTCCAGAATTTTTTGTTATGGTAAATGTAAAAAAAAAAAAAAAGGCAGTCATTAAACTTCCTAAGTTATATATGTAAAAAAAAGGCAGTTATTAAACTTCCCACTGAGCCAAAATCAGGCTACCACAGGTCTAAAAATGACAGTTTTCTAGACGTCTAAATTTAGACCGAGTTTAGACTAGCCAGCTAATAGAGGTTTACCAGTATATTGCTCAACGGTTATCATAATTATTTTGGTTTAGTACTTGGAGATCAGTTATGCAACTCACAGTTGCTTTTTGAAATAAATACTTATAGAATATCGAATAGTGGGTTAAAGTGCAACGTCTAAATTCTGTCTACAGATATACAAAATCTAGACGGTTGAAATCAGGTCTAAAAAATAACTAGACATCTAAAAGCCGTCTATTGCTCAGTGGGTTATTTGTTTGGCTTTATATCATCTCTCTAAGTTTTTGCCTTTTTTTTGATAGTACAGGTTGGAAATATGGGGAAATAAAGGGAAGGACATGCAGTACATGGTCAGGGCCGGACTCGTACCCACAACCGCTGCGGGGACCGTGGTCCCCAAAGTGGATTGCACTAACCCACTCAGCCATCTACGCTTCACATGCATACTCTTAACTAGGGCCCGACCGATTTATTGGCGAGCTGATTAAATCGGCAAAAACATGCCAATTTTCGCCGATATTTTCAGAAATAAAATAAAAGTTGAAAATGCTTTTCTGGTCCGAGTTTGATCAGTCGTTCTTATATATAGCCTACAGCATATCTACAGTATATAGTATACTGTAGATATCAACAGTATATATATAACTTCATAAAAAAATTTAAAAGTCGGCCGATTAATCGGTAATCGGACACCCCCCCCCCAAATAATCGGTATTGGCATAGGCCCCAAAAAATCCATATCCGTCAGGCCCTACTCTTAACATATTTAACACTGCTGTCTTTGAAGACCCTCATTTTAGCTGCTGTCTGTGACGCACTGTCCCTTTAAAGCACCCCCAGCGTTCTAGAACCCAGCATTCTTGAAGCCTCCACCACTGCTGCCATGCTACAAAGTTGTGTTTCTTTGTATAAAATGACAAATTTTCCCTCTTAAGGAGATTCACTGATGTCAAGATTTGAGCGAACTGCTGAATTCTCGTGTGACTTTTTTGAACACGCCGTTCAGAGATCCATGTAATCCCATGAGAGGATTACATCAGCTCACGTTAACCTTACAATCTGAAACTTTGCTCATGTACAGAACAGACGTCTAACATTTTGATTCAACATTTGTTTTCAAAATATGATAAAATACAATTTTATCTGCCAATATGGTTCAAATTCAAGCAGATTCGGCATCATTTGGCTTCAGGGAGTCAAACTTCAGGCAAAGGTTTGTTGTCAGCCTGCCTTTGTAGAGTGAAATGTATCGTTCTGAATTCAATGAATGAATAAATATTTAATGCCGGCTCTTGCTGTTTCTTTAAAACAAAACCTTGGCATTGAACAGAGAAACAAACACCAACAGTCCACTTACCATAAAAACAACTTTTACAATAAAGTAATTGACTGATATACATAATGCAGCTGTAAACACAATCTACACACAGTCAGAGCCGGGAGGGTGTTTTATCTTCTTTTTCCTGCTCCTCTTGTAAGATGTGACAAGTATGGAGGATGGTAGAGACAGGAAAGTGAGACCTTTTATTTGTGTGATGTGTTTCTGTGTGTGTGCGTGTGTGTGTGATAGGCTGATGCAATGTTGGAGCTCTGTCCCCGCAGACATCCAACAAGCTTTCTTGGGAGCCAATTAGCTATCGCTGGGCTCGGCTTTGACAACCGCAGAGCTGCAGCAGATTCATTTACTCAGAGTTTCTTCCCTCTGCTCCTAATGAGGGAGATAGGAGGAGTGGAGGGAAGGAAAGAGGAAGTGAAGGTGGAGAAGAAGACATCTCCAGATGTAGACCTCTGATTCACGATTTTACGGGCAGATCATTCAAAAATTTGATCTTTATTTTAAAAGCCACTACAAAAAAATACACACCATACGTCATGCTCACCTCAAAATCCTCCACAAGTCTATAGTCGAAGCCGCCTGCATGACACTCAGGTGTCGACACAGTCCCTCCCTCTTTTGTTTACCCTCATTTGAACAGCTGTCAATTTTTATTTGCTGCCTGTTACCACACTCAGAACGAGGACACGGGGTTTAACCTGTTTATTTACTTAAACAAAAACTCCACCCTGGATGCTAACAGATGAAACCTAGCGTGTTGTGCATACATTAGGGCATACATTAAATGATGGACAAAGAATAGAAAAAAGTTGGTGTAAAGAAGTTAAGCCGGCTTGGAACCAGTCGGCCAAGTATGGTGAGAGTTTAAGTGTGTAAGTTATGGATGAACAGCTTGTGGGTGTTACTTTTTACACAGCTTTGTACTCACCAAATATCTAATGTTAGCTGTTAGCACCCACACTGCCCAAGATCACATTGTCATATCACCTGCTGTTGTTATTATACTCATAAATTTATGGAGGTGTTAATAGACAGAACAATTTAACGTTTTATCAAATCCAGCTCATACTGGTCTTTGTTTACATGTGCGTATATAAAAGACTACATGGGGACGTGAAAGAAAACTCTACTTGAAGAATAAAAACCTGCTCTGCAGCCTTTCCACACAGGTGTTGAATGTTACACACTCTGGCCAACTCTAGCTAACCATGTGCACACTTACAGGAAGTCTGCCAAGCACCTATGTGCAACTGCTTTATCATGGAAATCATGGAAACGCCCTTCCAGTCAACCTTTGGTCACACTTATATTTCTTTAACCTTCAGGGAGTTTCTTTTAATTTTTAGTTCTATACAATTATGTTACTTAACAGAAGTAGCTTCCATTTCAAAATAAAAGCATAGGTTTTTAAGGTAGGAAAGCAAGCTATATACATAAGCAGCTGGATAGCTCAGTGGGTATAGCATCCATTACCCAACTGGGGGGTTGAGGTACAAATCCCGCACAACTACAATTCAGTGTGGACCCGTAAGCAAAGACCCAAAGACTGTGGCCTACCTCGTAAACATGGGTGCGTTACCATTGAAAGCCTAACCTGCTCAGATGTTGCCTGGGTTAACAAGGTCTGAGTCAAGGTCAGCTGCTATCAGGACATGAGATTTTCTGAGATACAACACATTGATGCTATGGCAAGGGGGTGCAAGGACGCCAGATCAGAAGGGGGAGAAACAATGACCCTCCTATGTTGGGTACCAAGTCCCAGAGTTGAACAAAGAGCAAACTGAGAGATAAGAATGGGTACCAAGCCCCAGAGTTTTGAGCGAACTAAGATAAGAGTTTGAGGAGATACAACACATTGATGCTACAGCAACGGGGAGCCAGGACGCCAGACCAGAAGGGGGGGAAACATTGACTCCCCCCCGACGTTGGGTACCAAGCCCGAGTTTTGAGCCAACTAAGACAAGAGTTTGAGGAGATACAACACATTGATGCTACAGCAAAGAGGAGCCAGGACGCTAGATCAGATGGGGGAGTAACATTGACTCCTCCCTGGAGTTGGGTACCAAGCCCCTGAGTTGAACAATGAACAAACTGAGAGATAAGAATGGGTACCAAGCCCCAGAGTTTTGAGCAAACTAAGATAAGAGTTTGAGGAGATATAACAGTTAACTGGGGTTGGGTACCTACCCAAGAGTTGAACAAAGAGATGAGTGCCTGTCAACCCTGACAATGACTAGCACTTTGTGAAGTACCTCCAGAGATCCTTGCCAATAGGAATGCAAAGTGACCAATGACAGTGATCCTTGAGGTGATAAAGGGAACGCAAAGGTGTTTGGAGGCTTAGATCAAGGTGTCACAGAGAGAAGTCAACCAGAAAAGGGGTACAAACAGATGAAAAGAGACACAAGAGTACTTCCTGGTCGGAACAAGATGTGACCATCATTATGAGTGAGTTCAACAAGAGATGGATTGATGGACTGTGGCGGCACAAGAACAGTTCTAGAGCAATGGCGGCCAGGCAAAGAGGGCCCTGAATTGAATGTAAGAGGCTGGCAGGAAAAGCATACATGAAAAGCCATTACCAAGTAGTCGGCATGGTTTGGACTGGAAACCCCAGGGTCAAAATGGGAAGCACCTCCCAAGGTGATCAAGCCAAGATCCAAATAGAGAGAGTGACTGGGTGGTATTGTGATATATTAAGTTTGCACCTTCTCATTGGTATTCAGGGTGTGTTCATACACAGATGCATGGGAAGGCTGCATAATTTTTCTGTTTTCATTTTCGTCCGGGGAAGAAAAAGATTTAACCTTAAGCCTGAAGAGAAACACTGAATGTGGATAAAAATATGATGAAATAGGGAAGAGTGGAGTGTGAAGAGAGGAAGAAAAAAAAGAGGGGGCACTGTAGAAAGTAGGGTTATGATTTCCCTATCCGTGCAGCAGAAAGAAAGTTCGATACCACACACTGCTGTGTTTCTGCATGCAGGGCTGAGGCGAGAGGCTGGCCCCAAGTGATTCATGCTAAAAATAAACTCGGGGAGGAGTGGAGAGGATTCCTCCCCTCTATCTTTCTGCATCTTTCCTCGCCTTTGTGTCTCCCCTCATCCTCCTATGCAGGTGTAAGTGTGCGCACAGGGGTTGTGGCTCGATGTTTGTTTTCGACATATTTACAAGTCACAAACATAACACAGGAAGTGACACAGAATATCCTGATAGCAAAATAACAAGTCAACAAATGCATCTTATCCTGCTCTTCAGGTTTGCCACACAAATTAACAACTAGAGGAGCAAATCGGCATTAAAATGCACCTCTGGACCCGTCTGATAATCAGCCATTACTGCGGTTTAACGAGAGAGGACCCAAACAATGAGTTTATAAATCTCTAATTTAAAAACAGAATCCTTGATTGGCATTTTTATTTGGCAGCAGTCGTCGTTTATTTGTTTGTGTTGACAGGCAGAGGCAAGAATCCCCTGGAATGACTTTTATCTCATTGTTTTAGCACACCGAATCTCCTGTAAGCAAACAACAGCTCAAGAAAATGAACAAATAATCCCTGCAGCAGTCAAGACGAGACATTTTTGAAAAATGATAAACAGAAAAATCCACAATGTACCAGAAGAAGTAATGATTAAAGACTGATGGATTTTTCTCATGACACAAAGAGCAAACTATTCTCGATATTCATTGTCTTTCTCTGTTTTCTTTACAGCTGTTTCTATCATGCGTCACAGTGCTTCAGCTTTTGGATTTGCGGTAAGTTACTGTTGAAGCCATCACTTAACGACAAGATAGATGACCCTATTTTCTGTGTCGACGACAATCTAAAATGTCTGAGTTTAATTTTTACTCCACAGTTTGACGCCACGCTGGACGTGTTGTCCTCTGTCATTGTGCTGTGGAGGTACAGTAACGCTGCAGCTGTCCATTCAGCGCACCGGGAATACATGTGAGTACATTAGATTTGCAGACACATAGATTATTGTATCATCTGCATACAAACTGTCAGGTTAATCAATTCCATACACATTTAAAAGTAAAGGGCCTTGAATACAACCTTGTGGGACTTCTTTTTTTCCCAAGTCTGGACATATGACTTGGTAGAATTCATCCTAACATCCTAAAAGCCTTCACTGCAATGAAGATGTTTTGAGAAATTACTTATTTTTAAAGAGCGTTTCATGACTCAAATGTAGACTGTAGCTCATATGTATCAGAAATCCAACAAATTGTACAAAAAATGGCAACATTCCCGTTTTAAAGCTTCTGTACAAACTCCAGCTTTAAATTGACCGAGCGGTACCTTTGTCAAGACTCACACCTACCATGTGGTGGTGATTTTCACCATTAGAAATAGCTACCATACTTTCCGGACCAAAAGTTGCACTTTTTTTAATAGTTTGGCTGGGTTTGCAACTTATACTCAGGTGCAACTTATATATATATAAAAATATATATAAAGATATATTATTCGTCCACCTCCGTAGTTAGCAGAGTTGTTCAGAAGTAACACAGAGGATGAAGAATTCGACGAATTTAATGATTTGGAGTAAGATCAAGAGTTTGGTAAACTTGTTTTGTTATGTTCTTTATACAATAGTTACCTGAATAATTGTTAATATGTTACATTTACATACCAGACACCTATTGAGTTCGTTGTTTATGCTTCATGTAACCATCAACGTGCTACGCTAGCATACTGTACACCTATTCAGCCTGTTCTCTCGTCTATTGTTATTATTATAACTTGCCTTTCAAGATGAAATGTCTGTTCTTGGTCTTGGATTTTGTAAAATTGATTTCCCCCCAAAAATGTGACTTATACCAGTATACGTTTTTTCTTCTTCATTATGCATTTTTTGGCTGGTGCAACTTATACTCCAGAGCGACTTAAGGTCCTTACACACTGGAAACGACGCAAATATATGACACGAAATTACGAAATATTCGGAGGCGAATGTTGACGCGCCTGACTATACACATCAAAACACAAGGTAACAACCAAGACCTAATGGTGCTGTGACAGCAACACAATTGAGTTTGAGACAGTAAAAATACATATGGTATGTTGTATCTGAACAGGTTAGCTTACGAGCTAAAGTTACTTAGCACAGATGAAAGTTAAAACAAAGACGTTTAGCAAACTGTTAAAGCACACAAAACATCGTCATATAAGAAATCTGACGCTATGACTCTCCACAAGTTGTCCTTCAGGTCTTTATCTTTGTAATATTTGTGTCTTTTATCAAAAAGCACTCTGTTCTCCAACACGTAAACAATCAGCCGGTCAGCCATGTTGGATATACCAGTGAATCTGACGCCGCAACATCACGAAATCTGTTTGGTCAGAAGTGGACACACAGAAAGCAAAACTTTAGAAAATTCGACCGTGATACGAAAAAATAAATGCCGCAATATCGCAGGACGGGAAAATGTTGCTGATGAAAACGCTTGTATTGACAGGATGTGGGTTTGAAAAAACATCTACATGAAAAAAACGCTCCCAATGTGTAAGGACCTTTAAAGCCCAGAAAATACGGTAATTAGAAAACATCAGCCTCACTCCCAATGGTCTTAGATCCTTTGTAGCTAATGAAGCTGCTTTATTTTGTAACTAAAGTCTTCCTTATAACTAGTTTAAAAAAGTTCACGGGAGCTTCAAGGTCGTAGGATTTGTATCAGAATTGAGCAGATCTGTGTTGGAGATGACTTTGAACTTTAATCGCCTTGTTTTATTTATTGACTCCAGTCGGTTTAAGTCAGAGCTCATACAGACATAGTTCTTGCGTCAGATTTCTATTTTAATTCTTTTGTTTTAACACCACAGCAGAAAGGTGTACTTGCAGACACCCTGCAGTGGTTAGCAGTATGTGTGGTCTGCTTTGTGTTATTGAGGAGTGTGTCAAACAGAGGGTCTCTTCAGCTCTGTCAGCCCCCATCCGCTGGGACCGATCATAGACAGGTGCCTCGCGTCTTATCTGTACCTGGCTGAGAATGCTGTGTGAGAGTGTGTGTTCGTCAAGGTCAGGTGGGCTTTTCAGAGCCTCCTGAATGGTGCAAGTGTTGGCAGCAAGCAGGCGACTGAAAGGGAGAAAGAAAGAGAGCCGGGTGGAAACAAACAAGGCTGTGTGTCACTTTTTTTTTCTGTTAACAATACTGGTGCAGATACACAGTCAATTAAATCTCACAGAATTAAAAGCATCTGTTACCCTTAGATGTGAGGAGAACATATGTTAGGTTGAAATCCAACTGTTTTAACACGCGCCTGCATTTGCACACCTACAGGTACATGCAAAGGAACTGCTAATTGCTTAAGCAATGACAGATGGGATAATGTCCTGAGGAGATAATAAAACGGATTAGGTATTAAAAGACATTGAGTAAAGTAGACGTAGAGATAGATTTATTTTTCCCTCGATTAAGAAAGAAAATTGGAAACCACTCATATATAGTCAAACTTAATTTGTTACCATAAATAGATGACATAAAGTATATGGAGCTCCCCCTACTGACAGGTTTTAAAGCCTGCCAGCTCCATGTAAAATGATGGGACATGTGGCAGCAATAAAACTGTCCTCAATTAATATCAACATGCTAATGCTAGTTACGCAATACTGTTTTGAACAAGTGGTTATATGGCCAACTTAAAGGTGGGGTAGGCAGGGATTTTGGTGTATAAACAAAAAAGCTTTTAATATCAGTCAATAGATATTAGTTATTGACGACATTTGGGAATATAACGATATCGCTGTGTTCTCTTATGTCTGTGTAGTCGACGTTGTAAAAATTTTGTGCGGTCCGCTCTTTCCGACTGTAAACAAAGCCATTCTCCACCTCCCTGACCTGATTGGTTGTGAGGCAGACGCTGCTCCCCTGTGTTGTGGGGCCCGCTCCACATCCTTGGACAACATTCGCAAGCCCAAACAAAGTTAGCGTGCTACAACAAACCAGAAAGTACGGAAAAATGTCTGAATCCTCCTTTGGCCACGACTGCCAACACAAGCAAGAAAACAAAGTAAATACAGGAGACTCTGGTGGAATAATGGGCGCTTAAAAAGGAGGTAGACTGGACAAGATCCAAAAAGCCGGGTCAACATCAATGACGCATAAAAGCTTCAGGATCTTACGGACTCTGTAACCTTTATGCTGGACAGGTAAACTTTAACAGAGTAAGCCAAGTGTAACAGAAGTGGTTCTTGTCAAACAGGACTTGCTGCGTGTTGTAGTGCTGCTAAACTGTTTACCGCAGGTCCCGGACTATGTCACTTTCAGCTAGATTTAAAAGTCCTGCAAACGTTGTGCTTGCTGGTAGTCTGCTGGCATCTTCAGTAGCACTAATGCTTTTTACTTTCACGTTGACTGGGCCCCATTTGTAATTATCTGAAGTATTTATCTGCATTATATCTGAATTTAATTGTAACGATACAAGCGAGCACGAGCGTCTGTTTGTGGGCGGGGCTTGCTGGAGCAGAGAGGAGGAGCTGAGGGGAAAACTGGTTGGGAGGGGTAGAGTTTACATTCAAGATTTCTCCCAAAAAACTGGCACTTCCTCAGATCCTGGAAGTAAAATGAGACTGATGCACGCAGTTGAAGGTCCAAAGCAGCAAAGCATCTGCAGCAATGATCCAGAGGAACCTACGGCATGATGGAGCTCAGGGACTCCCAGGAAAGACTGTACTAGTGACTTTAAAAACTTCTACTTATAAATGTTGATATTAAAAGCTTCCTCTGTTTAGTTGTTATTCTCTCTTGTCAGTGGGAGAGTAATTAACAGCTAAGAGATTGTGAATCCTCTTATTAAAACTCCCACATGAAGTTAGTTTTCACCAGCAGCACTCATTATGTCATTTCAGCTGCTAATTGGAGGATTCGCACCAACTTCAGGAGGCTACTCAGACTGTAATTGGCTTCACTTAGAGGCTGGGTTTACAACAGATACTGTCACACAAATAATTCAAGAACTGTCTTGAAAAATACAGGATGGGAAAAAGCAACTGCAGGCAACCAAAACGCCCACTCACGAATGTGCAAGTACACAAGCTCGGGGGCAAAAGTGTCGGCACATACGAACACATCCCGGGGGTTTCGACAATCTCCTCCAGCGTGTTTTGTGTCGGTATGACAGCTGAGAAAACTAGACATGCAGTTTATCCTTCATCATTTTTTAATCTGTCGGTGTCTAATAGAGGCGATGTGGCCAAGTGCTGGGGTACAGACTGGTTGCCAAGGTAACAAGCTCAAGTTAAGTGAAAACAAGATGAATTATGGAGTTGAAATGTGGAGCCTTGAGACACAAAAACACCTGCAAAGGTTACAATGAGATGCTGGTGGGCTGGCATTGATATAAAAGGTGATTCAATGCGACCTGGATGTGAAAAATAGAGCTGTTGAGAATCTTTTAGGCCCCCTGCTGTGTTGTTGTTGTTATTTTACATAGTGTCACTTTCTCACCCACTGTGCGCAAGAAACAACAGGGGGTGATTTAGAGTGGATTGAGAGCTCCCCTGGTGTGTGTGTGTACTCGTCCCTCTCCCAGACTGCTTCGTGTGATGCTGGGGGTTGCCTTGGTTACCCCATCTGGTCAAAACCCATGACATCGAGCGAAGCTTTCAGGAGTTGAACACACAGGCCGGGAGCCATGCATGACCAGGGCGTATTCTCCTGTTGTTATTTGTTTCCCTCTGGACTCAGTTAATTGAGCAGAGGTGGTTTGAGGACGTCTGCTGCCTCGAAATAAGCCCCAAATCTGAGCATGAGTTACATTTATTCAGGAGGGCATTTACAGATAATAGGAAAAGTCAGGTAAAGTAAACCTTAGGCTGCTGCGATTTAAAGGGATATTCCAGCGTAAAATTAACTTACGGTCAACACACCGTAACACCGAGTTAGATACCCCCTTAAGAGATGAATGTTGCCGACCGCTTGCTTCTCTAGTTACACCAACTTTAGTAACGACCACATGATAGCAATACACAGCGGTCTGAGGAGCCATAAACAAACCTCGACCAAAACGCCACTCTATAGCCACAAATAATGCTCAGAACAGCACCTAACTTCATCAACAGTACATATAGGGTCCCAGCCATAGCACTAGCCACCAAACATCTTTTTAGCTTTGCCTGATTTCTGTAGCAAAAAGACTAAACACAACTCACCAACTCTCTTCCAGCAGCTGCTTGTTTGTAGTGAAACCGCAGGCCAGTCCATTACATACTACAGCGGGGTGACGCAGCTCAAGAACATTTATAATCATTATTTTATCATTTCCTTGAAGTAAAAATCACCATATTAATCATTTTGCACTGCAGATGCTGTAATTCTTCTGCCTTAGAGTCTCGCTCTGATTGCATTTCCATGAAGTAATGATCATAAATGTTCTTCCTTGAGCTGAGTCACCCCGCTGCAGTCTGTAATGGACTGGCCCGAGGTCTCACTACAAACAAGCGGCTGCTGGAAGAGAGTAGGTGAGCTGTGTTTAGTCTCTTTGCTAAAGAAATCAGGCAAAGTTGAAAAGATGTTTGGTGGCTCATACTATGGCTTAGACCTTATATGTACTGTTGATGAAGCTGTTCTGAGTATTACTTGTGGCTATAGAGTGGTGTTTTGGTTGAGGTTTGTTAATAGCTCCTCAGACTGCTGTGTATTGCTATCGTGCGGTCGTTACTAAAGTTGGTATAACTAGAAAAGCAAGCGGTCGGCAACATTCATCTCTCGAGGGGGTGTCTAGATTGGTGTTATGGTGTGTTTGACCCTAAATTATTTTACGCCAGAATATCCCTTTAACCTGTTTTTGGAAGACTGCAGGTTGCCAAGGTCGTGCTATTAGAGAGAGATAAGCTGAAAGGATAATATTCCTCCAAATTTGGGGATTTTATTCATATCAGGAGCCAAAATTGAGCATGTTTTCAAAATATCTTTGAGAAGGGATGGTTACTTTGACGCTTGTATGCATAGTATCCAAATAAGTTGCAGCTGATTTTACCCTTTTCACTAAAGAGCATGTCTCGAGTGTGACACCCATCAGGAAATGATTTTAGGCCGAATCATTAAAAATTCAAGTCTGAAAAGGTCACAGGAGTTGTAATATTGCAATTACCTTACGAGTCTGAGTATATAATCTTCAGAGTGAAGATTTTGACTTTCCCTCAGCTGAACTTTGGTGATCGCTCTCCTCACTTTACTTTGCAAACAAAACTCTTGAACCCAAGGTAAAAGTAAGAAGGACTGAATAAAATACATTTCCCATATCTGTGTGCTTTTTTCCCCCTCTGCAGAGCCTGTGTTATTTTGGGGGTGGTTTTCATCCTGTCATCCTTGTGCATTATGGGTAAAGCCATCCATGACCTGGCCACAAAGCTGCTACCTGAAGTGGTAAGTATTTATCGATCATCATTTCGAAAGAGGTGCTTAAACCCAAAGTTTTCATGAAGGCTGTTTACACCAGTGGGCTAGAAATAAATCCGACTGCTGGGGTCAGAATTGGACTCAGACTGGGGAGTGAGAATGCTTTGGATTAGAGCTACAAACATACGGGACAGATTAAGTTATCCATTTAGCACTCAAACACACTAATATTCAGCAGGGCATTATGACAGATGTACTGTCGGTGAAACAGTCGAACAGGGTCACTTTAGGTTATGTCCTCAGAAGCGATGCAGGGTGCAGATTAAAGCCAAAACACTGGTGTATGATTTAATTTTTTTGGTGGATTCGGTGCTTGTTTTTAAAGCTTTACCAGACAGCGAAAGCACTCTGCCCTGCCAGGATTTATCTGCTTTTACAACTATAATAGCACCAATCTGCCAGAGACGAGGATTTCTCCAAAAAAGCTCGGTTTATCCCGCGCTTTCAGCGTATTTCAACATAAACATGTCTCCGTTCTACCATTTGAACTGGCAGCAGATTTTAATAAGACAGCATATTTTCAGCGTTGGTCGGTCACGGGGGGGTTAGTGAGTCAGGCCCTGATGAGGTCAAGTTATGAGAGGAGGGTTTCCAGATTCAGTGTTTGAGCTGGATTGATGGAAAATTTAAGCTCTGTATTTTTGTTCTGCAAACTGGAGCTCTGAAAGGTCGAACAGGGGTCAGGAGATACACCAACTTGTTACCTGACAATCAAAAAATTAGGATGCAGAGTCTGCGTCCCAAGTTACGGTTAATTTCAAAGAACTGATGCTGCCAAATATTACTGATTTTTTTTTTTCTGTTGGCCTTAAAATCCTTTTGACATTTCTTGAATGTTCAATAGTTTGAGCTGAATGAGCAACAATCAGATCTGCAGTCACAAACAAAAAACTTCACGCTCCATCAAGACAGTTTGGTTTTGTTTGATTGACAGAGACCAAACAAAAGATTTACAAAGGGATTTACAAAAACCATCATGTTGAAGACTGTGTGGGTTTGAGTTTGATTGACAGTCGCCAAACAATAAGATTTTAGTTTATGTACAAAAAAACTTCACGCTTCATCAGAAATGTGTGGGTGCTGTTTGATTGACGGAGTCCAAAAAGGCTGAATAAAACTCGATAAAGTGTTGCTTGGTTCAGACCGTGCTGGACTGCAGAGAAGTGGTCAGGGCCTTTGGTAAAGATGGATTCTTTTTAATGTGTGATACATAAATGTTTAAAAAGTAGATATTTTGTAGAATTAAGTTACATTTAAAAACTTATTGAGAGACGATGATAGATCTTTAAATTTCCTGAACAAAAACCCTACAAGTGAAAGTCCAATCACCACTTGCTTTCTGTGATTTTGTTATGAGACTTTTTATCTTTATTTTCTCTACTTTCTCAGAGGAAAACAAAAACTAATATAATCTGCATGGCTTAATGCACTCAACTCCTATTTTTCAATTTCCTGGATCACCTGCATAACAAAAACAGATCCCCGTGATGATAAATGCAGATTCCCAAATAGTCTTTGTAACTCACTAAAGCTTAAAATTCAATAAAATTTTAAATCCTCTGTTGATTTATTGGACCATCTGGGTTTTCCTTTATTCTTCTTGGCTGCAGTTACGCTGAGAGTCAGGATTCATCAGAGCATAAACAAAGGTAAAATGTCAAAGTCAAGGGGAGGACTGACAGGTTTTGTTTGCCTGAGTCAAACCTGCTTCTTGTATGTCACATTTTGCTTCTGCTTGACCAGTTTTTGAGGCTTCCTGAGAACACATATACACATTTTTATTTATATTTATTTTCTATTTTTACCGGTATTCAAACAACTAGGAATCAGTCGTCTTGATTCCGTCGCAGAGGAACAGCTTGTACCAATTTTATACTCGGCTTAGGAGTGTATGGTTGTCAAATGTAAATGTCAAGTACTGTGTTCACATGCAGGGCAGGGTCTATTTGTCATGAGCACTGCCTCTTACATACATACAGCGTATGTGTGAGTGTTTGCAGTCATCTTTTCCAAAGCCATAAAAGATCTTCCCATGAGATTGTTTACTTAAAACTGCTTTAGTACAGCTTCTTAAATAAAAGAAACCCTGGTGCTTCTTGCCCAAAAAAGACAGTTACTCTTTCACATTAAAGCTCCCATGAGGCTTTTATTATTATTTTTTTTACATTTACATGATTCATTTGACTGTCAAAAGTTGCAGAATTTGATTTTTCATTCAACAATACCACTAACGCATGTGAGGGAAAGATAAGCAAAGGGGCTGCTCTGTCCACAGGGGTCGCCAAAATTGACCAAAAGGTCCCTACAGGACCTTTAAGGACCTGAAATGAAATCTGGACAGTTATTTTTGATATTATTATCATTATTATTATTATTGTCAATACATTTATTTATGATTTATTATTAATGTATTAATCTATTACTTTTAATGTTATCATTATTATTATTATTTTAATCCTATTATTGTTATTATTGTTATTATTTTTATCATTTATTATTATTATTATTATTATTATTATTATTATTATTACTACTGTAAATACATTTATTTATGATTTGTTATTAATGTATTAATTTATAACTTTTATAGTTATCCTTATTATTATTTTTAATCCTATTATTGTTATTATTATTTTTATCATTTACTATTATTATTATTATTACTATCTATTTATTACTATTATTGTTATATTATTGTCATTATTATTATTATTATTATTATTATTAGTAGTAGTAGTAGTAGTAGTAGTAGTAGTGGTAATGGTAGTCGTCGTAGTAGTAGTAGTATCAGTATTGTTAGTACTGTTATTACTGATTAAATGATAATAGCCCGATTAAGCCTTAACTAAAGCTATATCACAAACAGTAATAACTTCTTCAGGGGCTTTAAGACTTGGTTATAATATTGTGTTGACTAGTAACCTAGCAGGACTAGCATGACTAGGCACTTCGTGGTGAAGAGCACAGCCTAATCTGGTTTTCATATAAGCTCATAAACCACTCTGCATCATACACACTGATGAAAAACTCACAATCACCTGCAGATGTCATATCAGGAAGTACTCGGGACCCAGGATTGATCCTTGTGGAACACCAAATTTTGACTCATTAAAGTAAAGGTGCTTAATTAAATGGCAAACTAAAAGTGCACTTAATTCTGTTTACTTCTTTATTATCTCTAACTACAACATCAAATAGCCTCCATTTGTGCCTGTAAAGTACCTTAAACATTAAGAGTGGCTCTCATTGAAAAAGTCAGTATTTATTAAAGTGGAGGATGTGTCCTTGGTGCTAAAGAACATATTCTATCACTGAGGATAATGTGCTGTTTTTATTGAGTCACAGCACTGACTCAGTTTTTTTACAGCATGCTGAGGTTTTCTCTCCATCTCCCTTTTGAAGTCAGTGAGCTCGCCACAGTCGCTGTTCATGGCTCCAAGGCCATAGTGCAATATTAATGTTGCTGCAGCAGTACTGAGTGCTCTGCAGCTCCCTTTCTCCTCTCGCATCCATCCCTCCTTGTCCCTCATCCGTCAATACTGAGTTTACCATGAGGCATTGAGCTGATGCCCTTTTCAGTGAGACTGAAAAGAAGATATTTAAATGGATAGAGTTAAATAAAACCCTTATCCTATGTCTCCATGTTACGAAAGAAACACTCAGGTAGAAGCTGAATGTTGAAGCAATTAATGCCAACCTATAGAGAGCAAAGAAAAGGATTGTAGAGTTAAGTTCTATTGAATAGTTGAGAGGGGAGGTTTTATGAGCTTTAATAGCTGAACTTTGGACATTTGTGAATGAGATGTAGAAAAAAAAAAGGATTATAGAAAAAAGGACTGTTTATTAGGGCCCTATTAAAACCCAAGGAGTTCTCGATCATTATTATTATTATTATTATTATTATTATTATTATCAATGTTATTTTACAGCGTCTGAAAACGCAAATTTGACCCCCTGAATGACCTCGAAAACTCACGAAAATTTGCAGACAGGTCAGGCCTGGCGAAAATCGCAATGTTTCAAAGTGACCCAAAAAAAAAGCGATAAAAAATGGTTTGCTGGCGCCCTCTACAGAGCGGCATGAATGTCGACTTTTTCCGAGCTGCCTGAAATTTTACAGGCACGTGTATCTTAACGAGATCTTTGATTTTGCGCGCTTGGACTTTTTTCCTCAGACGCAAATTAAAGAGTTATTCCGCTGTTTTCGGCCCATTTTAGCCATTTGCATATGTCACACCAAACGTATCTTGTTGATTTTATGATCTCTGTTGCTGACATCTACCTGCCAAAGGGACTAAAGATGGAAATCAACCATTTGGCTATAATCTTGCATATTTACATGTATATGTAAATAAATCCTATAATAAATCCTAAATAGGGCTTTGGTAAAACTGTAAACACAACTGGCTTGAGAATTTGAAGTAATGCAAACACAATAAACTCAAATATCTTCCAAAACTCTAAACTGCATTTTAAAGTAAATGTTTGTCACAAAAAATATGTAAAGGGTCTTATAGCATCTAAAGTAAACCCTTGGCCTAAAATACCAAAGAATAAGAAGGTTTAGACCTCACATTAGCAGGTAAAACAACAACAAGGCCTCAAAGGTTTATGATCCAGCACGCATTAAACTTTGACTGAGGACCTAGAATTGAGCCCTGGGGGACACCAGTGACAAGAAGTGGGTAAAACACAAATTAATCATAGCTCTCAATCTTTCTTTGTGTTTCTGTCTGTCTCCCTCAGGATGCATTCTTGTTTAGCGTGTCCATCATCAGCGGCTTGGTGTGTCTCATCCTGTGTGTGATCAAGTTTATGCTTGGCAAAATACTGACAAGCCGAGCCCTCATCACTGACGGTAGGTGTGCACACCAAAAAAGAGACTATTTATGACTTTTTTTGAGAGATAATTAAGGAAACGGTCACTTTTGTGGACTAGATCGTAGTCTGGAGCTGGACCTTGAAGGTACAAAGGATTTTAAAAAATGGTTTGTTCTCTCTGTTCAGCATTCAACTCACTGGTGGGGGCGATCATGGGGTTCTCCATCCTTATAAGTGCCGAGGTGTTCAGACATGAGCCCAAGGTGTGGTATCTGGACGGGACAATAGGCATCCTGATCGGTCTTGTCATCCTTGCCTATGGAATCAAGTGAGTGGAGAAAACAACAGAGATAGTTTTCATAGAGTTTAATGACAACCATTTTCAGAGATGGGGACTCGAGTTTGAGACTTGACTTGGACTTGTATTTGATCTCAATTGTCCCCCTTCTTTCCCTGCAGGCTGCTAGTTGACATGGTCCCACGGGTCCGGCAAACCAGGAACTACGAGCGTTTTGAGTGAAGGACTACTGACGGGGACAAAAAAAAGGAGGAGCTGAGTTTTTCGGGGGGATGACCAGGGGCTTACTGACTTTATGACAAAGGGACAGGAGGATAGTCCCAACAGTGTCTTCACAGACAATCACACTAAAGTCCTTGGGGTGCCAGAGGATGCCTCAGAGCCCCCCTGTTTTAAAATGAGGATCCAGGTGGATGATAGCTGGATCAACTTGGTACCTTTTGAAGTGTTTTACAGTTTGATGTATATATAAATATATCTTTATCTGTCTTTTACCAGTGAATGGGCGGTCTCTTCTATCACGCCTTCATATTTAAACAGAAAGGTTCAAAGATAGACGAATGGGAGTTAACAAAACTCGACAGAGGTGACCCCGAGTGTCCATAACTCCTTATGAGCAACAGTCTTTGTACAGCGTGCTGATGTACGATACCTCAGTTATCCCGCTCAAAACACAGCAGTTTATTTTCCCATGGTTCTTAGAGGCCTTTGCTCAGCTGTGCTATAAAACGTCGCAGTGTGTCAGGTCTTATGATTGATGTAGCTGATGTAGCAGTGGAGTGTAGTTGTTTTTTTTAATAAGGATGTATAAACACACACAGAGGCTTAATATCATGTTATTGCTGTTAAATTGTTTTACCTGGACTTTTGTGTTTGGAGGCCTGGAGCGGGAACCACCTCAGCGACCTCATGTCAACACCAGCTGACGGACCTGAAGGATAAAAATCGTATTTTGGTTTCAGTAACTCAAACAATCCTGATTCGCTCCAGTTCCAGGACAGACAGAAAGTTGCTGAAATAGACTCATCGGTTGGCTTGTTGTTGTTTTTTTATTAAGAAGTGGAAACCTCACATTATTTATGCACCACCTGCCGACAAGAAGAGGTACTTGCCACATGTGAATTCATTAGAATGTGCATCCATTACAACATGACAAAGTCAGCTTTTGAATACTGTCAGCACTGACAAACAGCTCATCAGTCAGGGATCCTTATCAGGCCGCACTTGCACGTCAAGAAATCATCCGTAATTCGTCATCTGGTCATTATGGGGTGTTGACCAATCAGAATTAAGAACAACTAAGAAATGAAAACAGGAGACGGAACAACTCTGCAACACCTCGAACATTTCATATGCTGCTCATGTCCCATGTTGCTGACTTTAACTTGCGATTGTTTGTTTTAAATTAAGCTTAATAAACATATTATATTAAACTGGTTTAGATAGTGTCGACACTCCCTTGCTATGTAAGCATGAGGCGTCCAGTCACGACTGATCTATTTATTGCCGCACTTTATATGAGGTTGTAGCGCATCCATCTCCAGTCATTCAGGTCGTATTAAAGCTCCTGTGAGGAGCTTTTTGTGTTTTTATGAAATAGACTTAAGGTCCTTACACACCGGGAACAACGCAAATATGCGATGCAAAACTACGAAATATTCAGAGGCGAATTTTGACGCGCCTGACTATACACATCAAGCACAATGCGATTTTGCGACTTTCTGGGGGGGGGGGGGGGGACGTCAGACTTTCCGGTGAATCTGACGTCGCAACAATACGAAATCTTATTGGTCAGAAATGGACACACAGTATGCGAAACTTTAGAAAATTCGACCATGATACGAAAAAATAAATGCAGCAATATCGCAGGACGGGAAAACGTCGCTGATGTGAACGCTTGTATTGACAGGATACGGGTTCGAAAAAAAAATTGACGTCTGAAATAATCGCACGAAAAAATGCTCCCGGTGTTTAAAGGACCTTTAAACTCATACTGACGTCTTTTAATGATGCACAAAAATAAATAAGACCATCAGTGAATGGATGACTGATTTTCCCACTTCGGTTTTGATTGCCTGAAATTGTTGCAAGGAGCAACTTAAACTCACACACGTGACCATCAAAAGTCAGAGGGAGGACATGTTGGTCATAAGACACTAGTTTCGCAGACAAGATTAGTCAATAAACACAGATAAAAAGTCCCCTACAGGAGCTTTAATTATCTGGGCTGGAGAGCTCGGCTGCTGTGGCGTCTAATGCTGCTTCATACGTTTGAAATGACAATGACTGGACGCGTAGATGGCTAAGTGGGTTAGCGTGCGTGGATTTAAGTCCTGCCCCAACCATGTGCTGCATGTCCTCACCCCTCTCTCTGTAAAATAAAAACAAAAGCGCCAAAAAATACTTAAAAAAAAAAAACAATGACTAGAAAATCTGATCAGATCCGTGCTGACAGTATTTCTGTTTTCGCTCTCACTATTTACAAACTGTGAACTCTCTATTTCACAAACTGTGAAGGATTCAACTTTCCAGCATTTTCAGGACTTTTCAGATGCTGACCACCTCATCATGAAGACCAGATTTTGTTCCTGTTTACACTGACTCTCGTATCTGTTGATCTGATACCCAACAGGACAGTCACGTCCATTTCAATTGTCATTTTTCAAGCCGTGATGCCTGATCTTTGTTCCCACAGTCACACTTTTTAGCTCCACATCAAATACAAACAGCCAGGCAATGGTTTTTGGACAAGAGTCAAATCAATATTTTTCTTGGAGCAGCAGTAGCTCAAGAGGTAGAGCGATCGTCCTATAACTGGGAGGTTGGCTGTTCAATTCCCCCCCTATCCCAAGTCTGTCCGTTGTGTCCTTGGGCAAGACACTAAATCCTTTCAGTGTATGTGTCCTGCACTGGTGTATGTTTGTGAGTGTTGCATGGTGGTGGTCAGAGAGGCCGTAGGCGCAAACTGGCAGCCACTATTAAGGTAGTTTACCACCACCAAGGTGTGACTGTGTGAGCGAATGAATGATGTATCCCTCCAGCAATGAACTTTTGAGTTTGAAGAAGTTATTGACTCAAGCTCATTTCCTAATAGTCTATATTCCAAAGCCTTAAATCCTCTTATCAGTGACTGTAAAACATATATGTAAGTTTCAGTCATCCTTTGTTGAACTCAGAGGCAGAAGTGATCGTGAAAATAGTTCACTTTTACATCATACATTTCCCCTTGAATCTGTGTTTGCTGCAGTGACTGTAACTGAATGTAAACTGTGCTGTAAACCTGTGTTACTGTGTTACAAATAGAGAGTTATTGAAGTGCAGCAGTGGTATTTTTTATGGATGCAGGACGCAACAGTGTATGTAGTCATATAGTGTTTGAAAAATACTATTTTTTAAGGCACATATTGAATATTTTAAAGGGAAATGATCATTTTGAATGATGAATTCATCTGATAGCTTGCTGTTACTCTTATAAGCCCAACTTTTTAGTCTCTAAATCTGAACCCACTACAAATGAAATAATTGCTTCTGGTCAAAGATCCTCTTGAACATATTACTTTCAATTAAAGTCCCTGTAATAAGCATTAATTTACCTTTTCTGTTAGGTCTAAAAATTGCAGTGAAAGTTGCGATCATATCACAGGAAAAAGGGCAATTGCAAATGAGCTACAACAGTCTTTTGTGAGTTTTTAACCTTAAACCATAAGATTAACAGAGTGTCTCGGAGTGATATCTGAAACACAGACAGCCACACAGAGAGACCGGCACACAGGGCAGCGAAACTTGGGTTGCACTCAATTTTACAATTTAGAGAAAACAAAAAGTATAAGCACCAAGTTGAATTATTATTTTCATTTGTGGGCTTGTTTTTTTTTTTACCTTTTCACACACACCCGCGCTTGCACACTACTGGTATTAAGTTAGTTTGATATTGGACATTCACATGCATTTAACATTCAAAACAATTCTCCCTGACTGTGTGCCTTACTCATATCAAACCAATTGTGTAACATAGAGACTCATGTTCCTCACATGCTACAAGACATCTCTTTTTGAAACGTATCTATTGTGCAATTTTTAAATATTTTTTAAATGATAAAAAACGCATATAAAGCAATAAGTCACATGGTCAGGGAGAATAAGAGCTTTATATGCCTTTTTTCCCCTTTAAAAATTATTTTAAAAATGCACAAAGGATATATTTAAAAGAGAATTCTTGTGGCATGTGAGGAATATTGGTCTCTATGTTGCACAGTTGGATTGACATCAATAAGTTACATGGTCAGGGAGAATAATAGCTTTATGTGCGTTTTTTTCCCCTTGAATGTCAAACCAATGTGAATGTCCAATGGCAAACTAACTGAATCTCCGTACGCACAGTAGATGATACACAAATAAAAGCATGCATCTCAGCGCATACCTTGACCCTTTCAGCCACTGTTGTTGTTCTGGATGCATCAGCTTCTGTCATTGTGACTTGTCTCGTCAGTCCTCTTTGAGTTTCAGCTGTTCTTCTCCATGCATGTTTTGCGCGACGATTTTCGCGTGTGTTGCGCCACAGTATTGCAGGCAGTGCAGAAAAGTTTTCCTCCGCTTTCATGTAACATATCTGGAAATGGACTTGCAGGAACTTTGACGGCGATATATTTGTTCGTAAATGTGAGCGTTTAGCGTTACACGTCTTTATCCTCTCAATGTAAACAAGGAAGTGAAAATGATGACGTACATGTCACGCAGAGGCGTGGCCGAAAGAGTGCTAACGCTGCGTTCAAGTTACCTCGGAAGTCAGATGTCCGAGCCGAAAATGACGTCACACCCGAGTTACCTGCGTTTCAGTTACCAAGTAGGAAAAAAGGAAAATCGGAAGCAGAAACAAGATGGCTACATCTACGAAAGTTATTTTAACGCTTGCCTTGTCCGAATATAGGGCAAGAGCCAAAATAACTTTCGTAGATGTAGCCATCTTGTTTCAGGCCTGCGATTTCTGCTACATCAACGAAAGTTATTATAGCGCTTGCCTTATATTCGGACAAGGCAAGCGTTGAAATAACTATAGTAGATGTAGCCATCCTTTTTCCGCCTCCGATTTTGCTTTTTGTCCGACTTGGTAATGGAAACGCTGATAACTCGGATGTGATGTCATTTTCACCTCGGACTTCTTACTTCTGAGGTAATTCGAACACACCATAATGCTGCATTCGAGTTACCTCGGAGTTCAGGAGTCCGAGCTTGGAATGACGTCACACCTGAGTTACCACGATTGTAGTGACCTAGTCGGAAGAAAGCAAAATCAGAGGCGGAAACAAGGGGGCCACATCTACGAAAGATATTTTCGGACAGGGCAAGCGCTAAAATAACTTTCGTAGATGTAGCCATCTTGGCTCCTCCAATTTTGCTTTTTTCCGACTTGGTAACCGAAACGCTGGTAACTCGGGTGTGACGCCATTCCCAGCTCAGACATCTGATTTCCGAATTAACTTAAATGTAGCATCAATTTATTGGTCAAATTGGCGGAAATGTCGCGGTGATTGGAGAAAATAACAGCGCCTCGCTGAATTTGCGGTGATTGGTTGAATTTGTGTTGATAGTTGCGAACGCAACCGCGAAATCCTATAGGGACTTTTCCTCCTGTCTTTTCAAAGTTTATCACCAACTATGAATATTTGCTGTGAGGAAAAGTAGCTAAGACTAAGACTAACCTTTTTTTTTTAACGTTAATAAAATTGACTAAAATTCGTACTTGTCCGACATCATAGTATCTGACAGAAAACAAGCCCATCAATGACAAGACTGCTGATTTTTATGGTTATTTTTAATTCCTGAAACTGGTGTGAGGGGTTAGTGTAGAAGAACAGCCCTGTTTTTACGCTGTCTACAAAAAAAGGATAACTTGCAAACATTTGGAGATGTTCATCATATAAGGTCTTATTAACTATTAATTAATGCTTATTACAAGGACCTTAATATAGAGGTGCTGCTAAAGTTTGTAAAAGCACAGAGATGAAGCTCAAGATGTGCCGATGTGTGTTCAACATTGTGGTCCAAATGTATCTTCACTGTGGGACTCCAGCTGATGGCTGTCCTCGTCCGTGCTGGTGTAAATACTGAGTCTGTATCGCTGTGATGTAAAATAGCAAATATAAAACCAGAGTCGGAGCCTTTTGTCACAGAAAAAAGGGTTTATTTAAAAATAAAGTTATATCCCTCTTACTCGTCAAGGACTGTGAAAACAAAACAAAAAAAAATGTTGTCATTGTGTTATTCATCTTTCGCTGCTTGAACCACAACCATCTCGGCTCCTGTTTCCGACACTGACAGCTTCGAACAAAAGGTAGAGATCGAAAACAAAGATTGATACGTGTTTTTTTTTTACAGCTGTATGAAGCAGGTTTGTTTTTTTCTACAGTGAAGACATTCGATGCTGAGGTTAAAAAAAAAAACAGATATAGAGACGGAGGCGACGCAACACCTTCTGGCGTGTTGCGTTCAAGACTTAAAGAAACAGAACAGCTGATGATGTGACGCACAGCATGCTTTGAAAACACCTGACAAAGTAAATAAGGCTTTTGCTGCAACAAAACAAATTGTCCTAGCTGCTCACAGAGAAGGGACAAAAGTGATTTCAATGTTGACACCAACATTCTCTATCATTTCTATTACAAACTCCAACGATCCCAACACGTACAAAAATAAGGATAAGTCTGATGAATCTCCGCTTTAGACCCAAAACAGACCCCTATTGAAATGACTGAGCTTTACATTTTAACATTTACCCCTTTAATAAAGAAAGGTCAGGCTGAGAGTCCTGAAAAGAAGAAGCACAGAGGCGAAGAAGCTGTTGGACGGACGTGATCATAAACATTATCCCTTAAATCAAAGCAATTCAGACTTTCCACCTTAATGAATCCAAGTAATCTGAACACGAGTAATCAGTTCAAGGCAATAAAACCTGAAATAAAGTAGATCCTGTAAACACTCTCTTATACAACACTTCTTGAAATGAAAAACATGACATTAGTCTGCTTTTCTAAACTAAATAATGGGCTGATTTGCCGCTTGAATGGATTTTTATTAATAAATTATCGAAAACTAAATACAATTTCAGTTCATTTAAAGATAGGAGGTGGTGTAGAAGGATGATACGAGCAGATTTGGATGGTTTGCAAACATTTAAAAAACCTCTATTTGATTTGAAAAGGGTGCAGAGACAACATATAAAATGCTGAAACTGATTCCAAACACATAAAAAAGTTCGAACAGAGACAACAGCTCTGCAGGGAACTATTGATCCTGAATAATTTCATCAAGTGTTGGAAATACATGTGCTGCCACCCAGAGGAGACTGTGAATATCTCAGCTAAAACAATGCCAAACCACAGTCTGAATGTATCACAACAGCATGGCTCTGTAGTAGAAGAGTCCACGTGCTTAACTGGCCTTATTTGTATAATTCATTTTAAAGCATTTGGAGCATTTCATCATAAAACTTCAACATTTATGGAGTGTTGTTAAAAGAGGGGGTAATGCATGCCCCTCACCCTTTTTCAAAAGGTGCTACAGGAATTCATTTTGTTATCTTTGCATGATTTTCAACTATATATATAAGATTTTAATCATTTGCAATCCACCAAATTCGGTTGAATTGTAGGTCTCTTTCTTAAAGTTCTGGTGTAAAGGAGCTCGCCGATACTCTAAAACTGAAACTCAAGCATGAAAAAAAGGCACATCATGTTTTTAGAAACCATAACTTGGCGACAGGTCACTGACCTGTTAATAAGGAGTAAAATAAAAAAAACAGTCTGAGCTGACACAGTGAGAGAGTACAGGTGGGACGCTGTAGCTGAGCGGTGCCGTGCCGGCTGAATCTGTGCAAACAGAAAAGAAATCAAAGCACGAAGGGTACGAGGCTCCTGCTGGCTTTCACAATAAAGCGAGGGACGCTTGTTTACCGCTGTGCGACTTAAGACGGCAGCGATGGGAGAGGAAACAGTTAAAACAAGTCCGAATCAGTTTTAAATGTTGAATGTTCCCTTAAAACCTTTACTCTTCGTTACCTGGTGTTTCAGTTTCTTCCTTTCGTCCCATCACTCCTAAAAAGCCGAACACCAGCAGACAAACCCCGCCTCTCTTATCATACACAGAAAGATAAGCTTTTTATCATTATTTTTTTTAAATTACTATCCATAAATAAAAATCTATAAAAGAAAAAAAAAAGGACAGACTCCCCTCCTATAAATAAAAAACAAAGATTTCCAGCAAAACACAGAGATAAAGATTTGTATACAAAATAAATAAAAAAGAAAAACTTTCAAACCCATATGAACAATATACAGTGTTACTAATATCATGTTAAACCTCTGCGAATAGATTAAAGTAGTGCATTTTTCCCCATTCACCACAAGGACTACTAATTTCACTCATCTCCATTTTCTCTTCTGCGTGTTTGCAGATCCTAACGATTAACCAAGAGACGCAAGGTTTCTGCGCTGCGGGAACACTTGGTCGGCGTGTCGTTGTGTCCGGTCTGAGCGTGTTTTTTTCTACTTTCTACAAGCCTCTCGGTGTCCGCGTGTTTCTCCTCACGATCTACGAACGAAAACATCACCACTTTCTTCGAACTCTACACAGCTAAAAGAGAATAACCCTCCCTGAACGGCGAAACAGTCAGACGAAGAAACGCGTACGGGGGGTTCTCACTGGCCTTTTTTTGTAGAAAAAAAAAAAACACACGTTTGTTTCCTCGTAGCTTTAAATTAACACCAGTTTTTTTGTTTTGTTTTTTTCCAAAGGTGAACGTATGAAAAGAGGATGAAGACCGCCTGGAGTCTGGAGGATGTGTGGTGACGGGATCAGACCTCCTGGAATAAAAACCTCGACTTCTATGTTACATGTCTGTTCTCTGCGTTTCTATCCAGAGGGGAGGATCCAGTTGGTTACAGTGTGAAACTGTGTTCTTCCTAAGCCGAGGGTAGCCCCCCCTGTGTGTGTATGAATGTGTGCGTGCGTGTGTGTGTATGCAGATATGGTTACATGTGTAGGGATTTGTGCCTTCGGGCATGCCAGTCCAGTGTAAACCTACCTAAAGAAGAACCAGTTTGAGATTTCAGAGGGGGGATTAAGAGGAGGAGGGTCTCGGAGGCTGATAGGAAGTGGGGTCTGATTCTCGTCTCTCCCTGCCCCAGCGAGCTTAAACACACACAGACAGACGCACACACACTCAGGCAGGCAGTCACTGGTGTGTGCGGTCGACCGAAGGGGCAGCGGAGAGCTGGTTAGCTGCGGTTTTTTCAAAACGTCTAAGGCGAATCCCTTTGTTGATTCAAGTAATGCTCCTCTACTTCCAGGACTGGCGGCGCCCCCTGCTGGTGAATCAGAAGGGTGACAGGTGCTCAAGTTTGGCTGCAGGACTGATTCGCAAAAAACAATAAATAGAACGAGGGTCTGCAGTCATGGATGCTTTTCTGTCTGGACACCCACCCCTCGAGAAAAAAACAAAGTCTGGCGTGTTTGATTGAAGGGTGCGTGATGCCCTGGAGTGTGCGTAAATGTCCCTCGAACACACTCATGAAGCTGCTCCGTTTGACTCCCCCCCACGCTCCCCCTCCTCCGTCAGCCTCCTCCCCTCCTGTCAGGCGGCGTGTCGCTGCTATAGGCAGTCTTTGCACAGCGCCACCTGACCCTTCATGTAGTCACGGCAGGGGCAGATGCGCTGCAGCGACTGGTGGGCGCCTGCGCAGCTGAACAGCAGGAGGTCGGACTGGAAGATGCAGTGGCGGCGGGTCTGGCTGTAGGCCGGGACCACCGTGTCGGAGCTGGACTCCACCGTCTGACAGTCGATGCCGAACCTGACGAGAAGAGAGACACTTTTTAGAAACTTTAGTGTTGATTTTTTGTGAAATTACGTTGAATAATAAACAAGCTCAGCTGATGAGATTCAACTCTTTTCCGATGGGGCCCTCCAGTGGTAATAACTCAGTACTGCAGCGTCAAAAACTCATTTAAAATCACTCCACTTTGTGACAATCTCTGAATCAAACCTGGGGTCTTCTGCCCCCTAATGGACACTTTTATAACAACAATTGGAGACATCTGTGTCCTGTGCATGTCGTGTGTGTTTGTGCGTCCCACCTGGCCAGGTCCTTGTCCTTGTTGAGGTGCTGGAAGAAGGACGGCTCACAGATGAGCTGCTCCTCCTGACACACCTGCTTACAGGAGCGCCCGGGCTCGGCCAGCTTCACCTGCAGGGCGCTGAGCGGGGGCCACATCACCTGACCGTGGCAGAAGTCCTGACAAGACGGCGTAATGTTAGACATGACGGCTTCTTTCAAAACTGTATAATCCTTCTCTCTCACTCCTTTCCTTCGCTTATGTACCTGGTTCTCGATGAAGGCGTTGACTCTCTGCAGCATCCCCTCACAGGTGAACTCATACGGCAGGTAGGGCTCAATCTGATCAGCCAGACACAAACACAGACGGGGTCAAAAACATGCTATAAAAAGGCCCACGCGGACTCAACCTGCTGTCCCGTCTTTGTACTTTCTCTACTGCCTCCACGGACTCTCATTAGCGGAGGAAAATTCAAGCGCCGAGGGCCAACAACTGAGGCCTTTGTTGCAGGACCAAGTCACTTGCTGCTCTGTGTGTGAGTGTGTGGAGGGAGATGAGAAAGAGGAGAGGAGAGGGAGAGGGAGAGAGAGAGGGGGGAGAGCAAAGCTGGAGTCTGGTAGGCTGAAGCTCTGCCACGGATCACAAAGCATATGAGGCTCCGCAGGCTTGTCCGGTGAACAAAGCCATTGTTCCAAGTTGCAGAGAGTCCCAAAGCCCCGCTTTAAATATGCATGGGCCTGGACGCTTGGAGGAATACAGATGACGATGTTTCCTCTCACTTTGCTTCTGTCTTTGTACAGGTGAGCTGGTTTTTTACCTTCTGGCTGAGGATGGAGCGGATGGCCCTCTCCACCTCTGCGGAGTTCTCGATGTCCACCGTCCACACGTGGGGTTGACCGATGTAAACCTCAGCGTAGGGGTGTTGGGAGGTCAGCTGCAGAGACGGCAGAGGTTAGAAAACAAACAAGCGCATTTTCGAGAAGTCACAGGCGAGTCCGTGTCCTTCACTCACCTCCCTCAGCGTGGGTTTCCCTTTGAAAAAGTCGGTGTTCTTGCTGCTCTTTGGCGGGTTGAATTTCGGGTTGAGGAAAGCGCAACCGTTGGCGATGGCCTCCAGGGGGGCGGGACCCTCATAAGGGAAGGATAGACCCACAAACAACTGTAACGGAGAAGAAATAAAGAGAGCAATCATTAGTTTAGCAACCCTGCCCAGTTATCAGCACTAATAACCACATAAACTGCATTTTTTTTTGTAATTCAAGGATGTAAAGTTTCCTCACGGCTCCTCTCCATGTTCAAATTAAAGATTTTCCCCTGTGCGATTCAAAACACATGCTGCTGAATTAAAAGAACAAACATTTCAGGGTCTGTGGCAGCTCTAGCGTGCTTCAGCTGGAAGCAGCTTGCCAACATGAGCGTGTGACAGCTATCCAGAAACTGAGAGCCGAGCGATGGATGAAGAAAAGGCTGCTGGATGGGACAATAGGCGAGTGGCTCATTTACTGGAGGGCTGGAGTTGGCCGGTTACAATAGCCGGTCTGTGTGTGTGTGTGTGTGTGTGTGTGTGTGTGTTTGTATTATCCAGTTTGCATCAGCACCAAGGAGCTGGACAAATAGTTTGATACATGAAGCACAAGTGCAGCTCTGTACAAATCAGTGTTTGGTTGGATTCTGCCAGCAGGGGGCAGCAGAGCACACTTTTTTTCCCCCTTCTTCTGCGTGTGTATGTGTGTGCATGTGAATGCTCTTCAACGCTAGGAAACAGTCACCCACTATTTATAGGGAGCGAGGAGGGGAGGGAATGAGGAGAGGAGTCAGAGAGCTGCTACGGTTGAGAGGAAAAGCAGCAAATCTGTACTGACAGAGGGACTCTAAGGTGGAAACAGATGAATGATGCTTTGGTTTTAAACACGACTGTTAAGGGTTCGAAATGAGGAATCAATAAGAGCGCTGACATTTACCTAAAGGCTCTCGATGAGTACACCTTTAAGCGCTTTTTGTGTATTCATGTTTATGCATGGCTCAATGCAGCACGTCAAGGACATCCTGCATGGAGAAGGCAATGCTACACATTAGAGTCGCTGCTCGATTGATTTTCGCCTCCTGTATGTCACGCCGGTCTTAAATCCTAATCCTGAGCAATTACAAACGCGAGGGCTTTTACACAGATGACATACAGAAGACGAGGAGTAAACGCCACGGGTTGTAAAAGACGAGTATTAACAGGACTCTTGTTTTGGGCTTTAAAGCAATAGTATGTGACGTTTAAGGAGTTTCCTATCATCAGGTATAAGCTCGTTCCAGTTTGCATTTATTATCCTGATATCTTTCCCTGGAACGTACCAGTACAGTGGAAACCATTCATCAGCTAAAGACAAAGACGAGCGCCTCTTTGAATATTGTCATCGTTTACTTTGTGGTTCCTCTATTGCACCTGGAGGCAGTTGATGCAAATTATGTCAGCTATCTCAATTTTGGATAGGAGGGTGCAAATTAGTTATCAGAACCTACAAAATGCACCACATATTTAGTTGTTATACATTTTTATAGTGGATGCAGAATATTCATGCACACTAGGGCCCGACCCATTTATCGGCGAGCTGATTAAATCGGCTGATTTTAGCCCGTTTGAGACTAATCGGTAATCGGCCAAAACTCGCTGATTTTCACCGATATTTTCAGAAATAAAATGCGGAGAATAAGATTCGGTTTCACTTTGAAAATGTTCCGCCATTTGAAAAGTTCCCAGACTTGTCCTGTAGATGGCGCAGCGACCTCATGACAATCTTTATCCACTAACTACCTCACAGCACAGCAGAGTGACGGATCTGAAGCGGTAGGACGCACAGAGGAGAGTGGTCCGCCTCAACGGTAAATAAACCAGTTTGTGAAATACATAGTAAGTCAACAAGCTTCAGTTCAACCCACTTCACGATGTTTCCCGCTGTGCTGGTCTCGGTCACGCCGAGTTAACGGTGAAGCACCATGTAATATGCAAGCTAAAGTTAGAGTTAGCCACCTGCTATTAGCCTTGCTACACTGTTAGCCGTGCTAGTAATGGAAGAATAAACAACAGTACACATTACGTGATCGAGCTACTTCTCTTACTGAGGCAGCTGCATGTCTCCAGATGAGACCGGACCGGAAATGAGTAATGTGAGTTAAGACGCGGAGGCACCGATCGACGGCGGCGGCGGCAGCGGGGGGCACACTTTTCTGGTCCAAGTTTGATCAGTCGGTCTTCCTGTTGGCGTGAAGAGCAGTAGTCTACAGTATATCTACAGTATCTACAGTATATAAATATATTTTTTATAACTTCATAAAAATGTAAAAAATCGGCCGATTAATTGGTAATCGGACCCCCCCCCCCAATAATCGGCCTCATCGGTTGGGCCCTATTGCACGCTCCTACCTCCTAGTTTATAAAGTCTTGTGCTTCTGCGAGCGTGCGCCGCATCACCTCAAACATCAAGTGCACCGAGTTAAGTGAGCTGCGAGGCTTATTAGGGTGCTCAGATTTTCTATTTCCAGCAGCAGGCACGGGATGTGTTTGTTTTCTCTGTGCAGAACATAACGAAGACAAAACAAGAGAGCAAATTTGTATTTTAACTCTAAAACAGCTTCTTCCTGGTTTATTTGTACATAAATCTCAGGTTAATATTTAATGCAGAGAGCGCAGAAGAGAGGGGAAATAAGTAACACATTGGAAGCAGACAAGTAGAGAGACAGAAAATGTGAAAGCTATGATTCTGTCAGCCGTCTACGTGACTCTCCGCCACACTTCAGGGGGTTTGATCATTCACACTCTCCCCTCAGACGGCGCGCTGACATCAGAGTTTATTTCAGGGTATTTTGTCAGGAAAAATCAAACGTAAGACGTCAGTGGCAGCTTAAGTCCCGATAAAAGCGGCTCCACAACCTGAGGTGTTATGACAACATACTCTGTCAAAAAATAACCCCTGGAAGGCCAATTAGCTCAGGCAGCGCGATGGCAGGTCACAGTGAATGTGTGACTTTATCCCACTTCACCTTCTGTTTTTCTGACGAGACAGGAACTAAAATGTGGAAGTGAAACTGCTCTATTGTTAATCCTGAATACTTCACACTTTGTTCTTTGTGCAGGACTCCACTGCAGATGCCTTCGACTTTACTCGCTTTAGGTTCTTAGTGCAAAGTTGGATATTCCAGCAGAGCCTTTTTCTTGGCTCCGGCGATGCACAGAGACTTTGCAGAACAAAAGGGGGTTGAAATCTCAATCCATCTGTTTTCTATAGCTGCCTGAACCCTGATCTATGCTTCCCTTGCACTTTCTCTCCCTGTCGCAGCTCTTGTCTGATGTCTCTCTCCTCTCTGTCTGCCTCCCCCGCTCTGATGGGAAAGTGTCACGTTTCAAAGGTTAAAGAAATCAAAGCTCCCTCCATCTTTTTTCCCTCTCTGAAAGGATGGCGTTTGGAAACAGCAGAATCCGTCTTTTAATGCCAGTGCTAACGATGGTTTCACCTTCAGTTGACATTGTTGTTCGGTTTTTAAGACTTGGCTTTGTGATGGTTTAACATCCTCAGCCCAATTTCCACCGCATCCAGAACTGCTACAAAAAGGCCATATTGCTGATCGCAGCTGGTCGTAACCATTCAAGTTAATGTGTCAATTTCTACCGGCTTCTTTCCGTTCAGCTGCGGATCGCCGGACTCCACAGCGGATCGCAAGAGTTCAATTTTTCCAGACGCCGCAGCATGCCGCATAAATTCAGCACAGATTAGTCCGTGCTGGAAAGGAAGTCAGGCACAAACAGAAAATACAACATCCGGCTTCTTTTTCAATATAATTATATATATAACGTATACAGGTATATCAAGATGGCTAGATCTACGAAAGCTATTTTAGCCCTTGCCTTATATTCAGACAGGGCAAGCGCTAAAATAACTTTCCTATATGTAGCCATCTTGTTTCAGGCCTCCGATTTTGCTATTTTCCAACTTGGTAACAAAAACACTGGTAACTCGGGTGTGACGTCATTTTCCGCTCAGACTTCTGACTTCTGAGGTGACTCGAACGCAGCGACAATCTGCTGCTTTTAAGAGACGACTCGTTATCATGCGATTGCATGTGATTCCGTGTGTTCTTGTGAGTTCTCACGAGTTCTCGCGATTACCGCTGTCCGTAATCCGCTACAAAATTCACCTCACAAATGGATCCGGTAGGGATCGGTGAACAGCGAAAATCGCTGCTGTTCCGGATTGGGGCCGTTCCGGGTGCAGTGGAAATTGGGGGTCAGAGTTTCGAGGGTTGAGATTTAGTTTTGCTGAAACCTCAAAGAGAAGGGAGAAAATGTACGAAATGGATAAGAAAGTGTGTCGTCCATAAAATCTACACACACTCTTCCTCTATCTGCTCTCTAAACTTAATGCAGTCTCAGTCTTCTGGTCCTGCTCAAGATCTCTGCCTATTAGAAGGAACTTTTTTCCTTTCCACTTTAACTAATGCAGCCAAACTCCATACTGACAGCTCTGATAACATGTTATTTATTGCTGTGGACATCTTTATGGATCAGTGTTGGCAGAGGGAGTAGAACACACACAAACGGCCGCCCTCACATTAAACATTTCAGATGTTCTGCAGTCTCCCTGACTGTGTCCTTGTCTTTGTCAGTGAGAGCGCTTTGAGGAGTGAGAGGAAGAGACAAGTGACGGCGTTGAATAGAGGAGTCCTTCAGTGGACGGCCGGACTATGGGCCGACTCAGATAAACTAAAGCCACTCCAATCAAGGCTCCCTCAGGGCTTAAGAGCCCGACTGACCTTTCCAGTCACTTTTGAGCTCATTTTGAAATAACTGCTGCGAGTAGGCGTCCTCGTACTAAACCACCAAGGATTTGATAAAAGGGAAGTTTTGTCGTGTTGCGTAAATCTGCTGTATCTGAGAAGTCTAACTGTGTGGGCTCACCTTTGTTTCTCTGAGGAGGAACTGCAGGTCCCGGCCGCTCAGGATGCCGTGGTTCTTGACGTAGCTCGGGAGGTGCACGGTGCTGGTGCCATGTACGGTCCCGTGAACCTCCATGTAGCTGTGGATGATGTCCAGGTATTTCTTTTTGTCCTGGAACACACAAAGACGAGCAGTCAGTAACTTTCACAGGTTATTATTTATTCAGAGAGATCAGAAGAACAAGAGTCTGTGAAAGTTCAACACATGACCTGCTGGTGCAAAACTCAGACACAGTCCTGTTTTGTTTCTGGAGCATTAAGACTGAGCTTCCCCGATCTAAAAGTCATCCCCACACAAAGCGCTCTGAATTACATTTTTATGAGGGGATCAGTATCATTACTTTGTTCTGTGGCCTGCTGAACTTTTGTTCAAGCTACCTGACTGACCATCTGGCTACAATAGCAAGCTGGGCTAAAAATAACTCTGTATGAGGAGTATCAGCGCACACAATACCCTGCTATTGTTATTGAAGTCTACCTGATCCTTGATGTCCTTGTTCAAAGACAATAAAGCCTTCAAAGTATGCCAGTACAGCCTGCTTCCTTTAGACCAAAATGACGTCAGCGGCTCCTTTCACACGAGAACCTCAGATATTTTCAAGATAATTCACGACAATCAGGGCTTTCATATTTTCTGGAAGAGCGGAAAGTTTTCTTTGTTTCTTGAAACCGGTTTGAGGAATGACTCTTCATATTTCTGCATCACCTGAAAGGGCCTTCTCATGGTATTACAGGAGTTTGGTGCATCATGGGAGATGTAGTTCTTTTGGTGTTTTTCCTATAACATTTCAAGAATACGATATCCGTCCATGCAAACGACGCAAAATTGACTCCAAGAGTTCAGATTCTTTAAAGTAGGCATCCAAAATAATGTTTACTCTCTTTTTAATTCCAGTATTACAGCTGTAATAAATCTGTTTTTATTATGCCAACCTTGGAGAAGACCCTTGGATTACATTTATATGCAGCACCCAGTAAAGGAAGATTTTCACACCCTTTTTTTCTCAGCCTTCAAGTGTGTTTTTATCTTCAAGGGCAGAGTTAACGTCCCCTAAGTTTACTGCAGTGATTGCACTTGGCCGCTGCTCTCTTCTCATGCAGGACTGTGAGTTCAGTTTAAGCTCACTACGTACTGGAGCAGAAAAAATTAAAGATATGATAAAAAAAAAAGAAGAATAAGGGTTAGCTGTGGTTAAGGGGTGGAAAAACGTCAATTTTAAGTCCCCTAAGGTCATTATTTTCTTAGACTGTGCCATGCCAAGTTTTTTGGACGTGTCTCTTTTCAAAATAAGATTAAGAATAATTTTATTCATCATCCCCAAAGGCAAATCTAATAAAAAAGTCATGTGAATTGGTTTGAACGGAGGTCTTTGATTTCCAAAAACCAGGACACATCGGCTGCATGGCCCGGTCAAATCTGCACACCTTAGATCTCCTCCTGAAACTTACTTTTCTATTAAAAGCCAAACAGAAGCGGTTCAGAATACGGTCAAAAAGCTGTTAAAGCTGAGCTCTTCGGAGCGGCAGTCTAGACGAAAAGCTGACCGTTTTCTCCTTAATGACAGGATGCCTCAAAGGTGCGTTCACCGCTGTGTTTACACACGCTGATACACACTCAAATATTATCGATTACCAATAGTTTCAGCACTCATGAGGCGAGAACAACTCATTATTGTTAAGGCTACCCGTTTCCAATTTACGCTACACTCTTGCAAACAAGACTGGCATTGAACCGCCTCTGCCTCTAGGACATGTTGCTGCCCTCCCTTTGAATGTGTGTGTGTGTGTGTGTGTGTACATGGGATTAATGTGGATAAGCGTGTGTGTCTCAGAGCTTCCTTACTGGGTTTAAGTTTCAGGTAGCCGCTCGTCAAGAGTCCCCGGAGGCCAGGCTATCTGATGCCTCCAGCCAGCCTGCTGTAACTAAAGCTGCCCGCTGTGTTTGTGTGTCTGTGGGTGTGTGAGGAAGAGACAGATGAAGTCCTAATTAGAGGGTGAAATCTCTATCCTGTAATCTTGTCACTGAGGAGAGCTGGGATTCATTATAGGTACGTATGAAGGGATTTAAAGGTGGGGGTACCTGAAGATGCAGAAACACACACACAGGAAGTTGTATACATTGCATGTCAGTTGTGCGTGCATGTGCAAGAGGAAGAGAGAAAGGAGACATCGCTGAGTCTCTTAAGAAAGCAGGATGTGTAAGGTATGGTTTTATCCTGCAGCTGTGTGAGCGTGTTTATGTGCAGCTGAAGAACGTAGATTACAACGACCCTTCCAGGCAAGCGCCACACAAAGCTTTACGGTCAGGAGACATCAAGCGCAAGATGCTCTGCCAAGCGTGGCTGACTTCTCTCCCGCACAAAGAAAAAAAAAACAGACACGATGCGAGGGGCCATGAAAAGAAGTTGGAGAGATTCCCCGGCGAAGATAAGGAACATGTTGGGAAAACACATCTGCAAGGGGCCATTTGTCGTTCCACTTGATACTTGAATCTGAGTGGGTAACAAGCTCGGAGACAGACTGATGATGTCATGGGTGGAGAGTTTTCTCCCCTGTCATGCCTGCGAGGGACACACAGACTGGTGGGATCTGTGTACTCATCTGTATGTGGGTGTGAACTTCTCCCTGCACTTGCAATTTGCAATCTGAAACCAGGAAGCCGATCAATTGCAGCAGCCTTGTACAGGAGCATGTGCTTAGGGAGTTATAAAATAACTGCTTTAGCTGGAGAGGCTGATTGAAGCAGGGGGGAAGAAGGAGGAGGAGGAGGCGAGTTTTATGACCTTGTAAATCAGAGGGAATTTGTAAAGCCTGGCTCGGAGAGGAAACAGGAGAGGAGGCGGCTGCTTTCTGTCAGTGGAGGGGAGAGTTGAGGGATGAGCGTCCAGGGAGGAAAGCTTACCGTTCGAGACGCAACCGCCGAGACTCAGTGAGACTGGATGCACAGCTAGCTTGCTAATGATGCTATTGACAGGGATACGTCTGCGCCGCCCCTTTTTTGTTCCCCTTAATTTATCGTTTCATTTCTCCAACAAAGACAGAGCCCAACCTGTTATCATCTCATCACCATGATGCAACCAACACTACCAAGACGCCCGAAGCAATCTAAAACCAATTATCTTGCCCGTGAAAGGATGATTTTAGCACTTTTTCTCCACCAGAGAATAAAAGGTGTAGTGGAAAATTCAATATTGTCGATGTCTCTCTGTGTCCTTTCTTCTTATATTGATTTTCCCGGAGAACACGGCGTCCTCGCTTTGATTTACAGAAATAAATAATTGGAGTACGAGCCGTCTGATTTGCGGTTTGACGGCGGAGCGACAAACTTCGTATGAGCGTAAAGCCCTGTTTTCTGCTTTTATCATTACACTCTTTATCCTGCTGCAGGGCTGGAAGCTGCTTCTGATGTCTCAGCACTTCATCCTGACAGGTAATCGTGTCGAAAAAACAAAAGCACGAGTGTATTAATCTTACTCAGCGGCGCATTTCAACCAGAACAATAAACTTCCTTCACACCTGAGATGATTCCCGGTGTATATTCATTAGGCTCTGTCATAAATTATCCGTCTTTGATGAGCTACAACACTCTTTTTGATTCTTCAGATGTATTTTTGTCTCTTCTGTGTCTTGAATGAAAAAAAGAAAAGGCTCCTCTGAACATGTGCCATAGTTTCCCAGACTGCCGCAGTAGCGTCAAGGAGAGGGGAGAGCGTTCGCCTCATCAGGATTCAGACAGGTGCGCTCGGTTTCGGCTTACTCAAGCGTCAAACTGTCTTCCGCATTAAACATCAAACGCACCTGTGATCATCTCCCCATCTGAAATCATTTCCAGCTGCCGGTCTCCGAGGCCTCGGATCTGGAAGCTTGTCAGTCAGGGCGGAAAAATTCACTTTCGCCTGTTCTTCAGAGGAAAGGAAGGAGTCGAATCCCGCGCACACACACTTACACACAGAGCTCATTATCTTCGCCTATCTCTGCGCTGATGTCATAATGTTGAGTCGGGAGACGATATCGCATTTTTAATGTGGTCATTCGCAAAAGGGCGCTCGAGCAATTAGTCCGACTCAATCGCCGACATATTGACCTCTGTCTGAATGGAAACCTTTAAAACGACGACGCTTTAACTGGGAGGAAGTCTGAATCAGGATTGAACACTACAACCTAACTTTGAGAGGATTTGAGGCTGAAGAATGAGCCGTATAAAAAACCCACTCGACACTTGAGTAACACTCTGATGGATCCTTGAGGGATCCCCGTGGGAACATGGGCAGTAAACTGTATCCAGAAGTGCTCGGAGTGCAGCTCGAGTGTGTTATGAGCTGTTATTTACTTCTGCGCCACGCCCCATTACACATTACAGCGTGTTACCTTTTTAGAGTTTCTTACCGAGAGAGAGAGAGAGAGCAAGGTGCTGTCTGACGGCCGATAACCGAGCCTCTGGTGTGTTTACGCGTGGAGTCATCCCAGTGTGACCGGCTGAGGACATGTGTGGGAGTAAACACTGAATTCTGCCTCTATCTGAGGGGAGTTACTGTCACGCTGAGAACACCTGTAATGCTACAATGCTACCATTTCCATGAAAGAAGATGCAATTGGTATGGGATCAGTATTTAACTACCTCTGGATTAATAAAACAAACTACAAATACATGCTCTCGAATCTCACCCTGCAACTGAAACTTGATTCCTCATCTTACAATTTCACAGGAGCTAAAGTTCACTCTGTTGTTCATCCCTTACACTATTTTGCATCCACTCTCCCCACGCAAGCTCCCACACATTTTCCTGTAGCCATCATCTGTGTTTATCTAGTCAAATCTATCAAACAACACATGATTATTATCTTTGTCTGCTCATAAATTGGGCTAATCCTTCACCTCTAGAAAAAGATGGGAGTTTCCCCGGCTTCATCAACAGCTAATGTCAAGATTTCAATCACAACCTCATCCTGCTTAAAAGTCCTCCTGATGTTAAAATATCACTGAGTGTTTATCTGAAGTGTTCGTAAGACTTGAATCAATCGGAGCGATCATGCCTGTAGAAATTCATCTGATAACATTTCCCTCTTCACTGCACCTCTTTTCCACATTTGAGTTCCTCCACCAGCACTCAGGTCAGTTTAATGGCCAAAGCGGTTGCTTCATCAGCTCAGTCAGGCATATTTAAAACCCCGGGAAGGTTTAATGTTCAACTCAACCGGGTTATCCATCATTAAAGAGCGATGAGACACACTGTTCTCTGTTTAGGAGGCCTGCCAGGGTTAGAGTGTGAGATGGCTGCCCTCTCTGATTTGCATATGCCAGAAATGTACGAGTGTGTGTGTGTGTGTGTGTGTGTGTGCTTATGTGTGTCTATCAGCTTAGCATGATTTCCCTTTCTTCTCTGTGCCTTTTGATCTGCTGCCAAAGCCCGCTGCTTCCCCCCTCGCCGTACGTCCTATCCAGTCTGACCTTTCTACATGTTCCTATCTTTATCACCAAAAGCCCTCGTACGTGCTGAAAGACGCTGAACTCTGACCAGCGGGTTTTAGCTTCTGTTCTATCTTCACCACAGCAACAAAGATGCAGTATTTCCAAAATATCTCACCCTTGAAATACAGACAATGAAAAGTGACACAACAGCTGTTTCGAACAGTGTGCGTACGCATAGAAAGAGACAGAAAAGACAGCAAGTCACTCTCAGTTCCCTTGCTCTGCCTCCCTTTAACTGGGTTGCTATGGAAACAATTCCCTCAGAGATGGTCTGGCAATTTTACTTCAGACCTTCCCGTCAACGATGTGTTAAAAGAAACTATGTCTTGTGATCCTGGCTCTGTATTCGCAGGATCTTCTCAGCCAAATGAGAGATGATTAAATTTCCTAACACACTGATTGAGGAGAAATGATCTTAGCGTAATCACACCTTTAAAAAATGAAGAAATAAAAGGATCCGGGTCTCGATTCAAACCTCGTCTGCTTACAAATATTATAAATATAGATCTTCTGACATAGAGTGATTCACAGAGTTTCATTCTTTCACCAGTCGTCTTGTTTTTTTTTTTGAGTGCTGCAACCTCATTAGGGGAGTCAGACAGAAAAGTTGCGGCATAAGCGTACACAGAAACCCGTGAATGTACAGCTCGAGCAACAGCTCATCGATGAATAAATAAATAATGCAGCTTCACAAGAAGAGAGCCAAGTATCAGGCTTTAGTTTGCAGAGTAAAGTCAAGGGGATTCATCCGGAGTTGAGTATAGCTCCAACTCAGTCCTTTCTGCAGCGTTTCTGCTCACAGTCAGCTGAAAAAGTGACAGTGGAGCCAGACTGACCTTATCACATTTTCATTCTTCAGGATAGAGGCCGATGCTTATCTCAGTAATATCGAAATAAAGTGTCAGGCAAATCCGAGCAGGGGAAAATCCTGTCGTGTTTGTCCTCGCTGTGTCGTAGCTTTTAAATCACGGTTGCTCAACATGTTTATTTGTAATTAGATTAGATTTTTATTCCAAGGATAACAAATAAAGAAAACACTGAAAGCATCCAGTCAAGTCTGAGAAAATCATGACTTTTTTTTGTAGTGCAAAAGAAGCGTCTCCAAAAACTGAGAAATAGTGTGTCTGGGCGATTACTCAGTCTGCTTCACACTGCGGCGCTCGGTCGGTACACCTGTGGGATGAGTATGACTGGACCACCTTTGCATACTGATCAGGCTGAGAGGGGAGCTTTTGAATAGGCCGTATTTTACGTGAAGACTATTACTTACCTAACCCACATTAACCCCGGCAAATTAATCCCCAGGAAGGAGACTTCACTCCGCTAGAGGACACTTCGCCGAGGCTGTTACAGGTCCTGGTTTTGTCTGCGAATGTTCCGTTTTCAGGACTTGGGTTAAGACTATTATAGGAGTGCCTTCATATGAAACCAGGCGTGTTATCATCAGGATGTCTCAGCGCTTTTTGAAGCCAGAGGGCAGTACTGGGACGTAAGCCTGAGGTTACATTAAAACACAAATCTTTTGTTTATCCCTGGATAAACAAAGAAGACAGTCCAAGGGTTTAAAATGAAGATTTGGTTGGCAGGAAAGCCCTGGATTTCGCAAAGTAATCTTAGCAGACAGATTTTTATATCAGCTGCTAAATGACAGAGGAATTGAACGCACATCTATGTTTGTTTGTAAGATTTTCCTTAACTCTCATACCGGGAATTTGAGCTTTCTTTGTGAAAACGATGACTTCTGCTATTTTATTCTAAATAGTCAATAAAAACTCTGGAATAAAACCTCTGGAGTGAACAAAAGGAGATCAGAGGACAGCGTGATTTAAACAGAAGAGGGAGGGAAATGGAGTAAGGCCCGCCAGCTCGTTATCAGTCGGCTCCAAAATGGCCCTTTAATTAAAAGCAGGAGGTAATGAACACGCTTGGGAGTCTGATTAGTAGCTAATGCCCCTTGCTGTGAGCTGATGGGCTGCCCTTTTATAGCTCGACTGAATGGTTCTGACTCAGTGCGAGAAACCACAAACCACAGCAGCTACCTCTGGATTAAAAAACACTCAGAATATACGGCCTCGGAAATTTTAAACTGAACCCAAAACTTCAGAGGTGGCTCTGGATCGAATCGTCGCGCAAAATTAAATCATCCTGGAGTTGAAACAAACGAGGAAAAACAGCCCAGTGCAGTCATTGTTCTGGCTTAGAATTTAGTGTCAGTGTTCGACATGTTGAGCAGGTTTTTGTGTAGCTGGTTTAGAATAGACAGGCTGAATTGGTTACCTGTGCGGATACTCATCCGACTCTTGAAACATGATGTTCAAGTATCCTTGATTCAGACACTTCACTCCCATCTGCTTCAACAGAACAACCCAGTGGATAGCTCAGAGCACGAGCGCAGTTTTTTAACTCTTTATGCGTCTAAAAGGACAATCATTCTTAGTTAATCACACCTAACCTTTGCCCTCGAAGGGAGCTAAACCCCAGCTATCAGAGACTTGATAGCCAAGATAGCCAAATGTGAGCGACCCAGTCTGCTGAAAAGCTCATCAAGTCCTAGGGACTAATCCAACCATCCACGGCATGCTGAACAATGTGTAAATCTCCCCCAACTCTAAGTCGATTTTTTTTTTGTGTGTGTGTCTGGGATACTGTAATCCTTTGGTCTGTCTGTGTGCTGCAGTGTGAGCATGTATTTGAATATATTAAAAAATTCCACGGAGAGGGCGCTGAGCTGAATTGGATCCTGAACCAGACGGTTATTAAGTTTGTGTGAAAGTTTTCTCTGAGCTCTCCGAGGACTGAAAATGGGTTATCCTTGGCGTGGTGGTGTTCTTACTATTCTCTTTGTCTTCAATATCTCTTGAGTCTGTGGTTATATGTTTGTGCCTGGATGGGTTTGCATTATGCATCAATGAAATACAACAATTCAGGGCGAAAAAATTCTATAGTGGGTAGCTGGGTATGATTTGGTACCTTCCAGAAGTTGTCGACCTTCCCGTAGACGAGTGACTGGTTCTGTCTCTTGATGTCATCGATGTGCTTGATATCGCTGGCGTTGAGATGCTGCTCCACAACGAAGCCGAGGAAACTGTTGTCTGGGGTGTGAGCTGTAGCAAAATAACAACAAAAACATTAAACATGAATAAAAACAAAATCAAAATTGCTTTCTACTTTCGTACAATTAAATGCAGTGCAAACAGGTTTCAGCGACACAAAGGAAAAGAGAGAGAAAAAAACAGAACTCTGCTTTAGAGTTTGGAAAAGTAACCTCATTTTTGGACATTTTTCTCCTCTTAATGTGAGTAAAAGTGTCCACAAATGACAGCAGACAACCAATTCACACGTTCAACCTCGGTATTTTGTTCAAATCACAATTTGAACACAACACGTCTCCACAAGCAATCTGGCTCTTTGTTCGCTCTGTTCCTTATTGCCTGGTGATGACTAGTCACTATGGGAACCAGTGATGAACAGGTCATGTGTGGAGCTGAAGTTGGCAGCACTTTACTCCTCTACCATCTGCCTTGTAAAAAAAAATGCGAAGACAAGAGTTGGAGTGCAGACAGGAATTATTCAGCCGATTTAATATGCTTACTAATGCCGTTTAAAATACGGGGAGAAAAAGAGCTGTTCGAGCGTAGACCTGATCTCCTCTGTAGGGAATGAAACAAGCTGCGAGGGAGGTGTATTGTGGTACAGTTATGGTTAGTTTAAGCACCCCAGGGAGGCCTCTGCAGCCTCAGGCAAATTAAGGTCAGCCCTGTCAGAGGGCGACTGAGTTCAGTTCAGTTCAGTACAGTACAGTAAATAAAACTAGAAAAGCAGACCTCCGCCAAGCACCTCATGCCCCCGCTTAAACAAGAAATACCCTGACTAGCATTCTAACCCAGGACCTTCTGGTTGTGAGGTGACAGTGCTAACCACTACACCACTGTACCGCCTATCTACACCACCGTGCCGCCTATTGGTTATCTTTCAGCATTGAAAATTCCAACAACACCCTTATTTTTGTGTGTTCTGGATCACAGTATCCAGAATTTTGTCCGGATCACCACCAAAATTTAATGGGATCCTCCTGGGGCTGAGATGCACCTCTGGTGTTTCAGGTCAATCCGACTGTTACTTTCTCCGTAAAGTTGCTAACAGACAAACAAAAAAAAACAACGCTACAGCCAACAGCCACAGATTCAGGATCTAGGCGACCTGTAAGCAAGTCAGGTTCAACCACTGCAAACATCTCTTTTATGAACAAACTCTTATAATTATAGGATATGATGGAGGATGTCGAGGGTTTTAATGAAAGGGCAAATAAAAGAAAGGAGGATCTGCAAAGTCTAATTACATGATAAACGTTTCACAAACACAGCTGATATATTCACACAAAGGTAATGACTATCATGTGATGATGTCAATGTTTAATCACTTCACATCTTGAAATAATTTATATATTATCTAAGTAATAAAAAAGCCAATAATGTCTAATTAGAGTCACGAATACACAGTTCTTTCCAGGAGCTCCATCATGCTTTAGGTTCCTCTGGATTGTTTCGCTGATGTGGACCTGTCTTCTTTTCTCCGCTCTGTCCATCTTTCTCTTTTTCTGCATCCTCTCTCTAAACCCAATGCAGTCTCAGCAGATGACTGTCTAACATGTGTCTGGTCCTGCTCAAGGTTTCTGCCTGATAAAGGATATGGCAATGGGTAGAGCTTGGTCTCGACCAGTGTTTTCTTGGGATAACACTTATGAATTGGCTCTACATAAATTAAGACTGATTGATTGTTAATCTATTTGGATACAGAAAGCTTCTCTGAACATGATCACAAGCCTCTGCTTTACAGATTTAGTCCAACATCTCATCTTCTGTATGCAAACCCTGCATCTGCACCAAGTACACTTTCATCCATCGTGTTGGAGCAGAGGGATGTGGGAGTAGTTGTTTTGAGGATCAGTGGGGGCTTGAGAGTGGGCAGGAGCTGAATGCAACAACTGTTCCCAAATTACCTGCAGTGTTTCTCTAAAGCTGGCTGGTAAAACTGTTTTGTACGGACTGAATAAAAAAGCCTAAAACACAGCCTGACTACCTTGCTAAACCAGGCATTAGAAGGGGCGCCCAAGAGGTTTAACACCGCACGAAGAGTGTACCATTCTCAGGCTAGTGCTTAACGAGCCTTGTAAACATTTTCATAATGTCTTTAATGAGGATCTGTAATCTTTGGTTTAGGCACAAAACCTTTATTTCCAACCAGAGCTCATGGTATAAACTGTGTATGTGGATTTAACAGTTTGGCATCTGAACCTTCTATTGACGCAACTAAAATAACACAATTGAACTGATGATAGATAATCTACTTGGACTTCTTGAAAGTTTAAAAATAAGTCTCTGAAATGCCCCTTTAAAGGTTGTGTACTGCTATTGAGAAGACATAAGAGAGGGTGGTGGTTATAATACAATCTGTTTTTTGCTACTGTATGGGAAGGATGTGTTGGTTACTTATAGGGTGGGAATCACTAGTGGCCCGGCGATATGATATTATCACGATACTTCGGCCACGATTTGATATTATCGTGATTTTAAACATTCTGCAATACGGTGAGTATTGCGACACCATAAATCGTGATTTTTACATTTTTTTCAACAGTATTTTATTTTCATGTAGCGCTTCTTGCAAACCTCATATGTCATGTCCATGTTATTTGTGCCCTACTTGCATCCCTAATGTCCTTCCCAATTGATTTTATTTTTCTATTATCATAAATTTGACTTGATATTCGTAGTTAATTTGAAAAATCAATACTTGGTGAATGAGACAATATCACCAGACAAAACATTACGATACAACGCAGTTTCAATCTTTTCTCCCACCACTAGTTCCTTACGCAGAGATGGTCTTCTGATGGCGAAGAGGCAGAGATGAGCGTTTATGAACCAAACTCACCGTGTAAACAGGACAGCCTGTTAATTAGAGCTCAGTCCTCTAGATGCGTTTGGCAACAGATGCCTCCTCTCCCACTAGAGATGCCACTCAAAGAGCCGCTCACCTTCCTGCGGCTTCATTGCTATTAGCTAACAAACAGCCGGGGATCGCGGCGATGCAGCAGAGGCAGCTGTTTGGTTGAGTGTTTGGAGTCCATATCGGTTCAAACTGTTGAGCTGAGTGGTAAACACTCCACCGGGGTATTCCACAGGGCTCTCTCAAGGAGTATGTAGGAGAGGCATGCTTAACTATATCAGCGCTATACAAGACGGTGATCCAGTTTCAGACTGAGGACCACAGATACGTGCAGTTGGAATACAGACTTATATTATAGAAAAATAATGTCTGTTAAATGCAAAAAAAAAAAAAAATTTGCAGAGCTGCTTCATCAGCACTAATGTTGCCTTTGAAATTTCAACATCAAAGACTTTGGGTTTCTTCTAATGATCTAAATGGGCCGCAGAGTGAAAATAAACAGCTCAAACTTTACACATAAGCATATTTGAGATCCTATCTGTTGGGCTTTCAAGTTATTTTTAAGAGCGGGAAAAAGAGGGAGGAGTGAACATTCGATCTGTCAGGCTGTTCCCACGTGTCGCCGTGTTGTATAAGTACCTGTGGACCCCGACTGTTGAGCTCGCCCCAGTGGATATGTATAGATCTGAGTCCATACATATATGCTTCTGTGTTCAATAAATCACATAGATGCTGCCTGAAGCGTTTCAACCGCTTTTTTCTCTGTACTTACATTCAGGTTTACTGAACGGTCGTTTTGTTGCAAACTTGTTTTTATGTTATGAAGCACAGAGTGAATAAATCAAACTTGACGGGACGTGAACCCTTACATGACACTCCAACCTCCAGAAAAGGTTAATTCAATTTTATTTCCAAGTATATGGCTCTCCTGATTATAAATGACTTGTACCAGGAAGCAGAGCCAACTTGAATAACACTGGCAGCTCATTGAAACACATATAGTACACCAGAAAACACACTCTCTTCTATCCCGAGTCTGAAATAGATTAATGAGGTCAATTTGGCCTTGTCTTGTCTTATTGGCTAGAGGCCACATGCTCCCAATTCCCTCGACCAATGATTTATGGAGAACCGGCTAATAGTAACAAATGGGCCAATCCAAATGGAGGATAAATTACCTACTAGCACCTGATTCTCCCATGTTGCCGCAACTTTAAATAGGTGAGATGTCATACAGATTAATGACATGAGAATCCAAATATGAGGTTCGAGAGGGTAAAAACTTGCCTATGGTCTTTGAATCTAATCAATCGATTTTCGCTCCGAGTCATAACTTGTTTTATCTTCAGGTCTGGACCATGCTGTTATTGACCACTCTGAGAAAACGCTTGGCATGATATGCCCACTGTTCTACAGCCAGAGGGTACAGTGTTGTAGGGAGGAGAAAAAAACTGTTTCCTAATCCCCCACGCCTGGAAGTGTTGCCATTCTACAGTTGTAACACTCGTCCGGACCGCTGTGCACTTGTTTCACCAGCGATATCATCTAACCTGGCGACTCTTAACTGGATTTTGTGTAAAGCCCCCTGTGTGCTATGAGAAAGACATACCCTATCAGCAGACAAAGGGCCCATTCAGGTGCGGTGGTATTCTGGATAACTCCAGGCCTCACCTCACAAACGGGGACTGCGGGGGTAACATTTCACTTTCTCTTAGCCGCGGGGAAAAGGTCAATACCCCAGGGTGGCTGGCTCCCCTCTCTGCCTTCCGCTGAACCACCTCCACTCATCCACCCTGGCAAATGCGGTTGACTCCAGTTACAGAGTGATCTCACAGTGGGAGTGATGCACACACAGAGAGCAATAAACCCCCTACGTCCTACATTCATAATCACAGTAAAATGGAGAGCTGAGAGTCTGACCTTCCCTCCCTTTAATCTGCTTGATGATATTCCATTAGTGCAGCAAAGTGCTGGATTTTCAAAGTGTCTTTAATGTCTGTTTTCCAACTCAAATATCTCAGTCAAAGGAGAAATCTAAGTAGCACAGCGAGGACAGGAAACTAACTATGGTGCGGTGATTGCAAAATAAAACTGTCTTTAACTGCAAGCAGTCGTGCTTGGCAACTTGTCTTACTTACACAACAGACTGAGGGACTCTCTGTGGTGAAGAAATCTGTGTGTCATGTGAGGAAGAGGGCTAGTTTTAATCTCTGCGGTCCAGTACAACAGAGTTGGGGTTCGTGACTGATGAAGGATCCTCTGTCATTGTTAGTGTTGACACAAGAGGACAAATCAACCATCACAGTTTGGTTTCAAGAGTGGAAACTGTTTTTTTTTTTGGATCTGTAACAATCAATTTATGAGTACTTTTGTTGATGTTTTCACTTCCAAAAAGAGGCTTTTCAGTGTTGTGTTTCATGCCGACTTACGGAACATGGTGTTGAACTGCTGTGGGTTGAGGTTCCACTTCCCCCACGGCGTCTTGTGACCCTTAGACTGGGCATAGTGGGCATGGTTGAACTCTGGCTCAGTCCCAAAGGAATCCAGCACCCGCAGCATACACCTATGATGCAAGGGAGAAGTATGAACCGCTGCTCCGCTGTGGCAGAATTTTGAAGATGAAATAAACAATGCAGCTCAAAACAGCTCAGAAAAGCACGAGAGGTTGAAGGACAAACAGCTCGGGGACAATAAAATCAACTAAATAGCAGAAGACAGACGTGAAGTAAACATCTAAAAAAAACATTATTTGGGCTCTGGACTTGTCTCAACACGGGTCGAAACAAAATGTCAACAGACTTTGGCAGTTACGGGGAAAAAATCCTCAATCAGGTCTGGCAGTGATTTACATGTTCCCCTTCAGGGTGAGTCAGGATCCATTTATTGACGTGGAAGTTCTTCATCTCCTTGACATGGTTGATTTCTCGGGTAATGACTCACTCACCGTACTTTATCTATATTTATATGCCTGACTGTGGGTCGAGGGCTGTGATACGCAGGTTTAGGCTTTCTTATATAATCTTCATATCATGATCCTCAACAACAGTTTTTTAGTATAAATATTTAGGAATTTTGAGTCATTTTTCAATCTGTATCACTTTCCTTCAAACAAACAAAACACTTCACTGGATTTCTTTCTTTTCTATGATATTATACACAACAGTCTGATAGGATGGAGCAGGACAGACATGAAACGGTACACTATGATAGGATATGATATAAAACAGTATGATACACAAGGATACGATATGATATGATACAATATGATACGATTTGATACAATACGATAGGATATGATATGATACGATACAATACGATACAATATGATATGATACAATACGATAAAACATTACGATACGATATGATATGATATGATACAATATAATACGACACGATACGATATATGATATAATACGATAATATGATAAGATATGATATGATATGATACGATACAATACAATAATACGATTCGATTGGATATGATATAATACGATACGATAAGATATGATATAATACGATAATACGATACGATACAATACAATAATAGTATACGATATGATAGGATACAATACGATTATATGATACTACGATGATAGGATATAAAACAATATGATACAATACGATGTATATCAGGAATGAATAAACAACAAAAACAATAAACAACCCACATGTAAACAAATGAAAACTCTAAAAAACATTTTTAAAGTCCACATAATTGCACATTATACGTGCACACAAATCAATACTCCTACGTAAAGTAACTTGATATGCATTCAATCATCTCAGTGTTTTATGATTAAAATTGATTAAAAAAAATCATTGATTGATTAAAATTTTATGTACTCACAACTTAACTAAGAAGACAGACACCTCTCAATTGGTTCTATTTCTGTGCTTCATACTCTGACTTGGAGATGACAAAACGACTCTCTGAATGAACACAAAGGCTGACCCACAGTCACCACAGAAAAAGAAATGGATCACATCTACACAAGGGGATGAAATATATAAAGTCCAAATACTAGGATTTGCATTCATCAAATCACTGACACATAAACTCCGTTACTAAATTCTGCTTTGTGTTTTGTTTTGAGATTTTTTTATTGAAAAAAAGGGAAAACTAATATCAATGTGTTGCAATCTCCCTATTTTCCACACTTTGCCAAAACTAGACCGATTTTACTCATCATTTTCCTTTTGGGAAATTAAATGACGTTCCTCCACTTTGGCTTCATGGGAGAACACTCAGCATTAATCACACCGTAATAGCGAGAAATGAAAACAGGCGTTCCTCCTTTTATTTACACACAGACATCTGCATCTTAAAAAAGTCCCTCCCTCTTAGTAACCGTCTCTATGCCCGGGCAGATGCTGTGCAGCCACAGCTGGCTGTGCGAACGGCAAAAGGCCCAGGGAGAAGAGAGAGCTGCGAAACACATCCACCATGAGGGAACTTTAGACAGAAAGCAGAACAACAACAACAACAACATACCCACATGCCATCTCCACTGGCTCTAGAGGAAAACAACCCTCGCCTGTCCCCAGTAGATATATCCTCAACAGATGGGGAAGTGCTGTTGGAGTCATAACATGATGTAAATGTGGCTGCAGTGAGGCTTTCAGCACATAGTCCTAGTCCAGTGAGTTGACAGTGGGAGTCATAATGTGGCAAAAGCTGAGGCTGTTCAGCTCCACAAGTGTGCACTTAAGTGACACTTGCTGCGAACTAACAGTCGAGCTGAGCTGAGTGGGGATGTTGTTTTCTGAGTAAATGTGTAATTTCACGACAATGAAATCCATCTGAAAGGCTTTCTGATGGATAATGTAGAGCCATGGTTCCCCCCCTCTGTGAAATTAGCAATAAATAATGGCTCCATATGGGCCATTAACAATCCGTGATATCAGATGGGAGTTTCTGTTATACATTCATCTATTCGAGGGTCTATTACATGTCTGTGTATCCCTGAGGCTCCAACACAACAGCTGGATGAGAAACACAATGGGAATTAATGAGCTGTCGTCTAAAAGCATTAGTCTGAATTACTGCCCAACATCAGACTTTGATTTGAACAAATAAAATAACTTCATGAGGACACCGTGGAGCTGAGGACTCTGCAATATGTTTGTGATTATTTGACTGGGGCTTTTGTCTGAAATTTTGCTTTGATTTTTGGGTAGAATCACCTTCTTGAGGGTGATAAATGTCAGTTTTTATTGAAAGTGCGTTTGAGGGACTCTGCCATGGAGGAATTAATTCGTAATAAATAAAGAGAAAGTTTGATTGCGTCACAGACTACCTCAGCTTTCTGCAGACCAGCTGACATTGTGCAAGACTTGAGTCATGCGAACTCTGGCTGGCTATGATGTGATCAATCATGTCTAATGTGTACAACAAGAGTTTAATGCTTACAGGACTCGAATGATCAACAAAAACATGAAGTCCTGAGGAGAGAAAATGCTGTGGGATTCACCCAGAATATCTCCGAAGTTACAGAGCATTGAGATGCAGAAGTAGCAGAAGTCAAAGCAGAGACTGGATAACAGCTTGAGCCTCTAATCCAAGATGTTTGCACCAGATGGAAATCCACACTGATATCATCACCCAACTTCAAAGAGACAACAATGAACTTAGAGCTCCTCTGGCAAAGAAGCACATCAGCCGTGCAGACCACTGCAAACAAAAGACGAACCTTGAGACACTCCTGGAGTCCTGCGGGTGAACTACTTCAAAAAGAATCACGATTTAAAGCAGATGCAGAAAAAAGGAGGCTGAATTCTCTTTGTATAGTGAATGCATGAGCTTCCATAGCTATATAACGAAGCTATAGCATCTTGATGTAGTTATATACAGAATTTAGAAAGCTTTCTGTCATTCAAGGGTTATATCTGTACTAGCTGTAATGGCATATAGTCACAACAGCTGACAGCAACAGGATAAATCTGTCCAAAGCCTCAGCTTATATTCATGACCAAGCATGTGATTGGTTAATTATACAAACAACAGAAAGTTATGGCCTTGACATCAGTTAAAAATACCACAGCAGTGCAGTGCGTGGATAAGTACACACAATAGAGCGTACCAGAAACAGAAAGACACTTCAGTCAGAAGTAGAAACGGTTAACAGCAGCAGACTCTCTGCTGCCTCGCCGATGCTGATGACATTGCACTGCTGAGATTAGGTTATTGGATGAAAGGATTAAATGAAATAGAACAACAGGGAATCATTGGCTCAAGTTTATACCCGGAAAAACAATAGCTCAGAGTATTCCCACTGCACTGGAGTAGTATGAAACGCAGCGATACAGCGCTGAAAGACGGTTCGCAGGAAGACTGGGGAAATAACAAAACGCATTACTCACAAATGGGCCTGACAGACTTTGTAGCTTTGTCCCCAAACACACGAAAAAAAAAAAAAAAACAGGGAAAGCAAGAACAATAACGACAGGGTTTATTGTATGCTACGTTTCTGAGACTGATATGCAAACAAATCCGGCATGTTCAGTCCACTGGATGTATTTCACCCTGACAAAGAAACGCTGTTACAAAAGGCAACGAGGGCAAGACATCCTATCCACTTAGAGGAAAGACGACGCCGCTTACAAAAGGCCAAACAGGGAGGCTGAGTGGGTTAGGATTAGTAAAACAGAAACTGTACAGAAAAATGGTTCCAAGTGCAGTCAAGGTCCTCTTTCACAAAACACAACAAGCAGACACGCTCCTGCAAAGCACCCTGGCATGAGTGGTCGTCGGTGGTAAGCGAGAAACAGCATCTGGACCTTGCATTATACTCTGGAGCTGAATCAATTTCCTCAGGGCACAAAGGGAGCGGATGCAGTCTAAGGTGTTATGTCACAGACGGACAAAACCTAGTGACAAGCAGGAGGAACCAGCAGGGCCATTAGTGCCCGCAGACGTATTGTTCTTTTTCTTTTCCTGTCAGTCCAAGGGGTGATGACAGCGTTTTGGAAAACAAACCAGGAGGGTCTCATCTACAGTCCTCTGCGGAGCAATCAGAGGAAGAATAGACTCGAGAGCTGAAAATATCACCAGTGACGGACGTTACCGCGGCCTTTTGGGAGTCTGTGGTAATGTACGGGCAGAGAATAGACTTGTTGTCAAACCAAGTGCGAGACAAGCCTCAACTCGAAGCCCTACGCCTCTGACAGAAGTGGTTCAACCACAACTGGCAGAGGCAGCGCGAGGTTACAGGGCTGTACAAATGACTGAATTAGCCGAGCGGCTGACAAGACAATAGAAGAGGGTGGAAGTCTTTGTACTTACTGGTAGTGAACCCAAGCAGGTCCCAGCGTCTTCTTAAACTGGGTGAGGCCCACGATGTCGATGTAGATGAGCTCCACGATTTTGTCCCCCTGGGTCGGGCAACTTGACTTGTTCCCCATGACCTTGCGCATGATCCTGTGGTGACAGTCAAGTTAGTCAGCTGTTGCTCTTGTTTGCTTTTTCTATTATCCAACATTAAAAACCCTGAGCAAACATTTGTGCAAATAAAACAGATGAGTCATTAAGAGAATTTGTGTCGTAACCTGGGCAGAACTGGGCGTAAAATTAATTTAGGGTCCAACACACCGCAACACCGAGTTAGAAGCTCAGTCTACAGTGGGGTTATGCAGCTCAAGGAAGAACATTTATGATCATTTCTTCATGGAAATGCAATCAGATTGAGATGCTAAGGCAGAAGAACTACCGTGTCTGCAGTGCAAAATGATTAATATGATGATTATTACTTCAAGGAAATGATAAAGAAAGGATCATAAATATTCTTCCTTGAGCTGCGTCACCCCACAGCAGTCTGTAATGGACTGTCCTGAGGTCTCGCTACAAACAAGCAGCTGCTGGAAGAGAGTAGGTGAGTTGTGTTTAGTCTCTTTGCTTAAGAAATTAGGCAAAGTTAAAAAGATGTTTGGTGGTTAGTGCTGTGGCTAGGACCCTATATGTACTTTTGATGAAGTTAGGTGCTGTTCTGAGCATTATTTGTGGCTATAGAGTGGCGTTTTGGTTGAGCTTTGTTGATGGCTCCTCAGACCGCTGTGTATTGCTATGGTGCGGTCGTTTCTAAAGTTGGTATAACTAGAGAAGCAAGCGGTCGGCAACATTCATCTCTCCAGGGGGTGTCTAACTCTGTATTACAGTGTGTTTGACCCTAAATTAATTTTATGCCAGAATATCCCTTTAAATCCAACCCTGAAGAAAATACAGCGAAGAGTCGCCTGTTATAAAAATTAAGACCGATGATTCGCACACAAACTCAGAGCAGCCAAGACAGTGCAAAACAGAACTTTGGAATATCTGACCTCAGACATGTGCTCTACAGAGGCACATCTGGATAAACAACAATCATTATAACTCGGGAACAGGCTGTGTTTGGCCTTAAGGTGTACTTAACTGATTTAGCATTGCACAAAAGAGTACAGAACAGTTTAAAAACAACCAAACATGATGCAAAGCACTCTTCTATTCTAATTTACTGCGTGTGTTTTTCTTCCACAACCTGGAAAAGTAGGAGTTTTATGCTACTAGCAATTTATGTTGTCCAAAGCAGAGATTGGAGCAGGCTGCAGAAGCCGGGTGGGCTTATTTGGACTTACTCTTTGAGCTCAGCCAGGGACGCCGAGATGCGAACATCATGGCCGAGCAGGTACAGTGTGGTTATGAGATCGCTCCACTGGACCAGCTCTCCTAGTGGGCCACCGCTGAAGGCGTTTTCTGCTATCTTAAAGCCCGACTCCTTAGTCAGCAGGCCCAAATGCACCAGGACCTGCAGGAGAAGAAGAGCAAAAAAAAAATCCCCTTTCTGCTCAGAAAGCTGTTCAACTTTTAAGAGAAACACATGCCGCATCACTGAAAAAGGATCACACTCAAAGACACACGCACAAAGTGATTTTCACTTGCTCTGGGGGAACACTGTGTTCTGCAGCGAGTGCAGGAAGTAATAGTGGCCTTTGTTTGAAGTGACCTGTGCATTTTTCAGTGTTGACAGCTCGCCTCAGTTCAACAGCACACCAGTGAGGGATTAATATGTGCAGATTAATATCCAAAAGAGATTAGCGGCTGAAATAAAGACACGGCTCTGAGAGGAAAATAAAAAACCTCCTTAATTATATGCTGAATAGATTAAACCGGGGAACAGAGAATGGAGAAGGGATACCAAAGACAGATAAACAGATGGATAGATGAGGGTTCTGGTTTCTCGCATCCTCCGCGTTGCTACAGGGGTTGCTGCTTTGCATCAGCACCAAGGTATCATGGGAATGTGATGTGAATTATTCACAAGGCCAGTGGAAAGTGTGGAGTACATTATTCAGTGCTGGAAGCTGCTGCCAGCTTGGGACACAATTGAATATCCATGTCAGTCCTTTCCCACCGCAATCTCTCCCCTGAGCTAAAACGGGGGCGCGCTACAAGTGCGAATGAGTGCGCGTTTCAGCGTGTGCGTGTACCTGAGGCGTGAAATTCTGCCGACTAAGGGAAGGTGTTTTTGGAAAGTTTTTGACAGTGTTCCTTTACTCGTAAGTTCGAGATGTATCAGAGCTCAGTGGTGACATTTTGGGGAGTTGAACGAGAACTTTTTAAGGGAACATCTTTAAGATCCTTATCAGGTGTTATGCATGTGTCAGGGCTGGTTACATTTATAATGCATGGAAATCTGTCACAGTTAGACTTCATATCAAGCAAATCGCTGTGTCTGGCTGATCTCCTGAAATGTCCTCAAGTGCAGGGTGAGAGTTTTAGGAGGTGAGGAACAGTGTTCTATCCGGCCTAACACAATACAGAGTCTAAAAAAGGAAGTTCCTTGATTTATTACCCGTCGAACATTTTGGTGCTAACGTCAACAAACTAGCATCCACAAGCACTTAACGTCACACAATAGTTCTCTGGCTTTCCCTCCGCTCAGTTCAATCCTTAATTGCTCCCTCCATTGTACAAGGCCCTGCATGTTATGCCCACCTTCTTCCTGCGGCGCCTGGCCAGGTCCTGCTTGGCAGCCAGCGAGCGGATGGCGCTGACCCACGGCTCGGCCATGCGTTTGATACGCAGCATCATCCAGCGGAACTCCTCGCGCTGTGACATCACACGGTAGAGCTCGTCGAAGCTGGTCCTGACCTCCGCCTGCGCACACACGGAGGCAATGCATCAGTGGATAAGACCCAATCAGCAGCATACATGCACGGTTAGAGTGAGTGATGTCAGGGACGAGATTTCTGTTTCAACGAATGAAATCTAATCTGAGGTGCTAATACTTCCTCCTCTTTTCTCTCTCTTTCATCTTAATAGCCGAGCTTGTTTCAAATTCCATTTCTGCCGTGACTTAATCCAGTTGAGCTTTTTAAAAATTTATCGAAACTTCTTTAAACTTATAATATTGACTACTGCTATTTCCAAATTGCTGAAGGGCTCTTTTCTTGGAAGGAGACCCTTTTTGAAGAAGGCGTTGTGATGAAACTAAGTGCTCTCGGTAAAAGCCAAAGTCACAGCCGGCTCGAGGATTAAAGACTTCTCTGAATCTCATTTTTCCACCTCAGAATGGCAGACAGATAAATCTAATAGAAAAGTACAGAAAGTCACAGAAAGCTCTCAATAATCATTAAAGAAGGCAGTAAAGGGAGTCTGTGGCGGTGATAATAGCTGTAATAAAACTCAAGTTAGATCAGAAAAGAAAACTAAATATGAGACATGAGGCACCTTCACAGTTTGTTGGCAAAAGAGTGGAAAGAAAGAAATAAGGAAAGGGGAACAGAAAAGAAAAAAGAGGGGGATAGGAAAGGGAAGAGAAAAAGAAGGAGAAAGGGGATAGGAAAGGGAAGAGAAAAGAAAAGAAAGAAAAAAGGAAAAAGGGAAAGGAAAAGAAAAGAAAGAAAAAGGGAAAAGGGAAAGGAAAGAGAAAAGAAAGAAAAAGGGGAAAGGAAAAGGGAAGATAAAAAAGAAAAAGGGAAAGAAAAGAGAAAATAAAGAAAAAGGGGAAAGGCAAAGGAAAGAGAAATGAAGGAAAAGGGGGGAAGGAAAGAGAAAAGAAAGAAAAAGGGAAAGGGAAAGCAAAAAGAAAAGAGAAGAAAAAGGGCAGAAAAGGGGGAAAAGGTAGAGAAAAAAAGAAAAAGGGGGGAGGTAAAGGGAAAATAAAGAAAGAATAAAAGGGAAAGGAAAGGTAAGTAGTAAGGCCAAGGACAGGCAAGCGGAAGATAATGAACAGAAACGCCAAAGAGAGAAAAGGAATTCAAGAGAAAGGAGAACAGAAGGAAAAGAAATGAAACAAAAGAAACAGCCAAGAAAAGAAAGGACAGGAAAAGTAGAACAGATCAGAAGAGTGGAGAGGAGTTGACAGTTCCAATTATCATGATAGAGAACCAAGATACAAATTAGCAGATTTTTATTCGTCAAGTTACAGCAGAATAGATTAATTTCCAAAGAGGATTATCCGTTGAAACAGCAATCCTTTTTCATTCATGTGTTCAAGATAGAGAAAATAGGGAACTTGGGAAAAGCCTGAACACCGTGACTGGCCGGAGCCGAGGAGAGTAAGATAAAGTGAGCAAAGGAGAAACCACAGCGCCATTACCAGCTGCTAAGGTGGCTGAAACAAGACTGTTGCAAGGCATTAGCATCCCTCATCACGACAGGAAATCACTCTTGCAGACTGAACCTATTAAAATCTGGGCCTGAATTAAAATCTCCAAAGCCTGTCAAATGGCATCTCCCCACCACGGAGGGCTCAGCGCTGTTGAAGCATCCAGCGAGGGGATGAAGAGTGCTTAATATTGATTCACCCACAGCAGAGAGAAGGGGGTGTGTTTTCTTTTTCTTTTTCTTTTTTTCTCGAGGAGTGTTGATATTGTAGACTGTGCAGAAGTCTGTCCACCCGGAGGAGCGCTCTGAGTGGGATTTGAGTGAGCGGCCACGTTGGCAGGGATAGAAGATCATTATTCCAGATTTGTCCCAAGGTCCCGTCACTCCAGCTTCAGTCTCCGAGAACTGCTCCGCTCTTTCACGCCGTTCAGACGTGTTAACACTGCGGATCTGCTCACTCATTCGCTTATTCTCGAACAATACAAAAACCTCAAACACATCACATCGAGTATCTAATCAATAATTTATATAAATGATTGTTTCACTGTGCTGCTTCATCTTGAGTATCCCTCTGAACGTCATTAAGTGCTTTAATTCTGTCTCTACATTAAGTAGGATAAAGAAGCGGGGATTAATGCCTGCTGAAAAATTTATGCAAATGACAAAGCATAATGTCAGCAGGTTCACACACTCAAAAACAAGATTACCCTTAATCCACTTGGACCACAACTGTAACTGTTTAAGTGTAACCTGACTCCCAAAACAACCAAATCAGGTGTTTTTCTCCTTTTAATTTGGACATGCCTAAAGACTTAAGTGGGTGTGGGTTCATTCTTGACTCGACTACAAGTATCATTAAAACACTGTTGTTAAAGCGGAAGCATATCATTGAGCTGTCATGGTGAAAGCTAGAAAACCTCACATTTGTTGTTGTGTGTTTCTCACCTGTCCTCTGCGGTCTATTTCTTGGGTCATGGTCTTTGTCCTCCAGGGTAGGCGGGGACACCAGTTCTCCACCTGTCAAACCAAAACCACAGATTCAGTCAACTGAAAAGAAAAAAATGAAACAAAAGGTGATTGTCTGCAAATTTTTGTATTGGGAGGTTTAGAGAGCAAAGATGTGCCACTATTTTGCACTGTGTTAAGCTGGTAAAATGTGTATTTTTAAAAAAATCACAAGAATTTTGCTTATATAACAAGGTCTCTCCAGGTTTCAACAAATCAATTTTTAGACTTTTAAAGACTTTTTAAAGACCATAATGAATACAGATTAAGACCATAATTGCAAAAGAAAAAAATACAAAAAACATGAAGTGAAATCGGAACATTTTACATTCCTTCCAATCAATCTTTATTCCTATGGCATGTTGTTTAATCTTGTAAGTAGAGTTGATAGATTTTGAAGACCTTTCAAAATCGTATTTTAGACATTTCTTGTAATTTTAAGAGAATTTTAGACATTTTAAGGCCTTACATTCAAATTATTGGATTTTAGACGTTTTAAGACTTTTTAAGACCTTGTCTATACTCTGGGAAAAGATTTAACCGTGAAAAAAATGTTAACTCTGAAGCTCTTTCTAGTTCCATCTGGACGCTTTTGTTGATTTGATTTAGTTTTCATAATCGCTAAAATTTAGCTGCTTTGCTGCCTGAGTCAGTCTGTCTGTCACTTCATGTACTGTGAAGGTGGCGGTCTTATTTTTAACATCTTTAACACGTGTAAGTCAGCACTCCCACAGATCTTTTTTTAATCTGCTTTTAACTTTTCACAGTCCACCTAGCGTGTCAAACGTCTTTCCCCCGTTTGTTCATTTTCTTCCTCATTTTACGAGTCTGACTGGCGCCGTGATCGCAGAAAGATTGAAAGAAAAAGCTCCCGGTGTGTTTTGCCTGTCTCAGCCAAAAGAGAGTAACTGTAAGGTGTCTTTAGCCTCCTTCTTGTACAGTACACACATATCACGCTGGTCTTTCCCCGGTCAGCCCACCACAGCTGACATCCATCATGATATGTTGACCTCTGCGGTTTGCCCCCTTCGCAAGGTTAATGCGGTGGCTGACAAGTATGAATTATACATGGCAAAAGGGTGTGTTTGAGTGTTTTGTGTGTGTGTGTTTAAATGGAAATACACGCCTATAGCCATGGCAGTGATACCACATGACCAGAGGAGGAAGCAGAAAGCTCCCAGGCTTTTACAGACATGATGTTTCTGGGTTCACATCCTGTGGACTCAACTTAATGTTGGTTATGTTTGGTCAAATCATCAAGTGTAACACCTCCCTTATTGGGGACCCATTTAATGTCCCAGGGACCCACTCAAATCTCCATCCACGGTCCCCGAGTACTCGCTTCATGAAAAACCTCTCAACCTCAAAGCAGAGAGAAGATGCAATTCTTTTAAACTGTTTCTGTGAACAAATGTGTTTGTGCTCCTGTGTCAGAAAAATCCGACAGGCATGAACAGAGAGGGCGAGGAAGGGAAAGGTTTCTCTCCTCTTAATGGATCTGCTGTTGTCCATCTTACTTAGATAAAGCAAAGCTTTCTGTGTTCTATATTTGTTCAGCCAGATGCTTTCAGCTCGCATACAATATTCATAGCAGGCAACTGACCATTTCAAAGCTGAAGCACTGACTGACATTTCGCTTTTGTGCCATTAAAAAAAGTTCTCTCAGGAAAAACTTTGAGGTTTCACTTTTGTTTGAGGAGTCTTTGCTCAGTTTTGTAAAAAGAAAAAAGTTGTACAAGCCGTCCATCTGATAAGAGCATCCATCATAATCAAACAACACTGGGAAAATAGCAGCAGGCTGTATCAGGATGAATGAAAGCAATTACAAAAGAGCTGCAAGGAACATATCAAAACCTTTGTCAAATGATATGACAGCGAGATTCATATTACTTTATACAAGCTATAAGGTTTGGGCATGTTGAAAAGCCTTCACAATAAGAGCCTCTTGTAACAAAATCAATCACCCCCCTGCTCTCAAGTTGCTTTTTCCAGTTTGCGAAGGATCGAAGAGACAAAGGCACGGTAACAAAACCATTCAGAGTCCTTCCTTGGAGGCTGAAACTTATCTCTTTATGCAGCACCTCGCACCACCCCTCCTGTCGCTCCCTTACCACTGAGTCATTCCCACTTTCTCCCACATCATCCCCAGAAACACACTCTACACACTCTAATTTGCTCTCATTAAAAATGAAATCCTCTCTACCTCGCTGCTTTGGTTTTATTTTTAGCGCTTCGTTCTTGTGTGATCAATCTCGGGTAACAGGAGTTTTGTTTGGAGGTTGTTGCTCTGAGCCCTTTCATTTTTACGGGTGTCTATGCCGGAGTGTTGGAGCTGTCTCAGCTCACTCTTCTCTCCTACAGGAGGTGTGTTTGACTAACAGGCAACGTGATAATTATATGTTCAGCACAAACATCCCCCACACATTCCACTGAAGGTTGGTAAACGTTTCAGCCCGAACTGAAAGATTAACATCAACCTACGTGTTTCCTTTGTAAGCAATAAAGAAAATCCCCTATCCCTCTTGAAATTAAATATCAAATATGTACACTACAGGTCAGTGGTTTGGAAGCAAGATCATAGTTTCATTATTATACTTTGCAACACAATAAACATGACTATTGTGTAAAGAGTAACTTATCAGAAGACATTCTGACTATAATTATTAGGTATTTGAGTTATTGTTGCTTAGACTTTGCTTTCTTTAAAGAAACCTCCTCTGGCTTTAACAGCAGCTTGGCATATACCAGGCATTCGTTCCACAAGTTTTCTAAGGTATGTTCCAGGGATTGCATTCCAAGCTTTCTTAAGTTCATCAAAAAGATATTGCCGATTTGTGAGACGCGCCTTTCTGACCGATCGATCCAATTCATCCCGCACAAGCTCTATTGGAGAAAGGTCTGGAGACTGAGGGGGCCAAACCATCTTTTGAAGAACACTTTCCTCTTGTTTTTTGTCTGAGTAACCCTGATAGAACTTGGCAGAATGCTTAGGGTCATTGTCTTGCTGCAAAACAAACTTGTGACCCGCAAGTCTGAGTCCAGATGGAGCAGCATGGTGCTGGAGGATGGAGTGGTACTGTTCCTTCTTCATGATACCCTTTACTTCAAACAAATCTTCTACTCCATCATCTGCAAAACATCCCCATACCATGGAACTACCAGCTCCTTGCTTAATATTGGGTGTAACACATGGTGCTTTCAGACATTCACCAGTTTGGACGATACACAACCCTTCAGACCAGCCTTCCTCAAATGTCTTTTCACCGTTGTCAGAGATATGGGTTTTGACCTTGTCATGTTGATTTCTTCCCTTATTTTTGGTGCTGTCTTTCACCGATCTCTCTTACTGGAAGAAACATCTGATAATGGAGTAAATACATCCCAAAATACATACAACTCATGCTGGATTTTAAAAAAGCATTTTGAACAAAAACTTGAAGTTACTCCCAGCTGTTCAGCCTGTAATGGCCTTGCTTCCAAACTTTTGGCCTGTAGTGTAATCTAACCGATTACTAAAGCCATGTTTTCAGTCTTTCAATCAAAGACAGGAATGGTTAAGAATTACTCTCTTTGATTAATTTGCTTCTTTCGCTTAAGTTTGAGTTCCTGCACCATCTGTGTCCTGAGAGACTTCATGTGCTAAAGTCATGCATGTGACTTTCCACAAGTCGAGAACAGCATTCAGTGTTAAGTGTCACATAAGACATGCAGTCATGAGACTGTTTAAATAGACTACTTTTGATCACAATACTGTGATGGTCATTGTGTGATCTCGCGCTGCCTTAGGGCTCGAGCGCATCCAAATTTGTTTCAATCACGCACTCAATGGGTCTCATTCATGAATGAATTTATGATTTATGAATATGGATTTATGTGTAGTTTTACATATCAACGTCTTCGTGGTTTAAAAAGCTGCTCCAGACTCATGGACATGGCAGAAAACCCAGATTTGCATGTGTGTAAGCTCAGACAATTGATGATATTTGACGATCACGGTGCAGAGAAGAAAAAGAGAAAAAGAGACAAAAGAAGATGTGAAACCCGAGGAAACTCGCATATTTCCTGTTTCAAAGTAAACAAACAGTACTCTTCAATCATCTTTTCATTCTTCGAGGATTTTCCTGGCGCTCAGCTCGGCCTGTTTCCCCACTGCACTGATTTGTATACTCTTTCCACAATTTGGTTAAATTTTACACAACTCTTGAATGGAAATTTGTTCTCTCCCATTTCCCTCAAGCATTATTCAAAACTCTTCAAGCAACATTTCCAAGGAAAAATCTGTTTCCTCAAGACAAAAGTGAAAAAATATGGCCGAGTCAATCTGCTCCATGTTTTTTTTCTGCTTGTATTTTCGTATATTTATGATCACTGACATCAGCTGAACATTTATTCCTGCCTCCACTTTCATTTTGCTCTAAATATGAGGGATATGAACTTCTTCTCCTCACTGATCAGATGTTTCCACACCATTTACTGTCTAATATCATACAGAGAGGTGGGCGGATGCATCTGTTGAGTAATAACATAACACAAAAGGAATATATTCTATTTAAAGTTCAAGTTATTTTTATACTCAACCTGGTAAATGTGTGAATTTCCAACAGCCACGCCGTCTTTATCACTAATTATCCAGAGTACAAACATCAGCCGTGTATCAATGCAATCAGCAAACCCCAATCACAGTGTTGGTTAACTGACCTCGCTGAGGTAGATGAAGAAAGAGCAGGTGGATCCGTCCACGCCATAGTTGCCGTAGCAGGAGTCTGAGCGCCACATCTCCTTCATCCACTAAGAGAAAGGAGAAAGAAGCAGGGTTCAATCTGAGCTTCTCACAAATCAACCTCTTCCATCCACCTGGATTTTGATCCCTGAAATATATGAATGTATATCTCACAAGAACTTCAGTGGTTGTGCTGCTGGATAAGAATTTTATTAAAGTTTTGTCTTTGTTGTTTTTGTGTATGCAGATTGTGATACTTTAACACAAGCCTACTATGTCTTCTTTCACCCTCCGTATGGAAATACTCCAGTCTGTTTGTTTTTGCTCAGAGGTTAGAGGAGCAGGACTGTGACTCCACATTCACTGGCTCTAAGTCTCTGGAATCAAATGGAAAATGCGGGGTCTGGGAATCAAAAAGAAAACAAGTTCCCTTTCATTAAATACACGTGCAGGGGCTTCTCGGCGTCCAACAGGATGAGTGTGAGGTCGTGCTGGGTTGCTGTCTTGAGAACATGTGGGAATATATCAATGTAAGTGTGGCGCTGTCATGAGTGGCTGCCTAGTATAAGTGCCACTGAGCTAAGATCAGGCTCAAGGACAGCATGGATACTGACTTGAGGGAGCAGAACACAGGAAATATAGGTTTTCAAAGCTGTCTGTAGAGGAGGGAGGAGACAGATGGGCTTGAATCTGAGAATTTTGGTTGTTATAAGCATAAGCATTGTTCTCAATGGTGGATTTGTCAATCTAAGACAAGCCTCTGTAACAAAGTTTATTTGCATTTCATCTCTGTACAGTAGACGCGTGTGCCAGAGTGAGTGGCTGTGCTTGTGTACACGGAGAGTCAGCTTTGGCAGGGCCTGGCGCCCAGTTGGAAGTGCTGACAGTATCAGCGGAGGACTGGGACCTGGCCGAACAGATGGTGTGTATGATAGGGCCCTATCAGCTCCAGAGAGACCCACACACCCACAGTAAAACGGAAATATGAATCTGAGCTTCTGTTTACATCTGTGTGTTTGTTATTCATGAGCGTATTGCTGTCAGGCTCGCTTTCATGCTAGTTTCTTTCGAGAGGACGCTTTTTTGTGCTTTGCTTCAAAATTGCATCTGTTTGCAGACGAGCTGTCAGCCTCTTCTCTTTCCGCTGCGCTTTGCCCTTTCATCCTGACGTCACTAAACTCTGTCCAAACACTTTTTTTACAGCGGGCGAAAGCAGACAGACTTATGTACAGATAAAATGTATTATTTGCTGTCTTGATTGCTGAAGACTTCGACAAACACTCCAGACTAGCTGCCACCAGTTTTCAGAAAATGTCTAAGATGTCACTTGCTGGTGTTCGTGAAAGTGTTGTTCCTTGATTCAGAAAGAAAGGACTGTTTCGCTTCAAATACCTCATTTGAATGTTTGCAAACAACACAGGTGCTCAGCGACGGTATTTACTCTGCAGCGTACTTTAAGGTGCCTTTAACCCTTTTCAGGCGCTGTAAGAATTAAAAAGTGTTGTTCTGGCTTCATCAGCATGTGCAAAAGCTGTACAGTCCTTTCAAAAGTTGGTGCAGCGATCACTGAACTGCACTGATCTTGTGCAAGAAAATTGGGTTAGTGGAAACAGGCCCTAAGTGCAGCTTCAAGTTGAGGTTGATGGGCATTGTGTAAGGTAAACATCATCATCACCAATCAACATACACACAAAAAACATCAACAACATACATTATGTATCCTTAAAGCACAGTACTTATGTTTAATATGATGGATTACACAGACAAGATGATTGTTTGTACTTATTCTAAAAAAACTGCAGTTTCCTGTTTGCCTTGTTAGAGTTTTTAGCTGCTGGCGCTCTTTATTCTTTCTTCTGCAGCTAACTCCGTCTTTCTCCTCTGAGCTGCAGAGTGTAAAGGGAAGGCTGTCTTTATGTGTGCGTCTCTCTTTTTTTAAGGTTTGAATGATTCACCTTGAGCTTGCCCTCGCAGTGAGGAAAACCATCCAAAGGCGGCAGCTCGCACTTCTCCTGGGCTCCGTTTAGGAGGTCTGGGGGGAGAGAAGAAGAAGAAAGACAGCGAGAGAGAGAAAAAAAATCAATACGGTGAAGTCAACAGGCTTCGAAATTCTTCATCCATCTGTGGTTTAACAATATATATAATCCTCCTCACACTAGAGCGGAGGAAGATGAAGACTCCTGCATCAGTTTCTGCAGAAGAGGCTGTGTGCATCTTCATCAAAGAATAACAATAAGCAGGAACACTAAAACAGCATTTCAACTTCAACGTTATTGGTGTTAAATTGAATCCACACAAAAAAATCTGTGCACTTGTGTTTTTATTTCATTGCTACAAAGAAAATCTGCAGTTTGGAGCATCGAGGGTTCAACTCTGATGTTTAGGGGATCATGCACAACAGATAAAAATGTGCGATTACAGCTGTGTCCCACATTTATCCATGTTCCCCAGATGTCTTTGTTCTCTGTGACTGATTCATGCCTTTGTATTCTCATCACACATGCTTCCTTGGCACTGTATCTTTGAGTCATATAATATTCTGTTCACTCTTGGGCAGATATCTCCCAATTTTACTAACCAGTGGTTCCACTTTTTTGCACCTGCTTAACTCTTTCAGGACGTTTCATAATACATGGGGAAAACCAGCTTTTAAATGATTCATCACAAAACTTCAGCTATCTATGAACCACCTTGCACCCATCCTAAAAAATGAGCTTGCATCCTTATGTACAAGGACCTTGCAGTTTTAATCACATCTGGCCTTGACCTCAGTAATCCCCTGCTCTCTGTGACTTTCAACACTTTCCAGTGAAATACAGAATTGATTTCAAATTTCCCTTTTTGTTTTCAAAGGCTTAAAAGGATTAAATGGATTTGAAATAATCTTCTTTAACTTTTTACATTTTACATTTAGCCTTCAAGTTACAAAAGTCATTTAATGCCCTAGATTATACAGCAAAACCAAGTTGACCAGGCTTAGGGCCTGTGTCTACTAACAGCAATTTTGTTCTGGCAGTGACAGCATCCTCAGTTCCTGTGATTCAAATTCCCAGTATTGAGATACTTTTACAAAAACAACATCACAATGATAACTTTTAGTTCGGTTTCAGCATCATCTTTAGACCTGAAAATCATCACCACCCCCTACCAAAAAAAAAAGAAAAGTGTGGTACGTCTGGCTGCTGCCACCAGGAGTCCCTGCTTTTTCTCAATATTGTTTGGTCTGAGAGAAAGTGCCAACACTGACAAGTGTGGAGGTATTAAAAAAATCTGAGCTATATTGTGACAAAAAGTGACAAAAAACTGCTGTCATGCATTAGCCAGGTATAGACAGAAGGCAGTGACAGCAGTCAGTGGACATAGGCCCTTAAAGAGTTTTGAAATAAGGCCAAGTTTAACCCAAAATACAGACAAGGCAGCATGCAAATGGGGTAATAGGGCATTTTGTTCGCTATAAGAACAGAGTTATATCCTCTCTTGATAGCTCAGCATTATGAACTTCCTTAAGTCATTCCTGTCAGTGAAATAATAAGCAGGTTCATAAACATGACAGGAATGAAACAAAACAACACCCAATAGCAAACAAAAGAAACCCTATGCCAACAAATTACACTGAGCATGGATATGTGATGAAACCAACTGGGTGTGAAACAGGTTTCTCTTAAATCCGTTCCAAAAGAATTTCTTTCAAACTTGGCATCAAAAACCCTTCGTAGCAAAGGTTTCTAGGTGCCAAAAAAACATACCAAAATTACCTTTCCGGTGCCATTTTCTGTTTTTCAACATGACCTTCATGAAAAGTTGGCTGGTTCGATCAACACTAATGCAAACACAGGTGGAGAAGCATTTAAAAGTTTTGATTCTGAGACAAAAATTCTGAGGAAGTCACTCGTAGCTGTCCCACAGTGCTTCATTCGGCCAGTATGCTGAACTTCACTGTAGAATTAAAATTCATGGCGTACACACAGGCTTCCCTCCAATATAATCACCTTTTTGATATCCCCATACTGAGATGTTAACGTCATCGCCACTGACCTTTACAGCCAGAATATAAATAATGCATTAGGGTGGGCTGTGCAGTGAATAGATAAAGGCTGAGAGGCAGACACCAGACTAATGTAATGAGTTTGCAGGTGGTGTTTTGAGAAGAGGAGGAGGGTATGTTTGCATACGAAGCTAATCAACTCCAGTATCAGGTCAGACTCCTGTTGTGGTAGATGGGATTGAAGGGTGGGCTTTTCACCGTCAGTTCAGTTCTGTGTATTTGCACCAACAAGCTGCTGCGGTGAACAGATACTGTACCGGTAAAACTCAAACTCTGGCTTGCGTTCCTTCTGTTCTGCTCTATCTCTTAGATTAGTGTGAAAAACATATTTTAGTGACAGCGACGCTCTCTGGCTTGCACCCTCAGCTGATAAAGAGGTGGTGACATGTTATTGAGCACTGTAACTAAACACACGTAAGTATGATGGAAAGCAACCAGCACAAGTTTCCATCCCCTGCTTTAGAAACCCATTTAGGGAAATGAAACGCTTGTAGCAAGACTTTCATGTTTAGTTTTCATCCTCTGTGGTCACTCAAACCTCGTTTTGTAAGCTGACCCAACTACGAAATAAAACTGCTGGCTGCTATCTGGTAAACATATCACCAGCCAGTGTTCTTCGCCACAGATGGTTTGATATGTTTTAAAAGGCTTCTCTGAAGTGTTGTGATATTTTTAACTGTGAGAGAGAAGACAGGCAGCATTTCCAAAAACGCAACCTTAGATTAGCAAAACATACAGATGGAACGATCGAGAATTAGCAGGAACAATAGATTTAAAGAGAACAGTAAGTCACGCACTCAAACGCGTAAGAAAAAGCACATGGAAGCTCATTTAAAGTCTGCTGCACGACATTTAGACATGCCTGTGAAAGACTGGGAGAGTTAAGTCTTTGGATGCTTTAATACACGCTAGTGTTGGGCGGTATGACGGTATATACCGTGTGACGCTATAAAAGTGTCTACCAGTACAAACTTTGCTATATGATTTATACCGGGGAGAGAGAGCAGATGTCAGCTGCATCTCTCCAGTACAGGAAAGTCAGAGCGCAACTGTTTGGGTGCGTTTCCGTATATTCACCAGCGTGTCGTGCGGAGTTTGTTCACTCTGTTCTATAATCCAGTGTTGTTTTTGTTGACGATGACGTTGACGAAATATTTTCGACAACGTCATCGTCAACAAAAACAACATGGCATAGTTTCGACGAAGAAGAAACAGCTTTGGACGGACGCGAAGATTAGTGGCAGCACCGAGCAATCAAGGCAGCCCGATCAACCCAACATGAGGAAGAGTAGGAGGAACTCGTACTGGAAAAAGGGCGCAAATCGAGACATCGGTTGTCTGGAGATTCTTCAGATTTAGAAAATCCGACAATACCAAAAAACAATCCTACACAAAGAGTGTCGTGTGGCTGTCATTGCTGGAGGTGGAAACACCAGAAACCTCTTTCACTGCCTATAGATGAAACACGCCAAGCGCTATTATAAGAGCCAAAAGATGCGTGGCGCACCCACTGCACCAAAAACTAAAGTTGCAGCAGCTCCTCTCATACAAAAGAGCTTGGCAGAGTCTTTTGCCAAAGGTACGCCATGATAAAAAATCGCCAGAGTGGTGTGGCATTTTGTTTGTATATAAATCCAAGTTTAAAAATAAAAGGAAAATGAACAAATGCAACAGTATGGTTATTAGGCAACCCTCTCTTTTACGGTACACTTATTACCAGGTAATTAACAGGTAATTACCTAGTAACAACATGAAATTATCTGGTAATTACATGATAACCACTAAGTCAATACTGTCTAGTTTTTCTCTTTTTTTGTGCAGCTCCATTTTCAAAAGCTATTTGGGGTTCTTATTTTCTATGATTGACACTTGATACAGCCTATGGGCGAGCGAAGATTGCGTAGCGATACGCTGTTTGAGCCGAGCATTATCACAGCGACTCACCCGCTGAATGCGTACAATGCTACTGCGCAAGTGGTGGTTCCAGGAAGTGGAGAAAATCCTGGAAATACCAGAGCAATTCGGCTTCAAATTTGTATGATGATGGAAGGTTACCTACCTGGTAGCTAGACAGTATTGACTTAGAAGTTATCATGTAATTACCAGATAATTTCATGTTGTTACTAAGTAATTACCTGTTAATTACCTGGTAATAAGTGTAGCGTGAAAGAAAGGGTTACCGGTTATTTTTATGCCAGTAATTGAATTTACAAGGGGAATAGACATACCGTGATATGAAGTTACTTATACCAAGATATAAGATTTTGTTCATACCGACCAACAGTTATTACACACACTGTTTGGAGATCAAATGGCAACACCCGTCTGTGAAAGCGCGATTCGAACTTGCACTCTGCTCCATACCTGTGCCTTTGTTGATGTAAACAGTCAAACTCTCCTCTCCCAACATGACTGCCTCTGTGTTTTCAACTCGCTGTGAATCATGCTGTTGTTTATTGAAAGCACTCCCTTAAGGAGCTCAACTTGTGATTTGTTGTTTTGTAAAGTGGCTGTCTTGTGCGGAGCGCTCCAGCCACAAGCGCAGAGCGAGAGCTGTTGTTAGCTCATTCTTCAGACGGCCAGTCATCCTGTCGCTCTGCTAACCAACCAACCGACCAAACGGCCCGTCCGCCGCGGCCTGTCATCCGCGCTGTCGTTCAGCCAGTGAGCCAGTGGGCGCCAAAGCCACCAGGCAAATCTTCTCCTAGCTTTAATCAAGCAGAAGAAGCTGCTGCCAAGGAGCGGCTAAATATAGCTCTCTTTATAATCAAATGCAGCAGAGAAGGCGAGTACATTCACCAGACCCCAACCCTTAACCTGTCCTTCTCATCCATTTATCCATTTATAGTCATCCAAGTCAAGCCTGATGACCTCTTATGCAGGACAAAGCTAAAAGACGACACCCTCGCAAAGAATCTGTGGGAGGGAACGTCACGCAGCCAAAACATCAGCTATCAGTCATTGTATTGTGACATGAGGACGGTGAATGAGGCCACCCGAGGTGTCAAAGCGATCGTGTAAGGCCATAAGCTCAGTTCAAGACCACGCCTTGGCTCGGCAAATGCAAACACAGAGTACCTGAGAAGGTGAATGCAAATATTGATAAAGTTTAAATGATAAAGCTTCTCCAAACAGAATACTCACATGTGTTTTGATAGGCAAATAAAAGCAGATAAAAGATAAAGAGGTTAATTTGTAACAGACAGAAAGAGACGGTGCCGCAGGGGTGAAGCGATAGAAATACGCGGTGAAGAAGAGCATGTAAAAGGATCAATGTGGGAATTTAAGAAGAGATTGGAAATGTGCATAAAACCAGAGGCGTGAAACCGATGAGATCATTCAAAGTTGCATAAGAGCCTCTTTATTAGCTTGTATATCTGATATCTTTAAATAGCATGATCTCTGAACAATAACACACACACAGAGTTAGTGTTAGAGTTATTTTCCTTCTTTTCCTCAGTGTGTTCTTCCAAGTCCATGAGGTAATCTGACATCTGACGACTCCAAAATTATGATTAAAGACATCTGGTTTATGTTATTTCCTCCCTCATGAGTTTCTCTCTCTCTCTCTCTCTCTCTCTCTCTCTTTTCCCCCTCCGATCTCTGCTGCTCTCGTTGATTCGCTTCTCAGACACACTAAACTAAAAAAACCTTCCCTCAAAGATGTAAAAATCTGCCAGGGCCTCGCTTCGATGTCTCAATTTGGTCCGTGGAAACCCAGTAAGTGTGAAACCGACTGGATCTGTTAGCCAAAAAAAAAAAAGTTCTTGAGAGAGACGTGCCAGAAACGAGGAGAAGTTTGTTAAACCTCCTGTGGGCAGATTTGAGCTGGTTAAGGCTGAAATTTGTTTAAAACATTGAGCGGAGTTTTGCAGTCTTCATTTATAATTATATTTTCTAATTGCTGTTATTGTTAGCTGAAGGAAAAAAACCCTCAAAGCGCAGCCAATTATAAGAAACCTCATCTAAGAGTGATTAAGTTTGACATTGGTGGTATTCTTACATTCAGTCTTGAAACACGACACTTACTTCGCTAAACAGTTTCCTCTGTTCAAAAGCTTTTGTGGTGAGTTTTTTTATTCTATACATCTTCAGAGCTAACCCACAGGAAACCAGGTTCTGTTTCAGAGAATTCAAGGGGCTTCCCAGCATGAGGGGCACGTGTTCGAGGCTGCTCACAGCACATGTCTTGTACTGCCTCTGGTCCACTCAAGTATTCCACAGTGAAGTCCTAGAGGCAAAAAAACAATACCCAAATTCCCCCTATGTATCCCTACACCCCACTCCATACTGAGCTCCCTCTTTGCCCCCTTTCTCTGGCGTCTGACTGTAATCAATCCCTCTTTTGTGCTTCAGAATCTGACCGGCCCGCTGTTCTCTGAAAATATCGCTTGAATTTTGCACCAAAAGGACGCGGGAAGGCCTTGAATTGCTTGAGCCGCGGCAGAGTTATGACTAATGTTCCACTGCTTATCTAGACAAATGTTGGAAGCGGGCAGGTTCGGCTGTGAGATGTCTCCGGTTAGCCAAAGAACTTGTTGTGCTGAAAGGAGATCTCGGGTTAATTTGAGAATTATAAACATGAGATCAATCTCTGGAGCAGAAGAGAAAAAAAAAACAGCCACATATGGAAATGTTCAGAAAATTAAGGAAATATGCTCGGGCACCTGCCAGACATATGCATCCCCTTTAGGAAAGTCAAACATCGAAATGCTGGACCTGGTGGAGCTTGACTTGCAGGCACTGCAGTGAAGCTGAAAATATTCTGTTATCATAAGTGAAGCAGCCTGTGCGCCACAGAGCTGCATAATGCAGAACCAAAAAGAGATGAAAAAAAATCCCTCTCTGACTTTAGCTCCTTTTTAAAGTGTGTGGATGCAGGTTTGAGCCTCCGACACTTCCACGAACAAGCGTGTGAGATTACCCACGTCGGTTAAAGTGTCCCTGCATGTGTTGATCTATCTGCAAAATCAGACCCTGCAGAGCTGTGGATGTATGTGTGGATGTTATCTGAACACATGGGAGCGTTTGTGTGTACGCACTGACTGGCATTCGATTGAGTTTGGTGGAAGGAAGCAATGCAGATTATATGTCTGGGTCTACAGAAAGCAGAAGAAGAAAGAGGATGTGAATGGAGAATAACAAGAGGAGCAGTCATTCAGTATGCAGAGAGCAAAGAGAGAGAAGGACAAATACAGAATTAAATCAGAGAAGTACAAGGAGGGGGAAAAAGGGTCTGGTCTTGCTTCACTTCCTGCTGTTCCCACACTTTTTTATGTTTTGAACACACCCTGAATATGTTTAATAATCTTCTGCTAAATACTCTCGAAATAAAACCACACAGTTCGAAAAAGAGAGAGTGCAAAGTGGAGCGCACGTGTTTCAGCCAATGGTACGACACAGATGTTCCCTCCATCCCACCATCGAACCCCGAACCTCATCAGTAATGAGCCTGCCTGTCCAGAAAGCAGATTGTGAGAGTGTGAGTGTGTGTGTGCGTTAGCGGGGATATGATGGAGATGGGACCCGTTACAAAGATTTCTTTGTGTCCTCCTGGAACGGTTTCAAGTCTGTTGGGCTTTAGCTGATTTAAATTGATTTACAGACGATGAGCTAAAAGCTTAATTTCATTTCATTCTCGATACGCAGCGGCTTGAGTTTACCTTTTTTGTTGGAGTGGAAAACATGTCCGTTTTACAGCCTGTGATCTTTATTTCATACGACTCATCGAAGCAGCTTCTTTTCGCTTCCTGCTGCTGCAAAGGTGGGAAAATAATAATAATGCCGCCCTTTTAAAGGCACATTTCACCTAAAAAAGATATCTAGTGTCATTACTGATTCATTTTTGATGTTTTTTTTTTGACCGGTCTGCTTCAGCTCTGATTCATAAAAAGGAAAATATCACGCCCTGGTCAAAATGTAAATTTCCGTTCAAGTGTGTTTGAGGGTTACTGCCTGGAGAAACATGTTTTGTGTGTTCAAATTTTTCGGTTCAGCTGCTAAATATGGCGTCTATTAGAAAGCAGCGCCCCCTGAAACGACAGGTCAGTGAAGTTTGCTTCTGCTGCTCAGATACATTAAATGTGATTCAGTGAGACGATGTTTATTTTAAAGGGAACAACGGAGGACTTTAACGGCTTTGTGGACTAGTCTCATAAAAAATGGGGACAGCAGAAGCCTGAAAGTGAAAACTCTCTCCTTTTTTTTAAGTGTGAGAAAATAACACAATGAGATTAAAGTCAAAGTTGGGAACGGCAGCGGTAATGGACTGTTATGAAATCATACAGGCATTCGTGGTATGAATGAAAAGCAGGCTGCTGCTTGATGCAGTGCTCACTCTCAGCTTGCCTTCCTGTTTCTGTCATTAACATGACCATAGGGTTCCATTTAAACTTGTGCCGTGTAAAAATCCTTCTGCCAACAATCCTCAAGGTCCAGAGGAACGAGGTCTACGTGACCCTCCCAGGAGTGCTGAAATCGGAGTGATTTAAGCACTAATACATGAGCGAAAGTAACTCACGACGCTGTTGTCACTGCCTCATGAAAGCAGGAAAACTCCGGTTTGTTTACAACGTCACTATTAGAAGATCTGATGCCTTCCATATGGGAAGCATCTCTCGAGACCTGCGAGAGCACAACACAACAAGATAATGGCTAAAAATTCACACTTTTTCTGCACAGTGCGCTCTCTCTGTAATGGAAACCACATGCAAGAAAGAATGCACACACGTTTTCAGAGGCACATATAGGCCTGTTTGTGCTTGTTGTCTGTTTGTGCGAGAGGCCTGGAGTTCTCGAGTGTTTCATGCAGTTTCTAAGGAAACAAGAAAGACTTCATCTCTGGATCTTCACGTCGAAAGGATCTGGATTCAGGACTCCTATTTTTTAAAATTAAAAACGAGCTCTTTTGTGACTAAACTGCAGATTTGTGATTCCATTTAAGGACAATAAAGTCAAGTATATGACGAATTAATTTGATGAATGTGGCTTCTAATCCTCTGTGCAGGTTCAGATCCACACGCCCATGCTGGTTATGCATTTCTTGGGTCAGGTGGTCACTCCCCTGATGAACTTGGTACAACTTCATCTTCATTTTCCAGATCAAAATACTGCCAAACACCACCTAATTACACTTGAAGCTTTAAATAGCAAACAAATAAACTTTCAGTTAAACTGGGGCTGGGCGATCTCTAGGTCGTCCTCAGACGAGCCTTCCACCGTCGCTTCCAGTCATCCCGATTCTCCATACATCTCACCAGTTCGTTGGTACTCTAAGCTCCTGCATCCCTCTTGAGTATGTCCACGTATGTTAGTGTAGGACGTCCTCTTGACCGATGCCCATGTGTTGGTTCCCACAGCACCAATTTGCTGGCTGGCAGTTCCCGATGCCTTTGGCAGTGTCCTGCTAGTCTCATTCTCCTTACAGCAATCTTCTCGCTCACCCTTGGTATTCCCCTCGTACAGTGTTCTGTTGGTTACATCTTGCTGATGTTAAGCACTGCACGCAACATCCTGGTGTAGCACCCATCAAGGGATTTCTCCAGGGTTGGCTTCAGGGTCCAGCGTTCACTGCCATAGAGGAGAACAGACTCTACTGTCGTGTAGAAGAAGCTGAGTTTGATTTGGCGGGGGAGGTTGAAGTTCCATACACTGGTCATGCCGTTCAGGGCTCTCCATGCAAGTGCCTTACTCACTTTTAGATCTTGTTCAATTGAGTTGACCCATGAGCCCAGGTATTTGAAGTCCTCGACTTCTTTCAGCACAGCGCCTCCTGCTGTAGTCAGAGGTTGATGTTCTGGTGGAACGTTGTAGGTGATGACCTCAGTTTTCTTGGCATTTAGCCTAAGGCCAACCTTGGCGCACTCTAGCTCTACCCTGTTCAGTAGTTCTTGTGCTTGTTCCACTTTGTCGGAGAGCAGACTTATGTCATCCGCATAGTCAAGGTCTGTGAGGACCACTGCAGGGTGTCGCCTTGACCTCCTGGGCGATATGGCCTCAAATCAATATCACGATACATTGAGCAGTTCACCTCGATAATGATAAATGGACGAAAACTACTCCACAAGCTGCTCCCCCCTCCCACGTTTACTTCATCTACTTCAGCCGCTGCTACAACTTTTGAACCATCCTCCATCTCCTCACCTGTCTTTCCCTCTTTGTTACTGACTGGATGGGGTGGAGTCACGTCTCCAACGACCGGACCGAATATACCAATATGGGCAAAATGACATTGGTTATTGTCCTAAATTTCGGTATCGGTAAATTGTCGGTTTATCGGCCAGCCCTAAGTTAAACCAACTTCTAACTCTTGTGGTGAGGAGTGATCCTCTTAAAACATCTTAAGAGAAACCGAGTCAATTCAACACCGTGCCTCTGATTCTGCTGCCCCCTCTGCTGCAGGCTGATGAATGTCAGGACTCATGCGGGTGTTTCAAAGAGTGTGGGAGAGGACAGCATCTTTCAGCAGCTTATTAGCGCCGGGTGGGTTTGTGCGTGTTTGTACTTTATTAGTATTGATCCGTACACCGAGGAAGTAAACAGACCTTCCAGGATATAATGGAAACCGCAGACTCTACTACAACTTTCAAAGAGTTTCTCCGGATGATTTGAGTGTTTAAATGAAAACTGGATGGCGACGGAATAAAAAATCAACCATCTCTTCTTCTTCTCTTATTGTGCGAGCTTTATCGGCGAAAAATAAAGTGCATAACGTGACGTAGGCAGCAAACCCCAGAAGAATCCATGTCCTTGTCTTTCCCTTTGTTGACAACGAGCCCTTGGATCTCATCTTTCACTGTGAATGGTAAACAGAGATGCAAGAGGATCAATAGCCCAAGAGACAAAGCAGTGAAGACGCCCTGAGCTGTGAAAGAGCACATCTCTGCTTACAAAAATGCAGCCATTGTCAAAAAGACAGGGCACTGCCACTCGGGTAAATGTCCTTGGCAGTCTGGCTGAGGTGTTAGGGACAGTGGCAACTTGAGAGGAGTGAGAAGGAAGCAAGTAAACTTGAGTTATACGGCTGCAAATCACCACCTGACCATTCATTACAGCTTGGGTGTGCACGTGTGGGTGTGCGTGCGTGTGTGTGTGTGTGTGTGTTAGGAGATTAGATTTCAATGCCATGGCCAAGCCTGCAGATGAAACACTGCCGGAGAAGCTGATTAGCCACATCAGCAAAGACGTGGTGAGGCAAGGCAGGACCCGAGTCCCATCTGCGTCCAGCCAAGCATCAACCGCAGCCAGATCAACCTGTTTTGATCGGGTAAAGCCGGGCTTCTGTTCCTGTTGTTCTTTGCTTAATGCAGCGGTACACATGGCTGGAAACACTCCCTGAGCGAGCACAGCAGGAAGTGCAACAAAGACGACAGAAAGGCTGATTTTGCTGCACATGGAGTGTGTGACTGTATAGGGAGAGGAGCGGGTTGAATTTTTGTGCGATGACCAATCAGAAGAAGGAGGCATTGTTGGACAGTGTGAACACAGCTGTTAGTCCACATCAGCAGCTGTAAACAGCGGGGGAAAACTTTGAGTTATGGCTGTTCGATGTTGTAAAGATCACATGTCAGCGTGGAGCTAAGACAAAACAGGAAACAGGGGAATGAAGAGAATCACACTGTTTTTTTTAAGCCATGTGATGACTTCAATCCTTAAAGACAGGATGTGATATCATGGTGGATAGATGAGAGGGTCCTAACTTCAAGAACGCACCTGTAGCCTTGTGGGAAAGCAGACAGTTGGTGGTCAGATCTTGGCGTCTGCAGTCTAAATGCCAAAGGTTAAGTGGGTGAGATACTGAGTGAACCCGTAGCCGCTCCCAAAGACAAAGGCGTGAGTATGTGAGTGGGTGTGAACCAGATTAGTTAGTACTGATAAGAGCTTTGCACAGCAGCCTCTGCTGTCACTATGTGAACAGGTGACTGTGAGGAAGAATCAGTCGATACAGGGAGACACAATAAATGGAATTTAGACGGAAGCTTGACTCGGACAGCCAACCTGACAAAAAAAAACAAAAACCAGTCAGGTACAAACTGTGAACTCCCAGACAGATCTGTGTTTAGTCCCCAAACATGTCCAGAGTTCTTGGCTGAGATCAAATGTACACAATGGAGGTGGAAACAGTGCAGACCCAGGGCTGCTGCTCAGCTCCATCTTGATAGCAGCCCCCCCTCTGAAAGCCAGGCGTGTTTCCCTCACTGTCCAGATCCTTATCTGTGTAATTGCCTTCCAGTCAGGGAGGAGCACTGGTGGAGCTGGCATCGGCACCGCCTGCCACCCACTCAGAGACAGGAGACGTACTCCAGTGGAGACTCTGGAGTGTTCGGCTCTTTAGTCCACTGCCAAGAGAGATGTGGGTGCCGCTTTGTCAGCTTGACCTGCGCTCGGGATCCAAATCCAAACGTTGGTTCTGCTGGGCAGTGCGCTGGAAGTTTTACACCGGCGGGGGCACGGCAGGTTTATTGGCGTGTCAAGGGATCATGCGTTATCGCTGCGAAACACAGGGGCCAGGGCTCGAGGTGCTTTGAGAACAGCATATCAAGTTAATGTTTACAATGACCGGGTGGGGACCAGACAGAGCATAGACTCTTAACTACACTCTGTCTCCTCCAGCGGGGTGTGAAATGATACCTCTTTTGTTTATGTGGGTACAGTGTTTTGTCTTGTAAAAGTAAGAACACAGTGAAATGTGCCAAACGCTGTTATCCAAAGCCCAAGGGAACAACCTTGGGTACTTATCTGACAGACAGTCCCACTCTTGGATAAATATACTCAAGAGTAGTAGGGTAGAAGAATGAGGAGAAGCTAATACCAAATGAGTTAAAGAAGAATGAAAACGGCCACAGTGATTAATGGATTAACAGAAGAGTTGCCAGCACACTTTTACTTAGTCGACTCAGTGCTGAGCTCTATTAACAGTCCCTTGTTTTTAGAGCAATCACTCAGGAACTCAAATGTTTTATTGTGATTACGGTAACTGTCATTTGGTAAGACTAGAAGAGAAAAAAACATGCACGATCTTTGAGTGGCTAAACCTCAAATCAGCCAGAATGAACTCCAGGTGCTTATGCTGTTGCAAAAGGAAGTGGCACCGGCGGTTTTGCTGCTCTTGGAGAGGAAGTGAAGCGTGGCTGCAAAGTGTACCATCGTGTTAATGAACAGCCACACTCACATGTCGCGTGTGTAAATCAACAACTCGGTGCCCTGCGACAGCAAATCTGAAAAGAGAGAAATGCTGGAGAACCTGATCAGAAACAGGCGACGCAGAAACCCGCTTTAGGATTTCGATGCGACTTAATAGAACTCAATCAGTCTAATCCAGCTCTGCGAAACTCATCCCAGCTCCCGGCTCCACATTCCTGCTGTTTAATGCTGCACAAAAACACAGAGAGCAAGGCCCCTGAATCCCCGAAAAACCAACCCCTCGCTCTCTCAGCTGGCCTGAATTCATCATCTGAAAGCTGGCAGGAAAATCAATGAAAACTAATAAAAGGGTCATGCAGCGTGAACGAGGCCTTATTTGAATTATGTCCAAGGATGCGGTCTGGTACCATTAAAGTGCCTGGTGTGCAGAGTGCAATACTGCCAGAGTTCGGCTGCTTGTGCGCCTCAGGAAGGTTTTCTGACTGTGGAGAACTCTCTCTTTTTTAATATAACAAGGGTCATGAAAAAGCTGCTTTCAGCTTCTGCTCACTTCTATAATTGGTTTCAACGACTACATGTTCACTTTGTGCTTTAATAACCTCATCAAAGTGCAGAGTTTCTGAGGGGAGAAAGGCTACTATACTTGAGTTCATATTCCTGCTATGAATATTGTTTTTCCTCAGGACTGATACCAACTTTTAGTACTCTGATATTCAAAACATGTGGAGGATTGTTATACCTGATGTCCTCTCCCTTAGAGCTCCAGGAGATTCCAGTCTTGATCAAAATCTGGACTGCATATAAATTCTTCTGCACACAAATTAGACAGAGAGCTATACAAATCAAAAATAACAAATGCCGCACACACCTGCCACGTTGACTTTCTCAGGGTTTGTTGCGCTGGGTGTGGCCGTGCTGGTGCCGTTGGTCAGGTTTCCCCCGGTACCGTTGTAGATGTTTTCCACCTTGGACTCCAGCTTCCCCAGCCTCAGCATGATGTTGTCCAGCAGCACCGCAAGAGTCTTCTTCAAGTCTAAAAGTTGGGACATTAAAACAGACCTGTTACGTGTTTTCAGAAACATTTCTTCTCAAACTAGGGCTACTAGTCAGTACTCTGCCATGTTTTGGTAGACTATACTAATAGCCAATGAAAAAGGGAGTTTCTCTGGGTCCACTTGGTGCTGAACCAATCATGTGCTGAATTAGCACCAAGTAGCAAACAACTGCATAGTAGCAGGCTGCAGCTACACGCAACCATAGCACTTTAACAGCACAACACCTTACGTAGGGCCCTATAAAATCTGCGATCACGGAATCGCGGACGGAATTGGACATTAAAAACGGAATTCAATATAGATGCGGAATATCACGGAAAATGGCGAAATTTCACGTAAATAAAAGAAAAAAGGAATAAAAAGGAACATATCTCTCGGGAAAATGCTTGTCACATGTCGAAGCAGCCGCCTGAGACCCCCGAAAAGTTGTCTAAGAAGCTACGAAACTCCCGGCTGAAGGTCCTTTCACACAGGGACCGTTTTTTTTTCGTGCCATTATTTTGGACGTCAATATTTTTTCGAACCTGTATCCTGTCAATACAAGCGTTCACATCAGCGACGTTTTCCCGTCCTGCGATATTGCGGCATTTGAACTACAAACTTCAAACTACAGGGCAGAGCAGTTTCCAAATGATTATTAAGCAATTTTTTATGCACTTTTGTTAAAAATATTGATGAAAGGCAATGAAATGCCAGCAAGCATTAAATTTCACATTTTATATCCTGATATATCGATATCGACCGATATGAAAAAAATATATTGTGATAATTTTTTCCTATATTGCTCAGCCCTATCTCAAACAGAAACCTTAAGGGTGCAATTTAGAAATGGAAAGGATGTAAGAATGACCTTTGTGAGGCAAAACTTTGAGAACTGGCGGCGTTAAAACACAATATCTGATCTGACCCACATTCTGCTTGGAATAAAAATCAATAATGATGTGAAAAAAAATATGACAGAGTGTTATTGATTGCTAAATCACAGCCTGAAAAACTGGATCTGAAACTAGAAATCGTATATGAGATCAAAATATACACATGTAGACTTCCTGAAGAGCGCAGATGTTGCACGCTAAACTGGTTTCATCCGGATCTTATTAAAAGGACCAAAAAGGTTCCACATGACTAATAAAAAGCTTTTAGTGCTCTCATTATCACCCTGACTATCATTACCATCAACACATGCAGGTCGTTTAAGCTGCTGCTCGTAGTCTAGGGAGTCTTACTCGACTACCCTGCGCCTGAAAATGTGCAAAGAGGGGCTGCTGATTTCCCATTACGGCGAGCCGGTAGATTTTGGGCCGCTCAACGCTTAAACTGAAGCCGTGGCGTCTCTGAAAATGACCCAGGATTTCATTCAGCTTTATGAGACACAGCTTATGGATAAGTGACTATTGGTGAGAGCGGGGAAGATGGTGCGACCTGCAGCGAGGAAAGAGATGTCATATCAAGAGGGAAAAACTGTTATAACAGATATTTTGCTATCAACAACATTGAGCTCCTTTTTATCAACAGACTCCGTTTATGTTATCAGTGCATTGTGTTGTGTGTACAGAAGCTCTCCACAGTGCATCACGCCTGCTTTCCTCGGGTGATGATAATTGCAGCTTGTCTATCACATACAGGCGCCACATTTTCCCTCGCCCGTAATGCATTTGACACGCCAGTTTTGATCACGTCAAAGAGATTGGCAAGGACACAACGAGGCTTGGCAGAGCACACCAGCCTGATTCGTGGGAGAAAGCAACCGCCAGAGCGTTTGTCTGATTTGGAAGAGCTTGAGCGCTGGGAGGAGCTGATGCAGTGGGAAGAAGAAACCAACAGGGGGGCTTACTGGAGTGAAGTAGTCAAGCCGAGTTATCGGGGCTGAGATTGACTCCAAGAAAACCAACCTTGACTTGAGGCTTAACGTTAAAGTTAAAAAAAAAAAAAAAAGTTAAAAACAAGAAAAACATGATTTTCATCGGAGTGGGTCTTTAAAGCGACACATTAGGCTTGTTCGATTGAAGCGAAGCGTCAACACACTTTGTGACAGTCAAACAAATGTCCTTTCTTTTGCGCATAAGCAGCCTCGTTTTTCTCCTGCGCTTGTATCGATTAAACCGAAACTTGAAAAACATGAATACATGTTGTGTAAATTGGTCACTGATGACAGGAAGCTCCAAGGCACTGAACAGCAATCGATACCTATAAACACCAACAACAGGAAAATGAGTCAGTGGTCTTCATTAGCCAGTATGTTTAAAAAGCATCTCCGGCACTGTGAAAAATGCTTCAACGTGTCCCTCTGAACACTAACACTGCTGCCAGGTAACCTGATGAGTAATCGCACACCTAGGGACACATTTCTGCCTGTCTCAGTGCTTCTTCACAGGGTGATGCAATTCCAAAACAAACCCCGGAGCACTAACTGCACTAAATTTAACTCTGCTATTAATAATAGTGCCATATAAGATCATAATCTGAACACACGGTGTTCATCCTGGGATTTTTTATTAAGCTTGTGATTAAAGAGAAGAGATTAAAGGGGAACATAAGCCCCCGGCATTCATCAGTGCTTCCTGTTGTTTGTTGATATCAGTTAAGGGAAGATTCAGCTCAGCCTGGGTGTCTCGGTGATGTAAAGTTGTTAAAACAGAGGCAGAGGCAGAAGAGTAACCCAAAAACCTTCCACCCCCTGAGAGGGCGAGTAGGATTAGCTCCGCAGTATAAGCTTACACCACACCCAGTCCTCAGTGATGGTAGCTGTATATCCCTGATTCCTGATAGCAGCCCTGTGGAGCCGACGAACTTCAAGTGTCTGTAAACGGCATCAAAGAAAACCACAAAAGCTGCGCTGCATGATGGAGAAGTAAGCCGTGGAGTCAGGTGGCGGAATGCAGCACTAAGTTTACGGAAGGGCGGGCCAGAGAGGATCATATCCTGGTTTGACTTCATTGTGTAGGAAGAAGATGGTGTGACAAGGCCTGGAGATAAGCCTCAGACTGGGTACGCACTGATCTGATCTTATTACTGGATACAGAATCATATCACAGATCAGGTATCAGTGACAAAACAGCCTGAAAGAATAACGGTGTTGCAATATATACTGGAAATTATTTTCATTTTTCAGTATCATGCAGCCAGTGAGGGTAAATTCAGCTGCTGCGTGTTTGTTAGCTCTGTTTTGAAGGCTGACATTTCCTTTCCTTTTCTCGTTTGTTTTTGTTTCACGGGAATTTTAATCCCCCGACTAATCCGCTGGTGCTGTATTTGGAGTTTGCAGTTGATTGTAATTCCTGTTAGTTTTTGAAGATTTACTGACTGAGCTGCAGGTGCACACACATAATTTTACGAAATAGAAAATAACTATAGATTGAATTTAAAGATGTACTTCATTTTGTTTTTCAAAGTTAAAAAGGTAGATGTCGCTAAAACATTATTCCCCATTCTTATTCTCTTGTTGAGGACTACAGGTTTTTGATTTGTTTCTGGTGATGGACTGGACTAGTATCGAAAGGTTGTGTTAGTGGATCCCGGGTGTGTTTGGTTCAAATTTGAGTTCCCCAACTTGTATTAAAAAAGAGCAAAAAAAAAGCAGAGAGCAAAAAATAAAGAAGGAAAAGTTCTGAAAGTTTTCACTCCAAGAGGGGAGCAATGGGTCAAGTAGAAGATCATTCTCTGATCATGTTTTCTTCTTTTTATCAACTTCGTCAAATACTCTTCTGTGGAAAAGTCCTGTGACGTTGACTACTTAGCTCTGAGACAATGCAGAGAACACTTGGATGCACTCTGAACAGCTCAGGAATTACCGAATGTTGTGATAAAAAAGGAGCGTGATAAGATCTGGTCCAACCGAAAAGGGTTTTTTTTTATGACTTGGCAAGGTTTCATACTGGTTCCCAAAACTCCGACCTAAAGTTGCTCTAATAAGTTTAAGATGACAGGATATAAAAAGATCAATTTTAGCGAGTTTTGATTTATAATGATGTGTAAGTTTGATATTTCGCAGATTTTGAGTGTTTTCTCATCCGAACTAAAGCAGCTCTTTTTCAGCCTAGCTCCAGACGAGCTTCGAGGGGACTTAATATCAAATCTGAATGCATTAAGATTTTATGGGTCATTTATGAGTGGCAGAGGAGGAAACCCTCTCCCCTTGAACTCATTACAAATCGTATCAGGGCGAATCATCGCCCGAGTGAGTGAGCACAGGAAGCGCCGAGTATCCTGCTGCCTCCAGATCTAATCAAGGACATGAAATGGATTTGGATGTGGGACTGGACGGAGGTCAGGGGGAACTGTGGCGCGGGGCTCTGGCTGCGGCATGAAAATCAATCCATCATGTGAGGGGACAGAACGAACTGGACGGGATCCTGTTCCCTGGAAAGTGGAGATCACTTTACAAGGAAATCAATGACCTGGTCTTGAGTCGGATTCACTTCCATTAATTACAAAATCAATGATGAGGATGACTTGAAAATATCTGAAAACTATCAGCGGGATTACAAGTGTAGATATGAACTTAATGAACACTTACCTGTCTCTAATTTATGAAACTAGGTTATACTGACTTACACGCAATTAATAACTTCATAATTTTCACCCAGGAGTCTGAAATATATCACAAAATAAAGTCTGTTTTCAGTGTTTGAAGTATGGCAGTGCTCCATGTACTTTTAAATAAACACAGGCACTTTAATACTGTTACAAAAGTTCAGCTTACACCTTAAGCAAGTATGCACTTGTTTCTTTAGCTGCTCCTTTACATTCCCCGGACGCTTTAATCTTCAGGAGCTTTACTGTATCCTGCTGTTTCTTTGGGTATTACAGAACAATCAATTCCAATCTCAGGTTTCTAATGAAGCCGCCTATCGAGCCGTACAGGTCTATTAATGGCATGAATAACTTATCGATGGCCTCGTCTGGACCCTTTGCGATTACTGTATTATGCTCCGACGCAGCCGTTCGAGCCCAAAGGCACGTTTTCTTGGATAAAGGAAATGTCATGTGGAGCACAAGTGGAGGCTTTCTAACTTTGTAAAAAAAGGTGGTCTCTTTTTCGACGCCTTGTATGAGTCTGAAAATGAAAAACCTGCAGCGTTGATCGTGCAGTTCTCCATTTCTCTTTCTCATTCCCCAGCAGATCCAACTAAATCGGCGAGGTCTTTCCTGGGTTCTGCATTAATCTAATGTAAAGCTTTCTATCAGCAGAGACAACAATCACTTTTAGCTCCAACAACATCCAGCAAGTAAAGGAATATCTGATTAGAATTAAAGCAGGGCAAGAGAAACAATCACAGGTCCAGTTTGTAGAGGAATGTGAGCAGAAAGTTTGATCAAGTTATCAAAATAAATCCGCTTTCAGTTGTTGCTGAGTACTCACCATAGGCTGTCATAGTACCCACATAGGGCCCGTCCATGACACTCTGGTTCTCCTCAGCCAGCGCCTTGATGTAGCGCTTACTGAGGTCCAGGATCTGCTGCCTCAGCACGGCGCTGTTCTCATGGCTGGCCCGCTGCTGAATGGTGAAGTGCAGCAGCATCATTCCCCAGATGAACCCGAAGCTGACCAGAAAGAAGCCCAGCTTCTGGGATGACAGCTTCCACAGGAAGGGCGTAGCCATGCTGACTTCACGAGGAGCTGCTGTGACTCTGGCTGGACCGAGGGGACGGCGTAGAGGTTGGGAAGGAAAATCAGGAGGGTAGGAGGGGCATGGCTGGTTCAGTCGGTGGAGCTGCAGCTGTGTTTGAGGGTTGGTGTAGAGCTCGTTTGCCTCACCAGCGTGATTTCCTTCTTTGACCCATCTTCACCGCTCAGGAACATGTCAGAGGATGGACTTCAACTTCCTGTATCCTGCAAGAAAAGAAATTGGTTTTTTTTCTTTAGAAAAATGTAAAACGGCAAAAATGCAACATGTCTACCCTCATTTGAGTACTTCTGGAGAACTGAGGGTATCGGACAAGTTTAGTCTCGATCTTCAACCTGATACTCCAGGCTGAGCCGTGAGTTGATTCCAGCAGCAGACCACAAAGAACAGAGGGATACTGTATCTGAGGCGGAGATCACCGTGTTTATAAGCTGCTGCGGTATGTTTGCAGGATGGTGACACACCAAACTGTGCTCATTAGACATGATGAGAGGGAGGTTGAATGGAGACATTCAGCCATGTGAGCCGGGGCTGAATATGCAAAGTCAACTTCTCACCAGGATTTGCAAACATGAGTGGGTTTTTCACTATTCAAAGGCGGCACATGCTCTTAGATCATGACTGATTTTTTTCTTTTTGACACGATATGAAATTAATAACGCAGATGGATTAATGATTGTGGATTAAGTCCTGTGAGCAAACTATAAGAAGGAGAAACTTGCTGCTACTTGCCTGATGTGTAACATACAGCTTGAAAAAGAGGCAACACAAAGGAGTCCTGTCTCCTGCAGACTCTGTGATCTTTATGATTAACGGGGCTGCATTCGTCAAAGAGGATTAGAGCTCCTTCAGATTATATAAATATTTAAATAGTTCCTAATTTTTCTTCCTTGGCGACAAACATTACTCCTTATGTATCACAATTTTTTGTTTTACAATTTTAAATTTTTTTTTTTTTCTTCAAAAGTTGATTAAATCTTAAAAACTGACTTACATGTGATGTGTATTTTTGGGGGAAGTATGGTACCTGTAATAGTCAGTAGACAATCATAATCATTCAACTGATCAGGTCCTTTCACACCGGGAGCGTTTTTTCGTGCGATTATTTCTGACGTCAATATTTTTTTTTTGAACCCGTATCCTGTCAAAACAAGCGTTCACATCAGCGACGTTTTCCCGTTCTGCGATATTGCGGCTTTATTTTTTTGTATCACGGTTGATTTTTCTAAAGGTTTGCATACTGTGTGTCTACTTCTGACCCATCAGATTGCGTGTTGTTGTGGTGACTGATTCACCGGTATATCCAACATGGCCAACCGGCTGATTGTTTATGTGTCAGAAAACAGAGTGCTTTTCGATAAAAAACAAAAATATTACTTTCCCCCCCGGAAAGTTGCAAAATCGCATCGGGCTTAATGTGTGTAGTCAGGCGCATCCAAATTCGCCTCTGAATATTCCATGATTTCGCGTTCTATATTCGCGTCGGCCCCGGTGTGTAAGGACCTTAAGTATTGCAATTTTATGTTTTACAATTTTTTTAGCGATTTTTTTTATCCAAAGGTTTTTTGTTTTTTTTCAAATGTAAGAATAAATCTTAAAAACTGACTAACATGTGATGTGTTATTTTTGGGGAAATATGGTTCCTGGGACAGTCAGTAGACAATCATAATCATTCAACTTTTTCACTGCTGACTAAAAACCGAGAAAATCAACAATATCATAGAATAAATTCGAATCAGCATCCAAAAAATCGTAGAAGCATCGAATCTGGAGAAAAGTATATCGTCCCAGCCCTAACTCCTACTACTTGAGTGTCTGAATAATCATATCTTTAGTTTATTTTCTGCTCTACAAAACGTCTCTTTAAGACTAAATGAGCTCTGCTGAGCAGGTCCAGATGTTTGAGACCCCTGAGAGGAAAACGGGACAAACTAGTCAAGCTAAATTTCACTCATTGATTTTTGTGAGCTTGCCAACACTCTCCTCTAAAGAGCAAAGTCAGTCTGTTTTTCTGCTGATGGAGGTAACAAAGTTAACAAACAGCTTCACGAGGATTACCTGATGTACCCTGACTATGATTTGCACTGAAGTCACTGAAATCTACTTGCAGCTGGACTTGTGATGACGTTTCCAAAACCACATGTGCGTCGTCTACATTTCCTGTCAGCACCGCAACTTCAGTTTTCTCTTTCCTTTCAGCTGTTGAGCCTTGATTTTTTGTATTTTCAGTGTCTTAAATTTGTTTCACATGGGTATTTCTAACCAGGGCTGTATATAAACTACTTAATAATAATAATCAGTTACAGTTTTGCCAGTTACATGGAATGAAGCTCTTCTTCTGCAGCATTTCTGCAGCTATTAGAGCCATCAACAAGCCTAAACCCACAATCTGAAAGCTTTAAATCCTTTCTAGCTTTAGGCATCAAGCAGCAACAAAAAGTTTCTTTGAAGCGCGCCATCAAGGCGAAAGGAGAGCATGTTCGATGTTCTCTTATCTACATTCAACTGCTGTAACTGTAAATGAAGCCAAATGTGGAGAAGGGGGATTTCTGAAGCCCTGTGAACTGTGTTTGCTTAACCATCTTTCAAAGCGGATCTAACCGGGTCAAGACCAAAGCCGCCTACATGAATGCAACCCAGCAAGACATCCAGAAAGACCCCAAACAGAAGTGAAAATCTCCCACCTTTCAATTTCTTATTTTCAGCGTTTTATTTATTGATCTGGGTGGTCAACGCTCAGAGTGAAGCTGGTTATGTCAGCGCTGAGAATCATCCGCACCATCTGAGCGACACAAAAGGCAGCGACACAAAGACGCTTTTCACCTTGCATCCATCAGCTACATAAATAGGTCAGAGACAGCTGCAAGCAGCTTCCAACAGGGCTGGAATCTCACAATGGCTTATAATTGTTCAGTCATTTAAGACAAAGGCTCGTGATTGTGTTCCACGCACACAGAGATCTATTTATAGATTTTAACAAAGCAGGAATTAGTCCTGTCTGAAAAGAAGAAGAAGAAGAGAAGGAAAACGACAACTTCTGTACTCTTTTATTGACATTCACCTCGATCCGATTTGTGATAAGACGTGCACAAAACAAGGCTCTTGCTGATGAAAAAAATCAGCGCGCTGCACTGTGAGTTCATGAAACGAGCCCCTGGCAGCAGCACTGTGCAATCTGCAGAGCTGATAACATCAGATGTCTCTCATTGCTTGGGACTCGCTCGCTTGGAGGGGAGCAGGAGAAGGCTGGCAGCCTTTGCTGGTTGGGTGCCGACAAGGATGGGAGGCTTCGGGGCTGTTTATCAGAGAAGAACGTTGCTCGGAGTGCCCTGTGGTACATCACTATAAAGAAGCACGAGCCAAAACCTACACAGAAAATTGACTCAACCGTTTCTGAATACACACAGTCTCAGCCAGAGCTGGCTCTCTTGTCTGGCCTGATTTCCTGCATCCATCCATCATAACTCAAGACAAAAAGCCATCATGTAACCTCTCTTCTTTGTTAGGGAAACTGTCCAATCAGAGCATGTGTCCTATTATATAGAGAGAAAGGAGCGGTGGAGCTGCTCACCCTGCAGCATCTCTCGTCTCGGTTACCTTCTGGTTTCTAATTCGGGATCTTAATTTGTCTGGCAGGGAGCCCCTTGGCTCTCAGCAGCAACAATCCAGAGAAACTCTTTGTGTTGACAGCCGGCTGAGGTTGCAAAATATATGATCCCTTGCAACTTGAGATGATAACATAACAACTTGCTGAATGGTTTGTTCATTGTTGCAAAGGAAACCCTGCGGGTTGACTGAAGGTGAAGACAGAAACAATTAAACCTTTGAAGCCTGGGAGAAATTACTGCCCTCCTGTATCTGCCAGGAAGAACTTTTTCCCTGTGTGAAGGACCGCAGCTGATATTACAGCTGTGTGGCTGCACTGAATGTTCAAAAACAATGTAACGCTGATAACCCCAGCCTGCAGCAGGAGGGCGTGTTTTACTTCCTCATTCAGAGTAATAAATGAGTAATAATCCTAAAGATGGACACAAACAATCACAAGTTTGGTTAAGATGATGACACAGCTAGGAGGAAAGTATGTTGAATTTGGAAAAACATTGATCTTAAAGGAGGGGTAGGCAAGATTCTGTTAAAGAAGCATCTTTTTTTTTGTGTATATACAAAAAAAGCTTTTAATATCAGTCAATAGCTAAAGTTATTGATGACATTTGGTAATATAAAGATATTGCTGTGTTCTCTTCAGTGTTGTTTTCGTTGACGATGACGTTGACCTTTTTTTCCACGATGAAGACGTGACGTTGACGAGCTAAACATCAGTCTTAGATGACTTAAATGTGACAAGACGAAAGTGCGTTTACGTTGACGAGACGAGACTAGACGAAAACATTAGTGGTGGACGATGAACAGAGTTGCAAAATTCGTGAGCATTTCGTCGGTCAAACGCTAAACATATAGGAGTAGCTTCAGTCCGCTCTGACAGCTGTCATCAGCCCGACATTGACGGAATGTTTTCGTCAACGTCATCATCAACAAAAACAATACTGGTTCTTTTATGTCCGTGTAGTCAACCTTCCTAATATTTGAGCGGCCGACTCTTTCTGACTGTAAACAAAGCCATTCTCCGCCTCCCCAACCTGATTGGTTGTGAGGCGGACGCTGCTTCCTCATGTTGTGAGGCACGCTCCACGTCCTCGAGTAACGCTCATGAGGCCAAACTAAGTTAGCGTGCTACAATATCGGACAGTAGAAACCAACCAGGAAGAACGGAAAACACAAGCAATAGAGCAAAGTAAATACCCGAGACTCTGGCGGAATAGTGGGCGCTTAAAACGAAGGTAGACCGGACAAAGGCTGAAAAGGCAGGTCAAGATTAACGATGGGGGACGCTTCGGGATCTTACAGACCCTGTAACCTTTCTGCTGGACAGGTAAACCGCTAAGCCAAGTGTCTGTAAAGGAAGTGTTTCTTGTCAA